CGGAAACAAAATCGACGGGTCTGAGCGTTTTTCAAAAAAAAACTGAGCTGCAAGTAAATGCGTCTGTTTCGTTTTCGATGCGCCACCCTGTATAGTAACATTAGCATTTCTATAATAAAAGCAAAATGCTTCAGGCGTTTATTATGAGCTAATAACTAAGCCTAGAGACAGTAATCTAACAAAATTATAGGAACATAAGGAACTTATTATTCTTTTTTTATTTCTAAATGTAAATAATTGGTTTTGATGCTTTGGCTCTGAAATCGATAGATTTCCATCTGAATGAACGATATCAGTATGTCGTGATACAAAATAAACATTCAGAAAAAAGGCTTATTTGCCGCGACGTGCCTCAGGGATCCATATTGGGGCCTCTGCTGTTCATCATATATACTTTTGATATAGCCAACACACTTCAACGCTGTTCAAGTCAGTCTTATGCTGATGATATTCAAGTTTTCTATAGTTCTTCTTCAAACAATTACCTCATGGCTAACAACCTCAATAACCTAGATATACAATGTATAAGTAATGGGTGATTTTTTTGCTGGTATCCTTTTGGCAACACTGTTTTTGACAGATGACGCGTGAATCGTGTCTTGTGTCATTGTCAAACTTGTTCAGTTTGGTCTATAATTTAACAATGAATCGACTTACGAACGAACAACGCTTGCAAATTATTGAATTTTACTATCAAAATTCATGCTCGGTTAAGAGAGTGCATCGAGCACTGCTTCCAATTTATGAGCAATTTGGTCGGCCTACTGAGGGAGCTATTTGGAAGCTTGTGACTAAATTTCGAACCCAGTTTAGATTTTTGGAAATTAAACAACCAACACGCAGACGTAGAGTAAGGACTGAAGAAAATATTGCCGCTGTATCCGCCAGTGTTAGTGATGACCGTGAGATGTCGATTCGCCGCCGTTCGCAGCAATTGGGCCTCTGTTACTGCACTACGTGGAAAATTTTGCGACAGGATTTGGGTGTAAAACCTTATAAGATACAGCTGGTGCAAGAATTGAAGCCACACGACCTTCCACAACGTTTCCAATTTGGTGAATGGGCGCTGGCAAAGTTGGAGGAAGATCCACATTTTTATCGAAAAATTGTGTTCAGCGACGAAGCTCATTCCTTTTTGAATGCGTACGTTAACAAGCAAAATTGCCGCATCTGGAGTGAAGACCAGCCAGAAGCATTGCAAGAGCTACCAATGCATCCCAAAAAAATCACTGTTTGCTGTGGATTATGGGCCGGTGGCATCATCGAGCCGTACTTCTTCAAAGACGACAATGGCCGGAACGTAACTGTGAATGGCGAGCGCTACCGTGCGATGATAACAATCTTTTTTTGCCCAAAATGGAAGAACTGGACTTGGCTGACATGTGGTTTCAACAAGACGGTGCCACATGCCACACCGCACACGAAACAATGGCCCTATTGAGAGGCGAGTTCGGTGAACAGTGTATCTCACGTTTGGGGCCCGTCAATTGGCCGCCTAGATCGTGTGATTTAACGCCGTTGGACTATTTCTTGTGGGGCCATGTTGAGGCTAATATCTACAGGGATAAACCAGCAACGATTGACGCACTGGAAGCCAATATTGAAGCATTTATTCGTGAGATACCGGCCGATATGTTAGAGAGAGTGTGCCAGAATTGGACCTTGCGCATGGGCCATCTAAAGCGGAGCCGCGGCCAACATTTACATGAAATAATCTTTAAACATTAAATTATATCGACCATTCTATCTACTCAAATAAAGATTTAATCGTTTTTTCAAATTTTTTGTGTTTTTTTTGAAAATCAAATCCTATAACTCTTAAAAAATCACCCGTTACATACGCCACAAAGCACAATTTACGACTTTATATATTCAAATCGAGAGATTTACTATTTTGCTCCAAGACAAGCGTGCGTTCCTCAAAGCAAAATTGAACATATCTATCAATAATATAGTACCTTACATACATTTTTCCATTACGCAAAGAATTTAGGTTTATATTTGGATTAAGATGTCAGGTTCCAGGAGCTTGTGAGCCATGTGTGTAGGTCTAGTTTTCTTAGACTTTTATACAAATAAAACTATTTTAACTAGAAAAATTAAGAAAGAAAGTTTGATATGGAGTAAAATAGCTTACTGAAACATTATTTTCAACTTATGTGTTTTTTAAGCTATTATTTATTTTTTAGTTCAATTTATCAGTCAGTTTTTTGTGGGCATGTGGTATTGAAATGGCTTACAAATCATTTCGTAATCTAATAATTTCATTCAAAGTTTCACTGTTGCATGGGGTTTTTCCTGTTAACTTAAAGCAATCAAGTTCTTACTCGACTAAATACTACATAAGCTTGTTTAGCAGCAAACAGTCGCGAGCCTAGATAAATGACTGCACAACCGGTACAACCTACATTTTGTGGACGGTCGAAGACCAACTCAGGATTAATGGCAACAATCGCGATGAACAAGGTGAGAATGCACCACCTTGAAAAAGTATGTGCCTACGTTGTGCTCTCTCTCTTTTACTCTCCTAAAGAGGACATACAGGGTGACAGGTAAATTGGTGTTAAACATTTAAGGAGGTGATCGTTCAGCCCCTTTGCTATCGAAATTAGTATATAATACCATATCCTATATTCAAAGGTTGAAAAGTTATTGAAGATTTAAGATTCTTTTAAAAACAATCCATATTTCAGAGTAAAAAAGTCGAGAGAGAAAAAAGTTGACGATTAAACATTTGTTTCTTGTGGTTTTGGGTTATTATTTCAATAATTAACTATTATAGATTACAAAAGATTCGAAAACAATACCAAACAACGTATTTATTTTCATTCAAAAATGTTTAACTAAGAAAAACAAATAACGTTTTATAGTAAGTAAGCTGTTTTACAAAAAAATCAGTATACAAAAAAACGTACAAACAATTTAAATAATATCCTTGTTTCATGAGGAATCTAAATTGGTATGATAAGTGCACAAAAACTGTGTGAAACTAAACATAATGTATTGTAATATAACAATAGGGATGTACCAATGGCTTGTCTCCTATTTTCACAACTCTCTGATTGATAAGAAAGTGTTTTTGTGAAAATAATGTAACTGTAAGCTATGGGATAGTTATTATTTTAAACTACGGTTAAGTTACACGATTAGATTATTTACACAGTTGTAATTGTACTACAGAATAATAAAAACTGACTAAAAGTTACTACAATTGGTAAGTAAAATACAATAATGAAATGAAGGTAAAATTCATTGCAATTGTTGTTCGAACTGACGCCCGCCGTTTCTTATGCAAGCCCGTAGTCTTTTTCTTATGTTGGTACGCGTGATGCGGCCAGTTAGTTATCCTCTGATAGTGTCAGCAGCAGCAATAATTCTTTCTTTCAACTGTGCAAGAGTGTCTATGGGCTCAGCATACACCAGTGACTTCATGTGCCCCCATAAATAATAGTCACACGGTGTTAAATCTGGGCTCCTCGCTGGCCACGGTGTCGGTCCACCTCGGCCAATCGAGCGACAAGGATATTTCTCGTCCAGCCACTGTCCAACACCCAGATGGAAATGCGCGGGATAGCCATCGTGTTGGTAGATCATCTGCATCCTGATATTCAGAGGCAGGTCTTCGAGATACTCCCAGAGTTTGGATCTCAAAAAGCTTTCATAGGATTCGCCATTCAGGTTGTCAGGCAAAAAAACTGGTCCAATTAGATACGTATGAATGATTCCCATCCACGCGTTTGCCGAAAATCTGCTTTGCTGGGCTCTTGGCTTTGCCATGTGGGGATTTGCCTCTCGTGGGGCCCAATAATGTAAGTTGTGATAATTTGTTGTCCTCTCTCTGTCAAACTTAGACTCGTCGGTCCACAATATTTTAGTTAAATAGTCGTTTTCTTCTTGATCCCGATGAAGCATGTATCGACAAAAATCAATTCTTCTTGCGGGATCTCCTTCTTCTAATACTTGAACCGGTGTCTAATGGAAAGGGTAAAGTCTCGCCGAATGCAAAACGAATCAAACTTTCCACTGAGTTAAACCAAGCTGCTTTGCTATAACTCGTGTAGACGTCGTCGGGTCTCTGCCGTTCCAGTATTGCCTCTCGATCTACGTCGTCAAACAACCGAGGTCTACCAGCATCATGACGTCTCTCATGAACCTGTCCACTTTCCTTGACGCGTTGGTACACAGAAGCAAATACTCGATGACTCGGTATTCGCCGATTCGGAAAACGGTTTTCGTATTCTCGCCTGGCTTCAACGGAATTTCCATCACTTAAACCATAACAAAACAGAATATCAGCGTATTCTTCGTTACGGTAACTCGCCATTATTAAAACTGATCAAAAAAGTAAAAGTACGTCCTACCGCGTTAAAGGTTGATATTCTACTAACTAACCTAAGCGTTAGTTACCTTTCCTTGATCCGTCAGCTGTGTCAATTCATAACACAGGCAGAGCTTGCTTCCGAGGAGCGACGACAGATTCCGAATACTTAAACCCGAATAACGGCACAGGGCACAAAAAACAACAAAAAGGGGCGAACCATGAAAGGCTCGGTTTACCTGTTCAGTACAATGAAATGCGCTTAGCGGTCCTTTCTAGCAAAGTAATATTGTTTTGTTAAATGGTTTACTTACTGATACGTTATTACACCATTTTAGAAACCTAATGAAACGAGGAAGTTTTTGCAGTTATTTGTACATTTTCTTTATTATGACTTCTTAATGTGAAAGTTGAAAATAAAAATTTTCATTTAACATTTAAATGAAAATAAATACGTTTTCAGTAGTGTTTTCATATGTTTTTTAATTTATGAGAATTATTTGCTTAAATAATAACCTGAAACCACCAAAAAAAGAATGTTTAATCACCAACTTTTTTTTATCTCAACTATTTTACTCTGTAATCTGGGTTGTTTTTAAAAAAAAATTAAATCTTCCGTAACTTTTTAACCTTTGAATATAGGGTATATATATATATACTAATTTTGATAGCAAAGGAGCTGTACTATCACCTCCTAAAATGTTTTACACCTATTTACCTATAAAAGAATACATAGGAAATAGCTAATCAATGACCCGCAATGCACGTATTTTCTGATGATAATATGCCAAACCACAAAAATGAAATTGTTTTAATTTCCCAACGAAATCACGTACGCCCGTTATCGTCCCACTGTTATCAGCGTTATCTCTTATCTAGCGATCGGAGCGTATCGCCAGAACAATACAGATGCCAAAAGCTCGTCCGTTCAACAGGTGTAAGCGGGGTGTATTCGACCGGAACTGAGCGTCGCATCTGTTGTTAAATATGACAAAAAACAGGATGTGAATCCACCGACAACAGGCCCTCACCGAGTTATTTTGTTTCAGTTACCTTTAAACCCTACTGTCGTGTACCCAGAGTTTCAATGTATACGAACAATATATAGTAGCGACGTGTGAAAATGAGTGATAAGGAGCCTGTGATATCGGTGCATGATTTGCCCTTGACTTTTAAAGTGAAATATTTGGGTAAGTCGCCATCGTTTGTACGTATATTTTACTAAATATACACTTGGATGAGCTGCGGAATAGGAGCGGCGCCTCATTGCAATCCACCACCTGTTGAGGTCGTATTTTTAGCAGCTTTGTTGTTTTTGTTGCTGAAATAGGAAGCTTTTTCCTAGGCATGGCAATAGAGTTTAATAAACAGTCAATATTGAATGGCAACTTCTTCTAACTGATTGACTTCCACTATAAAAAAATGACGTCAAGTAGGTTGAGTCTACACTTGCTACGCAACACCGGCATCAGTTAGTTCATAAAGCATATCATAAATTCACTGGACAACAAATTTTAGTTTTTTAATTGTATCTTGTGGGAAAAGTGCACTTCTTTGTTAATTTTGGGGCGCTGAATCCAAAAATGACAATGAAATAAAAAAATTAGTTGCGGTTTAGAAAAAAAACTTTTTATTTTTAAGGATATATTAAAAAAAGTAACAAGATTCATATACCTATAAGAATCACTATATGCGCTGTCTTTTTGCTGTTCTTTTATGGATCGTTTCTGGAGCATCTCTACCAAGGTCCAACAGTAGTCTGCAAGCATGGAAGGATTCCACTTTCCCTGGTACCTTTTTTCCATTGTTGAAATATCCTGATGAAAACGTTCGCCGTGCTCATCACTTGCGGCTCCGCAATTGTCAGGAAACAAGTCCAGGTGTGAGTGTAGGAAATGTATCTTGAGAGACATATTACAGCCCATCTTTTGATACGATGACAGCATATTTTTGACAAGGGTTTTATAGTCGTCAGCTTTTCTATTTCCCAAGAAATTAGTGACCACCAGACGGAAATCATTCCAAGCAGTTTTTTCAATACCTGTTAAAGTGTTTTCAAACTGTGTATCTTTCAAAATATTTCGAATCTGTGTCCCAACAAAAATACCTTCTTTAACCTTTGCCTTACTTAGTCTTAGAAATTTCTGACGCAGGTATTGAAAAGGTGACCCATCTCTATCTAATACCTTGACAAAGTTTTTCATTAGGCCCAACTTGATATGCAGTGGTGGTAATAAATTTTTTTTCGAATCTACTAATGGCATATGCTGTACATTTTTTTGACCTGGCTCTAGGAATTGACGAACAGGCCAGTTTTGTCTGGTGTAATGAAGTGCCTTTGCCCGACTGTCCCATTCACACAAAAAACAGCAAAACTTTGTGTAGCCTAGCTGCAGCCCAAGTAAAAGTGCAACAACTTTCAAATCGCCACAAATATGCCATTGGTGCTCATCGTATTTTATGCATGTCAATAGGTACTTCATATTGTCATATGATTCTTTCATGTGAACTGCATACCCTACAGGAAGATATGGTAAAATATTTCCAATATGCAATAACACTGCCTTTAAACTCAATGTTGAACTGTCTATAAACAATCTCCATTCTTCTGGGTTATAGTTTATATTTAAAGCCGCCAGTAAGCCGTTAATGTTACTGCAGAAAACCAAGTTATTCTCCATATTGAAAAATGGTTCTAAGTCTTTGTGGCGTTTACGAAAAACACATATCGAAACATCGTCTTCTAACAAGTTCCACTGCTGCAGTCTTGATCCAAGTAACTCTGCCTTACATTTTGGAAGTTCTAAATCTCTTACAAGATCATTTAATTCTGACTGTGTTATTTTGTGCGGTTGGTGGCATGACGTGCTCGGTATAAAATCAGGATCTCTTGACGTTGATGGCATATCTTCTTCCTGACGAATCACTCGATCGCCATGATCTGATTCGTTTTCTGATTCGCAAGTGTAGGATTCTGGGGGTTTTGGAATAGGATTTTCGTCACTGTGAGGCACAGGTCTCATCGCAGATGGTATGTTTGGGTAGTTAATAACCGATTTTTTTTTCTTGGTTGATTTTACTTAGGATATTTTTTGGCTGTTGATCAGTGATTTGAGTTAGGCATCAGTAAGAGATTATTAGAATTCATGAATGACTGTAATTTATTTAATACACATCAGCATGGTTACCTACATGGGCGATCAACAGATACTGCAATCTTTCAATTTCAAACAGTACTTAAGCAGTTAGACGAGGGAAACTTAACGGTTGGTTTCAACCTGGACTTGTCCAAAGCTTATGATTGCATCAACAGAGACATATTGTTATTAAAGCTACAAAGATATGGTGTAAGAGGAACTGCGCTAGAATTGTTCAAGTCACACCTCTATAAAAGACAACAGAGGGTTTAAATTGTTAAAGGAGGTCAAACTTACAAGTCAAACACTGAGTTGACTTCAACCGGCATAGCACAGGGTAGTATACTTGGGCCCATTTTGTTTGTAGTTTTTTTAAACGATTCTCTGTTTTGTTACTAGTGGTGATCATAGCAAGGATAAAAATATCTGCTATACTGATGACACAAATTTAGTGTTGGGTGGGACAAGTGTAGAGGACCTAACTGTTAATGGGAATCGCTTATTCAGAAGTGTGAAAGGATGGTTTTCTGAGAACAAACTAGTGCTGTATAAATCCAAAACTGATGCAACATTATTCAGAACTGAGCAGAGTAAAGTCGTTAAGCCACAATATATCGATATAGATGATCATCAACTGCAGTTGAGTGAAAGTGTAAAATTCTTAGGCATCTACAGGCTGTTTCAGTTTATTGTTGCATAACTTTAAGATTCGATAGAACTTTTAAAACTAATGCATAAAGTCTATATAAACATGGGTCGAAAAATGCGTGGCTTCCGAAATAAAGGGTGTTTAAATTTACTTTCTAAAATAGTTTTTTTTAAATATTTTGAACAATATTTGATGTATAACAGTGAAAATTGGTGCACAAGTGTTTTTTGGTACCACAAAACGAACCATGGGCATAGTTTTACTGTAGCCGCTCGAGGGCGCTCTCTACTGTACCCGTAGTGTATTAAAATGACCGAAATTTTTTTCTTAATGCAATTTTTTGGTTTTTGAATAAAAAAACTGATTCTTCGCACTTTCCAACATAAAAAAGCTCTCTTGTGAATTTTCGTTAATTTTTAGAAGTAGGCTGTGCCTGCAAATATTTTTGAAATTGAAAGCAGAATAAGGTTAAACGTCAATTGGTTGACAGTTAGTTTTGTTGTCTGTTGAAACCTGAAACGTTTTTTTGCAATTGTGAATGCACGAAATTTAGTTTCTTTTACCTGTTTCTTTTTGTAAGTTTTATAAAAATGCCATTTATATTCTCCAATCTAGAGTTAGCGGATATTCATTTTGTGTATGGGTTTGTAAATGGAAACGCAGCAGAAGCAGCCAGAGAATACACAGGAAGATTTCCAAACAGACGACATCCAACTCGCTCAGTATTTGTAAGAGTGCATCGCCAAATAATTGAAAATGGTTTTGGAAATCTCCAAAGGGATCAAAACATAAATGTTCGTCAGCGCAGATTTACCCGTATGATTCTGCGTGAGTTTGATAGAGATCCGACCACAAGTGTTAGGAGAGTTTCTGGTGCCTTGGGCATTTCAGCAAGCCATGTTCACCGTGTTCTTAGAAATGACCATAGACGTCCTTACCATTTACAACCTGTGCAAGGACTACATCCAGGGGACGGAGAACGAAGAATCACATTTTGTCGGTGGATTCTTGATAGAACTGATAATAATGGGAGTTTTTAAGTAACGTTTTATGGACCGATGAGTCAGGCTTCACTAGACGTGGAGTGGTAAATTTTCATAATCAACATATTTGCTCGCATGAAAATCCGCATGCAGTTCGGGAAATAAATTTTCAGCATGAATTTAGTGTGAACATGTGGATTGGTATCTACCGTAATCGACTATTTGGACCCTACCTTTTGCCTGCAAGGTTAAATGCTGCGACCTTCTTGGAAGGCTGAACATGCAAATATGTGGGATGATGTTATGTTAGATTTAAGAAGATTGGCCTGGTTTCAGCTTGATGGTTGTCCAGCTCATTATTCGAGAATAGTTAGAACCTGGCTGGACGAAAATTATCCAGAAAGATGGATCGGCCGTGGAGGACCAGTCGCCTGGCCTCCACGATCCCCTGACCTAAATCCATTAGATTTCTTTGTGTGGGGATTTCTAAAAGAAAAAGTGTACCAGACTCCCGTCACCACAAGAGATATGCTAATAGACAGAATCAGGAATGCATGTGATGAAATGAGGCCTTATTTGAATAATGCTATACCACGTTCGATCATTCGTAGATGTGAATTGTGTATTGAACAATTGGGTTTACATTTCAAGCAACTACTTTAGATTTTGTATGTTTGTCCTAACTATCCAATAGCATTTTAGTTGTAAATAATTAATTTAATTTGTTAAAAATAATATTGGAAAATTAAACAAATTAATATTCTGTTTTTTTGGGTTTATTTGGAGTTAGGAATTATTGCTGTGTTTAAAAACGCAATCTAAACGATCATCTTAATTACTTGTAATGCCCAAATCGAAAATGTAAAAAAAATATTATTTTCCCATAAATAATTAAAAATGCATCGAACCTTAGAAATCGAAATATCTCAAAAACGGCTAACTATAACGAAAACTCACAAGAGAGCTTTTTTATTCAGAAAAGTGCGAAGAATCAGTTTTTTTATTCAAAAAGCAAAAAGTTGCACTAAGAAAAAAATTTCATTTTAATACACTACAGGTACAGTAGAGAGCGCCCTCTAGCGGCTACAGTAAAACTATGCCCATGGTTCGTTTTGTCGTATCAAATAACCCTTGTATACCAATTTTTACTGTTATACATCAAATATTGTTCGAAATATTTAAAAAACTATTTTAGAAAGTAAATTTAAACACCCTGTATTTTGGAAGCCACGCATTTTTTGACCCATGTTTGTATAGACTTTATGCATTAATTCTAAAGGTTCTAACGAATCTTTAAGTTATGCAACAATAAACTGAAACACCCTGTATATTGATGAATTTTTAGATTGGACAACACATGCATTCGAACTGGTGAAGAGGCTCAATTACATTTGCTATGGTTTTAGGGTGAAAATATTGTATCATGCTAATTTTGAAAGTGTTGAAAAGTATGGGATTATTTTTTGGGGATGCAATAGGTTTATTCAAAAAAATTTTGTTGTCCAAAAAAGAGCAGTACGTCTGCTAAAGGGACTAAACTTCAATGAAACTTGCAGGGGGGTGTTTAAAACTGAAAAAATCATGACTGTGTATGCCATCTATGTGTATGAGTGTCTTATATTTTTTTTCAAAAATAAAAATGTATTTGAGCTTGAGGTGCAAACGGTTTATGATACTCGAACAGTCAATGTTACTTATCCAATACACAGATTATCATCCACAGAAAAAAGCCCTATTTACATGTGTTTAAAATTTTTTAACAATCTACCAAATCAAATTAAAAACATAAACAGTTTACATAAATTTAAAAAGACTATTAAGCAATTTCTAGTACAGTCAGAGCCTTATACAATAGATGAGTTCTAAGGGAGTTGTAATATACTGACATATAAATCCGAACACCCAGTTTAAATGGTTTTATTTTAATAAAATTTTGTATAAGTACTTAATGAAGCATAATAAGTAAATGATAAGAATTTCAAAATGATTGCACTGCTTTAAAGCCCTTTGATCTCTAATAATGTGTGGATGCACCCTGATGTGCTACGCATTCTCCAACGCGCCTAGGCATGCGTCCTCCCGTGGTACTACGTATATATCTCATTCCAGGCAACCACCAACTCCTCTCGAAGTGCTTCTAGAGTCTGAGGAGGCCGTTGCAAATTGAGCAATCTCCTACCCATCATATCCCACACGTGCTCAATTGGGGATAAGTCGGGAGATCTTGGTGGCCATGGTAACAATGTGACATCATTATGTTGAAAGAAGTCTATTGTGACTCTTGCAACATGTGATCGGGAAAAAATGACACCGCAACAAGTAGCGCAAGCTGCAGCTTTTCAAGATGATGGTCGTCTAATACTATATACACTTCCTTGCAAATATATTCTATTAGCCAGAAGTTGCATCGACAGTGCTTTTGCAAAATGGATGACTCAAAAATTTAGATGACCGAACGTTGTATAACAATTGTTATCTATGATTCAGTTTTCTGGTATTTAAATTGATCAAAGTACCATAAATACATACACGATAATCTGGCAGTAACAAGCTTCTCAGTAAGCCAATGGCAAAATAGATGACGCAAAAATTTAGATTACCGTTCGCGCTGTTCAACAATTGTTATCTATGATTCATTTTTCTGGTATTTAAATTGATCAAAGTACCATAAATACATACCTATATGATAATAGGGCAATAACCATGATGCCAGGAAGCCAGTATGTTATCTGTTTAAATACCTGTACATATAAGATTTGAAACTTCGCCGTTGAAAAATGTTTTATCTATTTTAGTGCAACAAAAATAACGAATAATTCAGTTACGTTATTTTTGACAGCGATATCAAATAACGAATGTCAATTTTGTACTACATATTATGATCTATGAGTTGATATACCAAAAATTTCCTATATATACTAAGTGACATATAAATCCGAACACCCAGTTTAAATGGTTTTATTTTAATAAAATTTTGTATAAGTACTTAATGAAGCATAATAAGTAAATGATAAAAATTTCAAAATGATTGCACTGCTTTAAAGCCCTTTGACCTTCAATAATGTGTGGATGCACCCTGATGTACTACGCATTCTCCAACGCGCCTAGGCATGCTTCTGATCAGGTGGTCAATGTCCTCCTGTGGTATCTCATTCTAGGCAACCACCAACTCCTCTCGAAGTGCTTCTAGAGTCTGAGGAGGACGTTGCAAATTGAGGAATCTCCTACCCATCATATCCCACACGTGCTCAATTGGGGATAAGTCGGGAGATCTTGGTGGCCATGGTAACAATGTGACATCATTATGTTGAAAGAAGTCTATTGTGACTCTTGCAACATGTGGTCGGGCATTATCTTGTTGGAAAGTTGGATCTGCCAGGGTGTCAAGATAGGGTAAAAGATGGGGTTCTAGAACTTCGTGGATATAACGCTGCGCGTTCATGTTACCTCTGATGAAGATTAAAGGTGACCTGGAACCATAAGCTATAGCACCCCAAACCATAACTCCAGCAGTGTGATGAACATGTCTTTCAACAAAAAACTGGATTCCTCCTTTCACCACGTCGGCTTCTAACTCTGGCACGACCATCGTGCATGCCTAAACAAAATCAAGACTCGTCACTAAAGACAATACTGTTCCATTCCTGATCCCAGAGTGACCGTTGTCTGCACCACTCAAGGCGATTGCGTCGGTGTTCTCGAGTTAAAGGGAGGACCCAGTGTGGCCGGTATGAAAACAAGCCAAAACTTCTCATTCGTCGGTAAACACTTCGCATGCCAATAGGTCTTCCGTGTTCTGCAAACCATTCATTTGCAATGGACCTGGTAGTGGAGAAACGGTCCCTTAAGGCCAATAATCTTAGGCGGCGATCTTTACGTCTGTTGTTCTACTGCGGCGTCCAGTGCCCCTTGCTCTTTGCGTACGGCCTTCTCGAAGTCATGCCTGACAACACCTAACCACAGTGTCTACACTTCTTTGCACCCTAACTGCAATTGCCCGAAAAGAAGGTCCAGCTTCCCGAAGTCCCACTATACGGCCCCTATCAAACTCACTAAGTTGACGAAATCGTACAGGTTTCCGTACTCTAGGCATCGTAACCGATCGTAAAGGATGTCAAGAACCAAAATCCGCCAACGTTGATTCTTTACTGCGGCTGAAATATTCATTTTTAGAGCGTTAGTGAATTAAAAAAAAGCAGTATAAAAACCGCAATGTCCAACTGATAAAGATGAACATTTTTTCACTTATTTACAGTAAGATAAATACATTCACCAACTTTTATTAAAATAAAACCATTTAAACTGGGTGTTCGGATTTATATGTCACTTAGTATATTATAATGGGTGATGATGTTTTTGTTCTGTATACATTTTGTTTTGTTTGTATGTGTGGAAAAGACGCACTTATAAACATGAATGCTTCGTAGAGTCATGATGTTCTTACTTCTGGAGATCTCTCTGTATGATTCTCTTCTATGGATGTTGAATATCAATCTGATAAAAAATTGGAGTTGATTGATCCCAAATGTCGATGTGTCTTAATAAATGTAAGTAAATGAGAGAATAACACACATCTAGCAGAGCTGATTCTGATAAGCAAAACTTAAGATTAACATTAATGTTACCTGGTGGAATGTTACTGTCACTGACAAGAAGATTTTGTATCGGCTTGTCCTAAAAATGAAAATGTCTAGTTTGTGAGTAAATGAATCCCTTATGTGAATATGCTATGAATATTTCCGTTCCCAATGTTCTTAAATCACCTATTCTTAGAACGTTCTTCAGGAGAATCTGTTTTAAAGGGATGTGAATAGGATATCTCGTTTAAAATCTAAGGCCCGTATCGTCAGTTGTCCCTACAATTGTAGGGCGCCTTTATGGCATCCTTGATTGTTATAGTTTTCTACTTCTCCGTATCAGCGCTCTATTTTGAGGTTATGTCACAAACATCAATTTGCATCAAATTGTGCTTGGTTTTGAGTTATATCATGTTTTATCAGCCTGAAATTTCCTAAAATTTAAGAAGAAAACTTATCTTCACAATAGAAGAGCGCTGACGCTGACACAGGACAAGTGTAATCTAGAAATTTTTGAAGGAGAGAAAGGAGTATGACAATCAAGGAGGCCATTATCGGGCCCTACAATTGTAGGGTCGACTGACGATACGGGCCTTAAACGCTCATTCCAACAATGTGAATATACCTTTTCATGTTTGCTTTGTATGTGCCTAAATAAACTGATAACAGAGCTGCATCGGAAGTGCACAGCCAACATACTTGGCGTCATTCTTTTTGAAGATTGATAGAAAACCGCAAATAAGAAACCCTTTTCAAATGTGTTGATATCTAGAATAAAATTTATATGAATTGTAGTTGCGGTAACAATAATTTCCACTTGATAGCAAGTTGGCTGACGTGCCTGACTGAGAAATTGAATGATTCCAGGAAAACGGCCAGCAAAAGGACTATGGGGCATGAAACATACGAGAAGACCAGTAGAATACATGGTGGCAGAGGCAAAAAACATGCCTTCCAATGTTATATTGCCGATTGTTCGGTTAACTGTAAACAGAGATGGTATCCAAATGGTCAATATTACAGACAAACATGTGAAATCAGAGACTGTCAGATTCTGTGTGGACGCTATATCTTATGGAGTACAGGACTTGGTGAGTAACTAAGGCTTATTTATTTATTTATTTATTGAAATCCACCACCAACAGTGTTAACCAATTGGGGGCAAAACAACAATAGAAATAGTAAAAAACAAACATATAAAAATACAACGAAAACTAAAAACTAAATCATTTCACTGCAAACTCTCTTAATACTCGAAATACTTGTGTTGAACAAATCAAATGTACTCTGTAGACTATTATAACATGAACATATCGAGTACAAAGGTGAGTGCAACGGTAAGTTAGTTCGTGGGGTAGGTAGTTAAAAAATGAGTGTATTGCGAGTAACAAATTTTGGAGCATTAAGTTTAATCTGTGCTAGAAATGATGGACAATCATAACTGCTATGCACTACTTTATGCAGGAATATTAGCGATTGAATCTTTTTTCTGTTATCAAGACTGATAAACTTGTGCTTACGTAACAGGTCTTCTTGTGGGACCCCAGTGGGTGGGTACGTACCGTCAATTTTGAATGAAACACATTTCATAAATTTCCGCTGAATCTTCTCCAGAGAGCCACAAGTTGTAACATAGCATGGATTCCATATTAGCCGTCCATATTCTAATTTAGACAGTATGAATGAATTATAAAGCATAATCCATCTTTGTTACTTAATTCCTTTGAGTAATAAGTAATAAGGTACTCAATATGAGGATTGACATGTCAAAAATCACACCCAGGTCCTTGCATTCTTGTACTCTCAGCAGAGAATGATTGCCAATTCTGTAGTCAAATGCAATAATATCTAGCTTTCTGGTGTAAGACATAACACTACATTTACTGTAGTTAATTGGAAGTCGATTTACAGCACACCATTTAACTATTTTGGCTAGGTCTTTTTGTAAGTGAGCACAGTCAGTGCTGCAGTCGACATTGGAAAAAATTTTCAGATCATCAGCATAGATTAAGTGGCTGCTGTCGATGTCGCTAACAATATCGTTTATGAACAGTATGCAAAGCAAAGGACCTAAGCAGGAGCCTTGAGGTACCCCTGAGGTTGGGACGAATTCAATGGATTTGACACCCTCATATTCAACATATTACTTTCTTCCTGATAGATATGACTTAAGAAAGGATAACAGCTTGAGGGAGAATCCAAAATAGCTCAGCTTCGATAACAGAATACTGTGATCAAGTTTGTCAAATTCTTTACTAAAATCTGTATAAATTACATCCACCTGGCTATTGGCATCTAATGCAGAGGAGACTGACTGAGTAAAACAGGCTAGGTTAGTTATGGTTGATCTACCCTTCATAAAGCCATGCTGAGAAGTACGTATTTGGGAATGTGTATTGTGGTATAGGAAATTATGCAGCAAAGTTTCTAAGGCCTACATACTAGGGTTATCGGTCTATAATTTTCAACCTGTAGTCTATCACCCTTCTTGAAAATGGGACGCACCTTTGATTCGCCCTAAATTTCAGGAAACGTGTTAGTCTTTAAACATAGGTTGAAGATCTTTGTCAAGGGATGAGCTAAGACGTAGGCACAGTCACGCACTAAAAATGATGGGATTCCATCGGGTCCGGAGGTAAATTTATTTTTCATTTGCTTTAACACTGTAAAAACTTCTTCTTCGGAAAAGCTCTGAAGTATTATGTTAGTATGCAAGTCCGAAATATTGATATCAGTTGCGTTCGAGGGCATAGTATATACAGATTGAAAAAATAGCGCAAAAGCATTAACAATTTCATTGGGTTTGTCATACTGCTTACCATTATAGTTTACTTGGCTGATTGTGGAATTTTGTCCCCTTTTATTACAGATACATGACCAGAAATTGTTCGGATCCTGAGATAGGCTACTTTGGATATCTACTAGATATTTTTGATATGCGTTACGCTCATCGCGCTTAATTTTGGTCCTTAAGTCTTTGAACTCAGTGTATGTGATCAAACTTTTATCCTTTTTAAACTTTTTGTGTAGCAAATTTTTTCTTTTAATGTCTCTAATCATTTCACCGTTAAACCAAACTCTAAATTTGAGGGATCTGAGACTTGTCCTAGGGACACACATATTAAAAATTTTACGAAGAATGTTATAAAATGTTTCCAAAGCTACGTTTACATCTATTAAATTGTCAAGAAACGTCCAATTAATCAAGCTTATTTGTTCATATAGTGCTACAAAATTGGCTTTTCTGAAATTATATGATTCTCTGGCGCATTTGATACTCTTTTTAGAATGGAAGCTCATGTTGATTATCATGACAAGCGGAGGATGGTGAACATCCTCAGGTAGTAGGTCATCATAAGCCTTAACGACGCTACATTGTTTATTTGATAAAACTAAATCTAATAGCGTATTATTTTCATTCCGAACATCATTGAATTGAGAAAGATCGAAGAAACCCATAAATGACTGAATTGTTTTCTGCTTGTGAGAAGATTGGAGGTGATTTTCATTAACAAATTCGGGAACATTGAAGTCACCTAGTATATAAATACTTTTGCCAAAGAGGTAATCAAGCGATTCTAGATGTTCAAAGAATCTTTCATAGCAGGAAGTACTCGTGTCAGGCGGTATGTATATCACAAAGAAATAAGTCACTTCATTTTTATATCTAAGTTTGATTCCAATTATGTCAATACTGGGAATATCGTCTCTGATAAAAGTCATATTTACCTCTGATGCAGTTGATTACGAATACCAATTAAGACACCACCTCCTCTAGAACACCCCATCGCAGAGCAATTTCTGTCCACTCTAAATACAACATATTTGTCAGTAAATAATTCAGAACTGAGTACTGCAGGCTGCAGCCAAGTTTCAGTACAACAGATGATATCATAGTCAGACATAGCGACATTTACAAAGAATTCTTTACACTTAGAGTTCATACCGAGTACGTTCTGGTAGTAAACAGAGATGCGACGATCAGAAAAGGTAGAAGTAGAAACTCTTACAAAATTTTGAGTATTTAACTGTTCATAAGGGATTTCACGGGGAAAATCCGAACTAAGAAAAAAATAACCTAGCTTTAAACTCCTCAACTTTTTGTAAGTAACATGGGCACCTAGAATCCCAAGCCGCATGTGACATGTCATAGTTGGTATTTCTGTCTAGATTATTTCTAACACAGTTAATACATTTTAAGTTCGTGGCCTCGGCAGTGTTTCAGTAAGTGGCTATCGCCACACCGTGGACAGTGAGTTTGGCTCTTACATTGACCAGAAACATGGGAGAAACCACTGCAATTGAAACATCGCTTGATAGAAATTTCATCATACACGCCACAAACATCATACCCCACGAATAACTTACCCTTGTTGACAGACATAATTTTATTATAAGTACCGTAGTCTAATATTGAAGGATGGCTTGGAAAATGTCTACTCTTTTCTTGATTGGCTTAATGTCTATAACTTTACATTCAAATTTTTCACTTAGCACATCTTCATTTTGAGACTTAATGGAATTAATAAAGTTTTCCGCAGATTGTTTTTCAGTCATACCCGCAACTCTAGGACTGAATCCAGCAACCTCCTTGATTTCGTACTTGTCAGAAAGCTTCTCTGCAACAATTTTCTTGAGCTTAAGATTGTCGTCATCGGAATTGCAACCAATTAGGACCCCCCCATTCTTTACGTTCTTGACACCGGAAAGCTGAAGATTTTCTGCGACTTTTGATCATTTTAGAATTATTTAGAATACTCAAAATCTTTTCTAAATTATGTACGATTCAAATACTCTTAATGGCTGGTAGTAAAATGCTAATCGGACACTTGAATGTACGTTCCCTCATGTCTAGTTTTGATGCTATTGTAAATTTAATAGCATTAGAAAATTTTGATGTATTCGCTGTCACAGAGACGTGGCTAAATGAAAATATTACTGATGATGTGGTTAATATTAGCAACTATTGTCTCTTGCGTTGCGATTGAGAATCTCGTGGTGGTGGAGTTGGAATCTATGTTAAATCAAATTTACATGCTGAAAAGGTAGATATTCATACAAATTTTGGTGATTTTATCGAAAGCATTTGGGTTAAATTGGTTGCGGGTAAGTGTGAACTGTTAGTAGGTGTTTTGTACCGACCAACCTCTAAAAACATACAACAATGTGCAGATTTATTAAATGGTTTCCTACCCAGCCTCTCGTTATATCATCATAACATCGTGATATTGGGAGATCTGAATATGAATTTTTTTAATAACAATATATTCTCACAGAGTTTTGAGCTGATGGGATTCATACAAATCGTAACGGAAGCCACCCGTGTCACAGATAGTACTGCAACATTAATCGATCCAATATTTTTAAATAATCCTCAAATATGCAGCTATTCTTCCGTCATGGACACGAATGGTATTTCGGACAAAAATTTATCACAATCAGGGATTTTAAACATTTCAGTGAGGATGATTTTCTTATCGATCTTTCTACATCGGGCATAGATGAATTATTTACGAAATCTAATATTGATGAGAAGGTAATGCACATTACAAGCGTTATAATAACTTCAAATCGCTTAGAAACCGTGCTCTTAACATGATCAGGAGGGACAAAAAGACATATATCGAAAATTTGGCAAATGAAAATGATTCAAAAAAATTGTGGAAGTCTCTCAAACAACTTGATATAAATTTTCGTAGTAAACCAACCCTTCCGGCAAGTTTTAATGACCCTACCAAAATTAATGATTATTTTATGTCTGTTCATAGCTATAAACCTGTTGATTCACTAGTTTGCGAAAACTGTTTCAAAATTAAATTGAGCTCTGAATATATTTTTTCATTGAATAAGATTAGTTCAAATGACGTATTACAGGCAATAAGGAGCCTAAAATCTGATGCAAAGGGAATTGATGGTATATCCCTGTCAATGATCCAGCTTTGCCTGCCAGTTATTCTCCATCACATCGTCCACATCTTTAACGACTGTTTGGAAAAAGGCTACTTTCCAAACACATGGAAACAAGCTCTAATTATTCCAATTCCTAAAAAAATGAAACCCACTGAGTATAATGATCTCAGATCTATCAGCTTATTACGAATTTTATCCAAAATTTTAGAAAAAATTATAAAGTTACAATTGACCGCTTACCTAGAAAAATTCTTTATACTTCCCGACACTCAATCCGGATTTAGAAAAAATTATAGTACTACATCTGCCCTACTTAATCTGCAAGACAATATTTTAAGTGCCTTAGATAAGAAAATGGCACTAGCCTTAATTTCTATAGACTATTCGAAAGCCTTTGACAGCATCAATCATAAATTATTACTTGCTAAATTAAATTACATAGGTCTTGACAGTGTATCCCTTTCATTTTTCGGCAGTTACCTTCATCAAAGAAATCAGTGTGTTTTTCTCAATCAAGCAATGTCTCAAGTGACAATAATTCCCTCAGGCGTACCTCAGGGCTCTGTATTGGGGCCGCTTCTGCTCCTCATATACAGGGTTATCCAAATTAAGTGTCCACCATTAGTAACTTTGTTATTAGTGAAAATACAAAGTTGTTTGAATTAGCAAACTAGTAGCATTTTTAACGCTGGTAAAAATGAGAAATAAAAAAAAACAATTGAGAGTCGTTATTTTGATTTTTTTCAGTAAAATAACATTTTTTTAAATGGAAACCCCTGTATATTATATTTTTTTCTGTTAAAGCATCAAATTTTAAACAAAAAAGCTTACAATAACTTTTCTCCTAGGTTACAAATTGTTGAAGTTATGGCCTCCAATCTGAAACAATTAAATTGTATCGACAAACTTTATTTTCAACATCAACTTATAATCTTACAAAATACAATAACAATTTTTTTTAAAGAAGATGCTCGAAAACACCACCTTGTTCTTCAATACATTTTTGGGCACGTTTTTCAACTGCTCGAACTGTCTTAAGTATGGTCCTACCATCTATCTGGGTTATCTTTTCCCTAACTGCAGTCTTTAACGCGTCAAGGTTATCGTACCTTCGCTTGTAAATTTGGTTCTTTAAGTAACCCCACAAGAAGTAATCAAGTGGGTTTAGATCTGGTGATCTGGGAGGCCACTGTATTGGGCCATTTGTTCCTATCCACTGATCATTAAAAGTAGTACTTAGAAAATGATAAGTACCTCTGGAGTTGTGGGCAGGTGCGCCATCTTGCTGAAAATGCAGATGATGTCTACTTATAAGATCCAATTCGTCTAAGAAATTAGTCAGAATTTCTGACATAAATTCCACATATCTTTCACCAGTTAGGGTTCCCTCATAAAAGAACGGGCCAACAATTTTTGAACCAATTATACCGCACCAAACGTTGAAACTGAAACGGACTTGTGGGCCTCTTGGATGTACTAACAAAAGATTTTCTCTTGACCAATAGTGGTGGTTTTTTCTATTAAACATTCCAGAATTTGAAAAATTTGATTCATCTGTCCATAAAAGGTAACGAAAGTTATTTACATTTTGGCGACAGAAGCTAAGATACCAATGGCAAAAAACAAGTCTTCTCTCTGGATCCCCTGCCAAAAGCGTTTGAACTGGTCGGTACTTATACGGAATAAATTTGTATTTTTTTAAAATCCTTTGAACAGTACCATAACTGAAATTACAGTCCTTGAGAATATCTGCTATTGAATTCTCACGATAAGCTTCAAAATATCCAATAACTGCAATTTCCGTGGCCTCGCTTATTATGAATTCTTTTTTTGCCCTTGTTTTAGCAAAAACATTTTCGTTGCCCCTAAATTTTCGATTAAGTCTCAGAAAATATCGTTCATACGGTTGAATGCGAGCGGGATATAATTCACTGTAGTATTTTCTTGCTCTCAAGGAGGATTTTCTGCACACTAAATAGCATTCTAACATATCACACTTTTCTTCATGGGAGAACATTTTTCTTTAAATTAATGACACAATAAAGCTTATAAACAAGTATTTACACTAATGTTTGACATTATTTGATTTTATCATTGTTTTCCAAAACCTTCTAGTTGCGAGTATGTCCAGTTTAACAATTTGTCGCTTATCTTAATGCTGTCAAATCGCGAACGCCATGTTGTTTTCATAGCTGTCTTAATATTATAATACTGCAAATAATTAAAAATATTTATCGTTATTTTGACTTTATTTTTGACTTTAGCGGAAAAGTCATTATGAACTTTTTTGTTTAAAATTTGAGGCTTTAACAGAAAAAAATATAATATACAGGGGTTTCCATTTAAAAAAATGTTATTTTACTGAAAAAAATCAAAATAACGACTCTCAATTGTTTTTTTTTATTTCTCATTTTTACCAGCGTTAAAAATGCTACTAGTTTGCTAATTTAAACAACTTTGTATTTTTACTAATAACAAAGTTACCAATGGTGGACACTTAATTTGGATAACCCTGTATACGTTCGACTTAAGCAAAAGTATTGATAATTCTCATGTCCAGTCATTTGCAGACGATACGCAATTGCTTCATTATTTTAACCCAGATGATGTCAATAATACTACTCAAATTTTACAAAACGATGTTAATAAATTAATTAAATACTCTTTAGATCACAATCTACTTATTAATCCACAAAAATCTAAAATGTTATTATTTTGCGCACAAAGAAAAACATACAATGTAACACAGCTCTTGAACATTCAGATAAATAACCAAATCTTGCAATTTTCTGATTCTGCAAAAATTCTTGGTGTTGTTTTTGATACAAAATTAAGGTTTATTGTACATGTTAAAAGTCTATCTCAGAAAACCTACCTACGGCTGCGCACTCTTATAGCAAACAGGTATTTACTAAATTTTAAGATGCGTAAAAAACTATATGAAGCATTGGTCATATCTATACTAAATTATTGTAATATCGTATACTATACTTGTTTAGACAATTTCACTAAAAACGTTATTCAAGTTATTCAAAGCAATTGTATACGATTCATTTTTGGCTTACGTAAATTTGATCATGTATCGGCGAAATATCCCGTTCTAAACTGGTTAAAAATTAATGACATGGTCAAGTATCACTATTCAGTTTTTGTTCTGCTCACGTCTAAACCTTATTACTTGAAGGAAAAAATTTCATTTAATAATGATGTTCACTGTAGAACTCTCAGAGAAAATAATATTAGAATACCCCTGCATACGTCTACACTTTTTAAACGCAGTTTTTCTTACAATGTTGCTATTATTTATAATGACCTTCCTAAAGTATATAAAGAATTTTCATTACCTGTCTTTCGACAAAAAGTTAAAACATTGTTACTCAACCCTCCAAACATATAATTTACGTAATCATTCATTTCTTTTTTATTCCATCTTTAATTCAGATTAATAATTTTTTGGTGCATTTGGGTTTGGAAAGTATGCCTTTTTCTCTTTTTTTTTTTAAATTGTACTTTCGATGTAATGAACCAAATCTGTTTGTGGATAGTGTATTCTTTTGAACATCTGCTAGAGACTATATGGTTAAGTGTAAGAGTAGTAGCATGCTAAACTTCGCCATATACGTATAAGTCTGACATTTGGCTATACTACAATGTAATTGTGGATAAATAAAGACGTCTATAATTATTATTATTATTATTATATGACTTAAAAAAATAGCATCTTATTTTAGAAATTTCTTGCGATTGCAATACTTCCTCGCCAATGACGTGGGAAGTAAAACGGCTTTAAAATCGAGGAGTATCAGCGATCGCGATTATAAGTACCTATTTGCAGAACGACTTATCTACGCGATAAAACTCATAAATCATAAAACTTGCAAAAACAAAATTTCAAAAAGTGCTCCTATAGCACCCTGGGCAATTATCTTCTTAACATACTGTATGAATTTCATTGAAAAATATTGAAAAATGGAGTGTCAGTTTTGAAGCAGCTGAACCCTTGTAAATCGCTTGAAACTTACTGCGTCGGAGCCGCCTTAAAAGCTGGTTTATGCACATTTAAAACCGTGCAAGAATATAAATCTAACCCATTTTGGCAAAAAAATGGGCCTGCCGCTCAATTAGTTTCGACTACCAAGGGGGTTGAACAATGGGGATAAACGTTTCACAACAACAAAACATCATAATTGAAATCTTGAATTTTGTTTAAGGTATATACCAGAGTATTCAGCATGATCATAGTAACAGACGACACTCTAGACAACGGAGTCCCATTTGAATGCCACAGTTTCGTATGTGAATCGAAAGACCAAGCCAGAAGGATCACGTATGCCTTGGCCGCGTGCTTCCAGGACTACGGGAAAAGGGTGAAAGCGGACGGAAAGGAGAGAGCTGTCAGAAAGTTTGCCATCGACTTGAGGACCCCCGAGGAACAAGCTGCAGCTTCTGATGGAGAAACGGAAGCGTAATGGTTGCAAAATTTAGAGAATATGATACGAATTGACTCTTTTATATTTCCATTATATATTTTTATAGTTTCTGAAATGATGTAAAAGTGAGTGGTATTTCAAACTCATTTACTTACTGTTTTATTCATAAATACTATATTTATTGTTTTTTAGCTTCTCTTTTCTATGGTTTTAATGACGTATCAAGTTTACGATTGGTTCTACTGGTATCTACAAAATAAATCGAATTACATTTCTGTACCTCAGAGCCAGACTAGGTTAAGTACATTTTTCTCAAAAATGAGTTTAATATGTTAAGCTTATGACAATATTGTGAATTTTAATTAGCTACATGCAGCGACCATCTATCTGTAGTAATAACGAAGTTACGACTTTTTAACTCATGTCAAGTCACATACAACACAATGCAGGAAAAATATTTTAAATAGAATTATCTCAAAACGACTTATTTGGACTTACCCTACTCTGATTCTGAGGTGCACATTTGGATTAGATACTTTGACGATCGATAAGATACGTTTCCACTATTCGTAATTCGTGAAGTTATATATTTTATAACAGATACTGTTTTATATGTTACACATTTTATTTATATTAATTTGTTATTTAATAAATGTAGTTTTTTATACACTTAACTCTTTTCTCCTATCCCGTCTATTTTTCAATGATATGCTAGTATACTAAGTGACATAAATCCGAACACCCAGTTTAAATGGTTTTATTTTAATAAAATTTTGTATAAGTACTTAATGAAGCATAATAAGTAAATGATAAAAATTTCAAAATGATTGCATTGCTTTAAAGCCCTTTGACCATTAATAATGTGTGGATGCATCCTGATGTGCTACGCATTCTCCAACGGGCCTAGGCATGCTTCTGATCAGGTGGTCAATGTCCTCCTGTGGTATCTCATTCCAAGCAACCACCAACTCCTCTCGAAGTGCTTCTAGAGTCTGAGGAGGACGTTGCAAATTGAGCAATCTCCTACCCATCATATCCCACACGTGCTCAATTGGGGATAAGTCGGGAGATCTTGGTGGCCATGGTAACAATGTGACACCATTATGTTGAAAGAAGTCTATTGTGACTCTTGCAACATGTGGTCGGGTAAAAGATGGGGTACTAGAACTTCGTGGATATAACGCTGCGCGTTTATGTTACCTCTGATGAAGATTAAAGGTGACCTGGAACCATAAGCTATAGCACCCCAAACCATAACTCCAACATGTCTTTCAACAAAAAACTGTGGATTCCTCCTTTCACCACGTCGCCTTCTAACCCTGACACGACCATCGTGCATGCCTAAACAAAATCGAGACTCGTCACTAAAGACAATACTGTTCCATTCCTGATCCCAGAGAGACCGTTGTCTGCACCACTCAAGGCGATTACGTCGGTGTTCTCGAGTTAAAGGGAGGACCCAGTGTGGCCGGTATGAAAACAAGCCAAAACTTCTCATTCGTCGGTAAACACTTCGCATGGCAATAGGTCTTCCGTGTTCTGCAAACCATTCATTTGCAATGGACCTGGTAGTGGAGAAACGGTCCCTTAAGGCCAATAATCTGAGGCGGCGATCTTCGCGGTCTGTTGTTCTACGGCGGCGTCCAGTGCCCCTTGCTCTTTGCGTACGGCCTTCTCGAAGCCATGCCTGACAACACCTAACCACAGTGTCTACACTTCTTTGCACTCTAACTGCAATTGCCCGAAAAGAAAGTCCAGCTTCCCGAAGTCCCACTATACGGCCCCTATCAAACTCACTAAGTTGACGAAATCGTACAGGTCTCCGTACTCTAGGCATCGTAACCGATCGTAAAGGATGTCAAGAACCAAAATCCGCCAACGGTGATTTCTTACTGCGGCTGAAATATTCATTTTTAGAGCGTTAGTGAATTAAAAAAAAGCAGTATAAAAACCGGAATGTCCAACTGATAAGGCTGAACATTTTTTCACTTGTTATTTACAGTAAGATAAATACATTCACCAACTTTTATTAAAATAAAACCATTTAAACTGGGTGTTCGGATTTATATGTCACTTAGTACATTTACAGTTGCGATTCTTCAATAGTTTCTTAATATTAAATGGTCTCTTGATATGATTTTTTCAGTGTAAACTAACTGTTTAGCCCGCCCCCGGATATAGAAGTCCAATGGTGTCAAGTCCGGGGATCTAGCAGGCCACGCAATTGGTCCACCTCTGCCTATCCAGCCATTTGGAAAAGTATCGTCCTAATATTGTCTTACGTCTAAACCGAAATGAGCTGGACATCCGTCGTGTTGGAAAACAATTTGCATGTCATCTGGAATTTCTACTCGTACAAGTAATTCGGGAAGATCATTTTGCAAAAAGTGTAGATAACAGTCGCCGTTTAATCGCCAAAAAATGAGGACAGATTAATGTCTGGCCCATAGATTAACATAAAATTTGTGCTGGAAAGACAGTGTGAATTTTCCTGCCTATCAGTCCATTGATGCAAATTGTAAACAGTTGTAATGCACTCCTTTGAGAAATTGGATTCGTCCGTCCATAGAATGCTTTCCAGGAACCGTTCATTCTCAGTGTCACTATGTAAGAGAAAACGACAAAATTGGCTTCGGTGAATACGATCACCATCTTCAAATCTTATTTTCGTTCTCGGTGCATCATACTCCAAACCTTCCATGGCGATAAACCAAGATTAGCAGGCAACTTTCCTAGTACTTGTAATGGGATCATCTTCAAACGCTTGGAGAATTAGATCTTAGGCTTCAGGAGGATATCGACCTGGATTAACACCAGGTTCAGTACGTGTTACACTTCCAGTCTCGTAAAGTCGTCCCAGGAAATCGCTCTTGGTACAAGCGACGTGCTTCTAGTCCATGACCATCTGCTCTGCCAAAAATGTAAACGATATCTTCGTTCTTCGTTAGTGAAAGCGGCCATTTTAAAAACTAATTAATTCAGGGTTTTTGGACTGAAATACATGAATTACTTTTGAATTGTTTGGAAAGGAATAAAGCAAGAATGTGTGGAATTTAGGTATTTAAAAACTATTTCACATAGCCTGATGTCCTTTCAGTGATAATAGGAACAAAAGGCATATTTTTTTAAAACAAATCGAAAATCTCGAATAACTCGAAAACTGTAAGACTTTGAACTAAGGTATTTTTTTCTTGAAAGATTATAAATGGTCTAAACCTCTCCAAGACTTCGACCTTCCAAATGCCCTGTATTGTGGAGTGGCAAAGACATTCGTCATTGCACCACAACAACTATTGTGTTGAAAATCAGTGGTGATATCCTATACCTACCTCTATGACCGCCCATATAGCAAAATCTAGGGGGGGAGGGCATGTTTGATTTACAGGTTGTGCAGGATAAAAAATGCTGAGGGGAGGGGTGCATAATATCTTCTATGTTAGGATGAAGAATTTCAGGATATTTCACTTTGAAGCAGAATCCATACACGCCCTTCATATTTTCATGGTGTTTATAACCAATTCATCATCCAAACATTTCTATTTTGATATACGAATTAAGATCGTAAACAATTCTGCGTCACGACCTTTATGGGATTCCACGTAATTATCATTTTTTTATAATATATTCATGAATCGCTGATCATCTCGACAGCATGCAGCTTGCTGGAAAGATTTATTTTCAAAGTCATGAGAAATTGAAATATAAAGTACACCAGAATCTCTTTGTGAAGGTGGGGACCCAACGGTGTATTGTTTCAACCCTCACACTTGAGGCGTTTGGGTTGGGATTCAGGGGAGCTGGGTAAGAAGGATTTTTACCAAGATTACGAGGGTTTACAATAGCCTGAGGACCCTTGTATACAGCTTTGGACTAGTTCAAGATTAGATGGATATTTGCCGCGCTGATGATCAATATTAACTTATAACTTCAGCTTATGCTAAGTATTGTCCAGACTTATTTCAATTAATCAATACTGGAAAAGTTAAGCACACACGGCCTAAGGATTTAAGAACAAAACGTGATGAAACTGTACCTAACATAACTGAGCCTTGTTTTATATGACGAAATATAAATCACTATTATTTAACAAAAGCTTTGCAGCGCTTCCCAAAATGGTCCCATAATCAGTTATACAACTATACTAAGTGACATATAAATCCGAACACCCAGTTTAAATGGTTTTATTTTAATAAAATTTTGTATAAGTACTTAATGAAGCATAATAAGTAAATGATAAAAATTTCAAAACGATTGCACTGCTTTAAAGCCCCTTGACCTTTAATAATGTGTGGATGCACCCTGATGTGCTACGCATTCTCCAACGCGGCTAGGCATGCTTCTGATCAGGTGGTCAATGTCCTCCTGTGGTATCTCATTCCAGGCAACCACCAACTCCTCTCGAAGTGCTTCTAGAGTCTGAGGAGGACGTTGCAAATTGAGCAATCTCCTACCCATCATATCCCACACGTGCTCAATTGGGGATAAGTCGGGAGATCTTGGTGGCCATGGTAACAATGTGACATCATTATGTTGAAAGAAGTCTATTGTGACTCTAGCAACATGTGGCCGGGCATTATCTTGTTGGAAAGTTGGATCTGCCAGGGTGTCAAGATAGGGTAAAAGATGGGGTTCTAGAACTTCGTGGATATAACGCTGCGCGTTCATGTTACCTCTGATGAAGATTAAAGGTGACCTGGAACCATAAGCTGTAGCACCCCAAACCATAACTCCAACAGTGTGATGAACATGTCTTACAACAAAAAACTGTGGATTCCTCCTTTCACCACGTCGCCTTCTAACCCTGGTACGACCATCGTGCATGCCTAAACAAAATCGAGACTCATCACTAAAGACAATACTGTTCCATTCCTGATCCCAGAGTGACCGTAGTCTGCACCACTCAAGGCGATTACGTCGGTGTTCTCGACTTAAAGGGAGGACCCAGTGTGGCCGGTATGAAAACAAGCCAAAACTTCTCATTCGTCGGTAAACACTTCGCATGCCTATAGGTCTTCCGTGTTCTGCAAACCATTCATTTGCAATGGACCTGGTAGTGGAGAAACGGTCCCTTAAGGCCAATAATCTTAGGCGGCGATCTTCACGGTCTGTTGTTCTACGGCGGCGTCCAGTGCCCCTTGCTCTTTGCGTACGGCCTTCTCGAAGCCATGCCTGACGACACCTAACCACAGTGTCTACACTTCTTTGCACTCTAACTGCAATTGCCCGAAAAGAAAGTCCAGCTTCCCGAAGTCCCACTATACGGCCCCCATCAAACTCACTAAGTTGACGAAATCGTACAGGTCTCCGTACTCTAGGCATCGTAACCGATCGTAAAGGATGTCGAGAACCAAAAGCCGCCAACGTTGATTCTTTACTGCGGCTGAAATATTCATTTTTAGAGCGTTAGTGAATTAAAAAAAAAACAACATAAAAACCGGAATGTCCAGCTGATAAGGCAAATTTGTTCACTTGTTATTTGCAGTAAGATAAATACATTCACCAACTTTTACTAAAATAAAACCATTTAAACTGGGTGTTCGGATTTATATGTCACTTAGTATACGTGCCACGATGCCCGAAGAATATTTTTCCTACAGACAAGCTACGCTTAAGTTATTTGAATCGACTCGCTGCTAGCCCAAATCAGCGTGATATGAATACTAGGATATATTGGTCAGAAGATTTTGCAATCTCCTTCGCGGTGGGAAGGAAATTCCACCAATAGTAATGGACATCAATGCTCCTGTTTAGACGGTGCCCGAACATTTCAATAGGCTCCAGGTAAAAAGTACGTCCTCCATGTAATTTATGGGGATGGTTAAAGGACATCCTGCTTCAGACTCAACCTACAACCAGAGAAGAAGTTTAGGTTACAACAAGAAATAGAGATGCGGTTTTCGTGAGCTTGTTTAGACATCATTTAGCTAGTTTTTCATAAAAAAAAATCATACCAACGCATTTAATTTTTTTGAAAAAATCAACCATTTCTGTCAGAATGTTCAAGAAAGCCCTGTGTAACTCTTCCTTTCCGCAAAAAGTCCAGAAAAGATGGAATGCAATGAAGATTCCAACTTTTCTGCACAATCACAGAAAGGGGGTTAGCATTAGCTTCCGGTAGCTCAGTCGGTGGCATGAAGACATCTACAGGCGTGTAGCTGTGTGTCGACCATGGCATGGCTAGAGGATAGAAGAACAAACAGAACACAAAAATTTAACAGATTTTATTTAACAAAAAAGAAAAAGCATTTCCATTAGATTACAATTTTAAAGTTTTAAAGAACAAAATACATTTTACATCTTTGGCGCTGCTATAAAACTATCAACTTATCTTTCGCTGGTCCATTTTGACTCAACTGAAGCCAGGATGGCCAGGTGCTTGAAGGGGAGGTCCCAGTTATGAGGGGTGACCTCACATATAGTGGCTTCATAACCAGTTGTAGGCGAAGTTAAAGGCGATGGCGCTGCCAAGGCACATGCATGGGTGAAAATATTGGCCAAGCAAGGCAAAGTCAAAGACTAAGGCAAAGGGAAAGGGAAAGAGAAAGAGAAAGGGGGTGGCCCCAATCATTTTGTCCTATACGGACACACATTCTACAAAATTCTAGCACATGGTGCTATATAACCTTGTGCTACAGAGAAGAAATACCTTAGCTTTTGTTCGATCGACGGCTCAAGCGGAAAAAGAAGCGCGAGGAAGATCGCAGATCAGGAACTCCGCATCAAGCGCTACAAGCGGAAAATCTTCCAAGCAAAAGAGCTAGAGATGGGATTAATGAAATGATAATCGAGAAGTGATTTAATAAATACGATCGGACGGTGAAACCGTTACACCTGTAGCGGTCACATGTAAAATCAACAAAACTTCAAATATATATATATACAGGGTGTCCGCAAAGTTGGGGTTTTCCTTTACACGACGTGTAGATCTTGAAAACATAAGCAATTTTTCTTAGTACCATATACACCAATGTCTTAAGGGAACCAAGAGAAAGGGCTCTGCAACATCAAAAATATCTGAATACCGTCCTGTAGCCGCGACCCGCCGCGATATCCCAGACTGGTACCGGCTACTAGCTGAACCCGGCGACAGAACTTTGTCGGGGGTCGGGGTCAGTGTGTCAGGTCAGTATGCAACCTTCAACCGACGGTAAAGGGTCACGCGTATAGAGGTAACGAACCCGTATAATCGATTGCGTTTCAAAAATAAAAAAAATAAATAATAATGGCACACTCATACACCAATAATGAACTCGTTGATATGTTGTTAATTTATGGCGAATGTCTTCAAAATGCTACAGAATCGTCGCGAGTGTATGCAGATCGTTTCCCTATACGACATCATCCTAGGCCCCGCAGATTTGTGTACCTGGTCCAGAGAGTCAGGGATACGGGCCATTTGGAGGAATTTCGAGGTGGGCACAGTGGGAGGCCTAGACAACCACGAACGGTGCAAGTTGAGGAAGAACTACTGAATCGCGTAGACGAAAATCCCTCAACAAGCACTAGAGACGTGGCTAGAGAAGTGCAAGTATCAAAAACTAAAGTGTGGCAAACGCTGCGTGAAGAGGGGCTGTATCCGTTTCACGTCCAACGTGTACAAGCCCTTCAACCTGACGATTTTCCAGCAAGAGTGCGGTTTTGTGAGTGGTTGTTGCATCAACATGACAATAAACCGGACTTTTTGAAGTGCATATTGGTGACAGACGAATCTACGTTCACGCGTAATGGGGTGAATAACTTTCGATTTCAGGCAGAGACGTACTTAGCCCTTCTCGTCAACTGGAGAGTGAGTACTTTTTCCTTTATTTTTTTTTTACTTGGTCGCCCTCGTTTCAATACACATTACCTTTGTTATTTTAAGGGTAGTTGTTTCTGAAAAGGAAAACCCCAACTTTGCGGACACCCTGTGTAGCATTTATAGCCCAAGAATGTCTCTTTACAACTAACCCACGTTTGTTGAAATTAGCTCAGCCGTTTAGAAAATACAGGGTGTTTCTTACGGAAACATTTTAATACCCCCCACCACTTTATTTTTAGAGATACAGCAAAAGTTGTCAAACAACAAAGGTTCAGACTGTTCTGAAATTTGATGAAAGGGTATTTTTTTGTAAGGTTAATATAGCGCAATTCACAGAAACGTCACTTTTTTGTACTCAAGATTGCAGTTACGTCCACTAGCGGTCATTTCATAAACTTGAAGATGTTCTTCAGGTTTTTCTCTAGGACTTCCTTTGCCGCAAGCCTCTGCGATGGATAGGTTCCCATATACAGTATCTCGCATTCTTAGTTGACCACCCTGTACAGTTACTGTTTTTTCTAGCAATTTAGATGGAACGCATACTAGACTAATAGGTCTCAAATGAGCAAGTATGGGTACTGGGAGGGGTAAAATGGAAAGTAAGTTCGCAGTGTGACAGTTAACATTAGAAGCATGGACATTGCAGACATATGAATTTGTTTCAGTAATTTCATACAATGTTTTTAGTTTTGAAACGTACGAAATCAAAGTGTAATATAATCTATCACAGACTTTTCTACATAACAATGTCAGACAAAACAACAAAAAATACATCTTCTTGAAAAAAATAACAATAACAAATATGTTACGACTTCTATAAAGTATAACACTGAATGTTAGTCAAAATAAAATTCTTAAACATGAGAAAAACACCAAAAATATTCATTGCATAACTACACTCTCTTAGCCAGTCTCAAAAAACTAAAACATATAAAGTATGAAACTACATCAGTCCACAGTCTCAAAATAAAAAAATCATTACATTAGCTTAGAAAGTCATTTCGACAGAATTTAAATTAATAAATAGTAAAATAAAACCACATATCTTGATTGGATACTCTGGAAAAGATAACCGTGGTGGTCTATACGTAAGTAAACCCTTAACTATACTAAGTGACATATAAATCCGAACACCCAGTTTAAATGGTCTTATTTTAATAAAATTTTGTATAAGTACTTAATGAAGCATAGTAAGTAAATGATAAAAATTTCAAAATGATCGCACTGCTTTAAAGCCCTTTGACCTTTAATAATGTGTGGATGCACCCTGATGTGCTACGCATTCTCCAACGCGCCTAGGCATGCTTCTGATCAGGTGGTCAACGTCCTCCTGTGGTATCTCATTCCAGGCAACGACCAACTCCTCTCGAAGTGCTTCTAGAGTCTGAGGAGGACGTTGCAAATTGAGCAATCTCCTCCCCATCATATCCCACACGTGCTCAATTGGGGATAAGTCGGGAGATCTTGATGGCCATGGTAACAATGTGACATCATTATGTTGGAAGAAGTCTATTGTGACTCTTGCAACATGTGGTCGGGCATTATCTTGTTGGAAAGTTGGATCTGCCAGGGTGTCAAGATAGGGTAAAAGATGGTGTTCTAGAACTTCGTGGATATAACGCTGCGCGTTCATGTTACCTCTGATGAAGATTAAAGGTGACCTGGAACCATAAGCTATAGCACCCCAAATGATAACTCCAACAGTGTGATGAACATGTCTTTCAACAAAAAACTGTGGATTTCTCCTTTCACCACGTCGCCTTCTAACCCTGGCACGACCATCGTGCATGCCTAAAAAAAATCGAGACTCGTCACTAAAGACAATACTGTTCCATTCCTGATCCCAGAGTGACCGTTGTCTGCACCACTCAAGGCGATTACGTCGGTGTTCTCGAGTTAAAGGGAGGACCCAGTGTGGCCGGTACGAAGACAAGCCAAAACTTCTCATTCGTCGGTAAACACTTCATATGCCAATAGGTACCTCACCTTAGAAAAAAAATTAGTAGATTGGATTTATTCTTAGTCGCCGCTTGCAATTCTTCTTCGATTCTCTTAGATACAATAATATCTAGTTCCTTGTCGGATTTTGCTTGTAATTTGTAATTTCGCCACACTTCGTTAACTAACTTTTGTACATTTTGTACTTTCGTACTTGCATGAGATTTTTTAAAACTTCCAAACAATTTTTGGTATAACTTGGATTTGTCTATGTGAAACGACATCTTATTTAAACATTAAACTTTGGCTAATGGAATCAATGGTAACACAAATGATAACTTGCTGATAGAGGAAATTTAGACAAGTGAACACCGCGCGGTAATTCCCCCACTCGGTTCTAAAGCGAGTAGGGGAATTACCGCGCGCTGTTCACTAAACGTATGCATTATTTGCGGGAATCCCCGAAAATGCGTTTCGTTTTCAAGCAAAGACAATGTGGGGGTTGCCGTTCGTGTAAAAAGGTAAATAACTACCGATGACGTAATCATCATCTAGACTCCCCTACCCCCATGTCATCCAAAATAAGCAAAGCAAAGAGCTCCCCGCCCCCCCTTAGTGCTCACGTAATACTTGAACGGCCCCTTACCTCAGGCAGTTCAAAAATCGGATTAACAAAGTTTCGTTATAAGTAAGAAGCGGCGATCGAGTGTTCGCGTACGTTTTGGCGCGAAGTAAATGGAATTTGTATGACCGCTACCGTAACGTAATAACAAATAAACGTATGCATAAATAACTATCTTCTCAGCACGATACAGGATATAATGTTTTTATAGACGCAATTAACGGATGCTCGGAGATGATTTTTCCAAATTCCTTTCCCTGTTATGCCATCATAAAGGTCATCATCGGGAAACTGGTTTCGGTAGACTCGTGATTATGCATCGGATTAAGCATCCTTCGTGTTTACTTCTTTCAATGCCGCGGTCAGAGCCGAATGTGTTTTAAAAAACCTGTGGCTTAGAGGTAAACACTCGTAAGTCCAATTTTTCCCAATGCAAAGTTTACGTGTTACTATTTAAGTAGAATCGGTTTAATGTAGATTATTTGGCCTTTTTTTTATAGCAAATCTTAAACAGTATTATTAAAAGACAGCTTGCTTTACATTACAGCTTGTTTTTGAAAAGCTCGGCATTTGGTAGGTTTGACTTAGGTTAGATCTGTTCTAATAATTATGAGCATAAAATTTTGAAACAGTAATGTATTTATATGTTCCCTGAGCAATGTTCAAACGTTTGTTCATAAAATATATATTTGGTTTTAAATGCATAATTTGTACTCCTATATAAGATTATCTACTATATATTTGAAATTCTGATTGGACTTATGAATATTCACCTCAGCTGCAGCAATGCAGTCTACCGCGGATCTAGTGACGGATTCTGTGGAGGATCTGAAGCAGAATGGCGAGAAAAAAGCGGAAAAAACGTTTCGTCAAATGAGTGTGAAAGAAAAGTTGAGGTATACGCGTGAAGTGATTACCGTCGAGCCCTTGTTTGCGGCGTATGTGATGGCGGCGTTCTTGTGTAAGCCAGCTTTGCGGTATCTGGAGTTTGAGAAGTCGTGCAGGTAGGAAAATATGATTAAGTACACTAACAAAACAATTGACAGCTTACAATTTCTAAAGCTGTTTACTTGAATCTATACTAGCTTAATCAAGCCAAAACGCAATCGTTTAATTAAATTTATTAAACCGTTTGATCAGATTGAATACACCAGCTTTCTTAAAATTAATGAAGTGTACCTACTCCGAGTAAAACAATTTTGGAGTCATACACGAGCCCCTTCCCACTTCAGTTGGCCCAACTATTGAAATCTTCAAACAGAAATAATAAAAATGTATTAGGGTGTTATAGGTTTAAAATATTAACAATGAATATTTTGATAATATATTGTAGAAAACACCAACTTTATCACTCCCTAATCAAATTTGCAGCACAAAAATAACACATGTTGCAATTACAGCATATCAACCTATTTTCATTTCAATGCAAAATAAGTCTATAACGCATAGGTGGCTGTGAAAAATAAAAGCCATGACAATTGTTTTTATTAATCACAGCTGTCAGAATACGATTAAAATAGTTTTGGGTAGTTAAGGTTTTCAAAATGGGTAGAGGAAAGGTTATTATTGAGAAAATTCGGTTACTGATAAGACTGATCAACAGTCATTGATGAATTCTAATAATCTCTTACTGATGCCTAAGTCAAATAATCACTGATCAACAGCCAAAAAATATACTAAATAAAATCAACAGAATATTACTATTTTTAATGTGCTAAAACCGGAATGAAACTTATTTTTTCAATATTAGTTCAAGTTTTAGAGATACGGTAATTATATGTGTTCCTGCTGTGACAGTGTTAATATACTGTAATTCACAAGAATGCACGTGCTACATTTTTATATTCGGCAAGGAAAGATGATGTAATCGGCATGATTGTGTTACGTTATACATACGTGTACATTATATTGTTTTATATTAGCCATTTTTTCCTCAGTTGGCTGACAGAGTTCATGCAAGATGTCTCGAAAGTGTGTAAACAATCCAGATCAGTTTTGTTACGTGTGTGGTGATGTGATGACTTTTGCGTCTCAGAGACGGTCTATTACTCCACTAATAACAAAGGCATATCAGCTTTATTTCGGTTGTAAACTAGGTGATCAAGACAAACAGTGGGCACCCCACATCTGCTGTAATACATGTGCTTCAAGTCTGAGGAGCTGGTTAAATGGCAAAAAACGGTCTATGCGCTTTGCTGTCCCAATGGTTTGGAGAGAGCCTACAAATCATATTAATGATTGTTACTTTTGCATAGTACCTTGTGTTGGACAAGCCACAGGTATGTCCAAGAAAAAAAAATCGGTTATTAACTACCCAAACATACCATCGGTGATGAGACCTGTGCCTCACAGTGACGAAAATCCTATTCCAAAACCCCCAGAATCCTACACTTGCGAATCAGAAAACGAATCAGATCATGGCGATCGAGTGATTCGTCAGGAAGAAGATATGCCATCAACGTCAAGAGATCCTGATTTTATACCGACCACGTCATGCCACCAACCGCACAAAATAACACAGTCAGAATTAAATGATCTTGTAAGAGATTTAGAACTTCCAAAATGTAAGGCATAGTTACTTGGATCAAGACTGCAGCAGTGGAACTTGTTTGAAGACGATGTTTCGGTATGTGTTTTTCGTAAACGCCACAAAGACTTAGAACCATTTTTCAGTATGGAGAATAACTTGGTTTTCTGCAGTAACATTAACGGCTTACTGGCGGCTTTAAATATAAACTACAACCCAGAAGAATGGAGATTGTTTATAGACAGTTCAACATTGAGTTTAAAGGCAGTGTTATTGCATATTGGAAATATTTTACCATCTCTTCCTGTACAATATGCAGTTCACATGAAAGAATCATATGACAATATGAAGCACCTATTGACATGCATAAAATACGATGAGCACCAATGGCATATTTGTGGCGATTTGAAAGTTGTTGCACTTTTACTTGGGCCACAGCTAGGCTACACAAAGTTTTGCTGTTTTTTGTGTGAATGGGACAGTCGGGCAAAGGCACTTCATTACACCAGACAAAACTGGCCTGTTCGTCAATTCCGAGAGCCAGGTCAAAAAAATGTACAGCATATGCCATTAGTCGATTCGAAAAAAAATTTATTACCACCACTGCATATCAAGTTGGGCCTAATGAAAAACTTTGTCAAGGCATTAGATAGAGATGGGTCAGCTTTTCAACACCTGCGTCAGAAATTTCCAAGACTAAGTGAGGCAAAGGTTAAAGAAGGTATTTTTGTTGGACCACAGATTCGAAATATTTTGAAAGATACACAGTTTGAAAACACTTTAACATATTTTGAAAAAACTGTTTGGAATGATTTCCGTCTGGTGGTCACTAATTTATTGGGAAATAGAAAAGCTGACAACTATACGTATAAAACCCTTGTCAAAAATATGCTGTCATCGTATCAAAAGATGGGCTGTAATATGTCTCTTAAGATACATTTCCTACACTCACACCTGGACTTTTTTCCTGACAATTGCGGAGCCGTAAGTGATGAGCACGGCGAACGTTTTCATCAGGATATTTCAACAATGGAAAAAAGGTACCAGGGAAAGTGGAATCCTTCCATGCTTGCAGACTACTGTTGGACTCTTGGTAGAGATGCTCCAGAAACGATCCATAAAAGAACAGCAAAAAGACAGCGCATATAGTGATTCTTATAAGTATATGAATCTTGTTACTTTTTTTAATATATCCTTAAAAATAAAAAGTTTTTTTTCTAAACCGCAACTAATTTTTTTATTTCATTGTCATTTTTGGATTCAGCGCCCCAAAATTAACAAAGAAGTGCACTTTTCCCACAAGATACAATTAAAAAACTAAAATTTGTTGTCCAGTGTTATAGGTCTAAGTGATTTCAAATATGTATAGAGTGTATCTAAAATGTTTTTGAGAGAATAAATTGTTTTAGAAGTAAATGTTTAGTTTATAAATGCATATTTTGGGACAAATGTTGAAGTGGGCCAACTGAAGTGGGAAGGGGCTCGTAGAACATCTATTATCCCCGATTCCACCTGTTTTACAGAGTAAACCTGAACCTAGACGATCCTACGTGCGATGCTATCCTTCTCAGCGAACACGATAACTACACGGAACAGAACAACCAGATTCTCTATCTCATCAGCAACATGTACTCCTGGCAGCTGCCTCTAACTGTTGCGGCCCCTTTAGTGCTCGTTCTCTTTCTGGGCTCGTATAGCGACAGAAGGCAATGGAGGAAGCCGTTTCTGTTGCTACCGATTTTCGGAGAATTCTTCGGAGTGTTTGGCTGTATTTTGTGTGTCGTGTTCATGAAGTCGTTGCCATTGGAGGCTCAAGGAGTGTTTCAGGTCAGTAACTTGATTTAAATTATTTTCATGGGCTCGGTTAAACTACCTCATGTTGACTTAACTATACATATAGAACAGAGTTCCCCAAACTTTTTTGTGTCGTAGACCCCTTGCCATGTTTTTCCGTTTTGGGTAGACCCTCTACTTACCTGATATTGATTTCCTGTAAATTTCTAACTGTAGTGAAGTTTAGTGTTAAAAACTTAAAGTAAAAACACATGCTAATTTATACATTTATTAATTGAACTTAAATTAAAACTACTCAAAATAAAATTTTGTATCTGTTATGTAAAATATACGTAACATTAAATAAACAGGTGTCTGACCAATAAGTGCCCGCATTGAGAATAAGTGCCCGCATTGAAAAAACATAAGAGGGATAAAATAAAAAAAAGTGAAAAATAATAAAAGAAAAAGTTTTTTACTTAAAATAGTAATAAGCGAGTTCGTTTATTAATTATAACATAAACGTATGTTCTACAATAATTTCACTGTTAGTTTGATTAAATTCCGCTTCTTATACGTTTAAGTTATCTAAAAATTTACGAATTTTAGTGTGTACCCATCCTTGAATTTTCAGAATAATTTAAAAAAAAATATTTTCTATAAAGGGGGGTTCTTTAAAAAAATCAATGCGGGCACTTATTCCCAATGCGGGCATTTATTGGTTAGACACCAATAAACATAAAATAAACTATAAATAAAATAACATAAGCAATAAGTCAATATTTTTAGTGAGAAGGATGAACCTGATGCTTTAATATTAAATTATCAACATTAAATCTCCTCGGCTAATGATGTCCAGTCTGTTTCTTTTTGTCGTTAGGAGATTGGTAACAGCGCTGAACCCCCTTTCCACTAGGTATGACGATGGAAAGGAGATTAAAAATGTCCTCGCTATATTCCATAATACGGGATAAGTAACGGGTATGTTGTTTGCAGCCAGAATTGCTGATATCCGTTTTTAAACTGAACCTTAAGTTATTCGTTTGTATTTAGTTCAGTCAGTTCCTCTTGTATTATGACATTCGTTTCTTCTATGTCACCATATGGATTAATTATCCACGGTGGTATTACCATAGTCTAGTCAAAATATCCTCAAACCTAGATTCAAAATCTGAATAGAGGGCATTTAAATGTTGAACGTAAGTTGAAACTTCGTCTTCCTGGCAGCTTGTCTGTGACAAATTGGGGAACTGAGAAAATTCGCCTCGTCCAATATTTTGCTTCATTAGTTTAACTCTGGCAAGAAACGCTGATAAGATGGACTTTGTTTTAATCAAATTTAAACTGTCGCCTTGTAATTGCAAATTAACCATATTAAATTTTGTAAACAAATCTGTTAAATAGGCGATGTCTGTTTTCCTCTTCATTGAATTTTCTTTTAAAATTTTATCTTTAGTATCCAGAAATTCTAAAATAGTCTCAAAAAGTGCAAAAAATCTTGTCAAACATAAGCCTTTCGACAGCCAGCGTACTTCAGTGTGAAGGAGTAATTGATGAAAGTGTTCGTCATTTTCTTCACACAACTACGCAAATAACCGCGTATTCAACGCGTTGCTTCGGATTCGGTTTACTGCATCAATGACTAAATGAAGTGATTCATGCAATCTAACACTCAAATTTTTAGCAACTAAATGTTGTCGATGGATGACGCAATGTATTGCTAACACCCCTGACACATTTTGTTTTAAATAGCTTATAAATCAACGATAACGTCCAACCATGGCAGCTGCTCCATCTGTAGCTACTGATATTATATTTGATAAAGGAATTGCTTTTTCAATGAAGTAATCCTTCAAAACATGAAATATTGATGCACCTTTAGTGTCGGTTATCAAAGTTCTTGCGAAGAGCAGTTCTTCGTAGATTTCTTGATTCTTAATAAAACGAACATATGCCAATAATTATGCTGCATTATCAGGTAAAGTTGACTCGTCCAGTTGTATAGAGAAATGGGTCGTTTGCAAATAATTACATAAGAAGCTTTCAATATCATAACTCATTTCATCAATACGTCTTTCAACGGTATTGTTGCTTAAGGGAATTCTTTTAATGATATCAGATGCAGGTTTGTGTAAAACAGTTTTTAAAACCTCTTCAACGGCTGGCAAAATTAACTTCCCTCCGATAGTATGCGGTTTTCCGGATTTTGCTATAAATAACGAGATATTGTAAGACGCCCGCAAACCATCATCATTTCTTTGTGACGTCGAAGCGAACATTCTGTCCAGTGTAGGTCTCTTCTGAAATTTATCTTTGAGTGTTTGAAAGTATTTCAAATCTTTCGCTGTTTTATCAGGGAGGCATCTTCTCAGATGATCTTGCAGTTTAGATGGTTTCATAGCGTCATTGCCCAAAACTTTGTTGCATAAAAGGCACATAGGCGATTGTTTGTCCGGCAATGATGGAATGAAGCCAAATTTCAAATAATCAACACTGTACTGTCTACATTTCTTTTTAGATTCGGACATGGCATCCGTCATCTGTGGGCAAAATTAAATTATTGAAATAAGACAGAAAATCCAGCAGCTGTATATTAAAAATATTTTTTGATTTTTCCGAAAACATTCCATAATTCGAACATCTTCTTGCAACAATTAGCTCGAATTACGGAGATTGCACTGTACGTATAATTATATTACCGATTGCTAAAACTTTCAAAAAGAAACTATTGAGGAGTACTCGTGTAATTTTGCATGATTGAATATTTAACTACTAATAACTAAAGTCATGATTGTCGTAATTTATCTATCTTTGCTAACTACGAGTACAAAACTAAAATTTAATAAAAAATAATGTACTTACTTTTATCCAGCACTCTCAAACAAAATAACACTGACTCACTATAATTTGTGTGATATACTATCTGTTTATATTTTTCAAAATATTTTCTTAGCACTTTCCTTTTCGAGATTCAGGAAACGAATAAACGTATTTGTCCCACATTCGTATTTAAAGAGTGACGAATTGAACAAGCTAGTGTACAAAGCGAATACCAACATCCTACAACTTACACAATTTTATAAACATATATAATACATTTTTTACTTCATAGGTACTTTTATAAATAATGTATATGTTTCGATATTATAAGATAGTATGATGTAAGTAAACAGGTACTATCAGTGTATGTGTTGAGATCCACTATCGTGGGCCTCCATATTCATTTCATGGACCCCCAAATTTTTTTTCGCTGAAGTAGACCCCTTGCAGGTTGTCATAGACCCCTAGGGGTCGATATAGACCACTTTGGGAATCAATGATATAGAATGTCCCTTATGCAAATAATGATATTCCAAGCCGTTATTTTACTTCTCATGCCTACTGGCGAGGAAGAATCGCAAAAAATTTAATTACCGTTTCACTACTGTGAAAGTAATATTCCCGATCAGGGGGCGAGTGTGATAGAGATATGAGTCTCGTGAACCAAAGAGGTACCGGATGACTGGAGAGATGAGCTGAAAAATTGGCGTGTAAAACCTACACCATTTGAAGTCATTGATTGTGGCAAAAATTTTCAAGAGTGGAGTACCTTTTTATCGCTGTTATATCCAACGAAGTGCCCCTTTCCAACCCAACCAGTCAGGGTGCCCAAGTTTTGTAAACGGAATCCTCGCGTAGTTTTTCACAAATCGACATACATGAACCAATATGCTAGTTCTAAATTTGATAAGGTAATTCGGAAGAATCTAAAAAAGGTGCAAAAAAATCAACAAAAACGGGAATAGGAAACATTGAGAAAGCTTTACCAGGACCCAATACCAATTAAAAGTAAGAAATGGAAGGATCGGTAGGGTCTAACCAAATTTCTAGACAGAGCAGATTCCAGGGCATTTTATCAACAGTTAATAACTCTTGATCATCCAGAAGACAGCAGTGATGCATATGTTGACGCTTAAAACAGGGGAAAAGTGGCACGAGTCCAGAGTTGAACATAATCTTTTGTGTGTTACGTTACTAGTTTTGAGTCAAAGTTCATTTTGTAAAATCTATTTTACCAATAAACACACTGTTTAGCAAAGATATTCTTTACGACTTATTCTTTCATCAATTTTACTTTCCAACAAGTAAGTAAAGCTTAAATGCTGATTTTCTCAAAATCAGTCCGGATGGACTATTGTCGTTATTCCCCGGTACCCTTCATTTGACTATTCCCTTTTTTGTGAAACATCCAGCGGAAGCGTAGGAAGTATAGAGTCAACCTACTTGATGCCATTTTCTAGAAGACTATAAATGCTTGCAGTACTTTTGTGAATCCGCTTCATAATATTGTTGTTTATATTTTGATATGTTTTTCAGACCGTGATTCCATCACTTTTCGGTGGTCAAACAATGCTGGTGATGGCAGTGTACTCCTACATTGCGGATGTCAGTACAGTAGAAATGCGTACTTTGAGAATAGGAGTCATGCAGATTGTACTGAATTTCATCACCCCAGTCACCCAGTCGTTCTCAGCACATCTGTTCAATTTGACAGGGTAGGTATTGCATTCTGAAATACAATAAAATATTGATACATATGATGTATAACTCTTGGAACACACCTACCTTCTTAGGCGTAATACACATCCCTAGTACAAGGCCTCGCAGAAACCTTCACGCGGCTATTTTTCTCAAACTGAGTATACTAAGTGACATATAAATCCGAACACCCAGTTTAAATGGTTTTATATTAATAAAATTTTGTATAAGTACTTAATGAAGCATAATAAGTAAATGATAAAAATTTCAAAATGATTGCACTGCTTTAAAGCCCTTTGACCTTTAATAATGTGTGGATGCACCCTGATGTGCTATGCATTCTCCAATGCGCCTAGGCATGCTTCTGATCAGGTGGTCAATGTCCTCCTGTGGTATCTCATTCCAGGCAACCACCAACTCCTCTCGAAGTGCTTCTAGAGTCTGAGGAGGACGTTGCAAATTGAGCAATCTCCTACCCATCATATCCCACACGTGCTCAATTGGGGATAAGTCGGGAGATCTTGGTGGCCATGGTAACAATGTGACGTCATTATGTTGAAAGAAGTCTATTGTGACTCTTGCAACATGTGGTCGGGCATTGTCTTGTTGGAAAGTTGGATCTGCCAGGGTGTCAAGATAGGGTAAAAGATGGGGTTCTAGAACTTCGTGGATATAACGCGTTCGAGTTACCTCTGATGAAGATTAAAGGTGACCTGAAACCATAAGCTATAGCACCCCAAACCATAACTCCAACAGTGTGATGAACATGTCTTTCAACAAAAAACTGTGGATTCCTCCTTTCACCACGTCGCCTTCTAACCCTGGCACGACCATCGTGCATGCCTAAACAAAATCGAGACTCGTCACTAAAGACAATACTGTTCCATTCCTGATCCCAGAGTGACCGTTGTCTGCACCACTCAGGGCGATTACGTCGGTGTTCTCGAGTTAAAGGGAGGACCCAGTGTGGCCGGTAGAAAACAAGCCAAAACTTCTCATTCGTCGGTAAACACTTCCCATGCCAATAGGTCTTCCGTGTTCTGCAAACCATTCATTTGCAATGGACCTGGTAGTGGAGAAACGGTCCCTTAAGGCCAATAATCTTAGGCGGCGATCTTCACGGTTTGTTGTTCTACGGCGGCGTCCAGTGCCCCTTGCTCTTTGCGTACGGCCTTCTCGAAGCCATGCCTGACAACACCTAACCACAGTGTCTACACTTCTTTGCACTCTAACTGCAATTGCCCGAAAAGAAAGTCCAGCCTCCCGAAGTCCCACTATACGGCCCCTATCAAACTCACTAAGTTGACGAAACCGTACAGGTCTCCGTACTCTAGGCATCGTAACCGATCGTAAAGGATGTCAAGAACCAAAATCCGCCAACGTTGATTTTTTACTGCGGCTGAAATATTCATTTTTCATAATTTACCCATTTCATTTCTAGGAGATTTTTTACAGAAAATTGCATTTTTTATCGAATAAGTTAGTAAAAAAATAAGAAAATCATACATTTCAAAACGTAATTTTAAAACTTCTGTAAGTTTTCAACATTTTATTACTTATTATGAACTATTGGAATGTCCGCTATGCGACGATAACAAAAAAAACTCAAAATCAAACATGTAGTTTTTTTGTATTTCAAATTTAACCGTCTGAAATCGGAATAAAAAATAAAAAAAATAAAATTCAAATAACTCAAAAACGGTTAACTTCTGGATAGGACATTATAGGACAAAATCGGACAAGTCACCCTGTAGATATGATTTGTGGAACATTCACCAAAATTTTTTTTGAACGCGCCCTTCTTCCGTTTCGAGCTGGCCACGCCCTTAAGTCCTATTACAATTTTAGTAACTCTAGTATATATAACTTGCAGGTACTATGGCGTTCTTCTGGTGGCAGGCGGACTATACCTTTTCGGCTTCCTCTACGGACTCTTCTTCATAAAGGAGCCAAGAAAAATCAAAGCGGCGAAGAAAAGTTTTTGTGCCGATGTTTTCGATCCCGCGCACGCCATCGAAACGTTCAACTTGGTTTTGAAAAAGAAAGAAGGGAACAAGCGGATTTACATATGGATAGTACTGGTGACGCTGCTGTTCTATAATATTGTAAACGTGGGCGAGGGCAGTGTTTTCTATTTGTACGCTCAGAGTAATTTCAAATGGACCCCTTTAGAAATGGCGTATTTTGAGACGCTGAATACAGTCGTTCATCTCATTGGTAAGCCAAGACATTGTTTGACATGTTCAAAATATACTAGCATTAATAATGCAGCATGATGTGCAAATATTTCCGGATTTATATATACTAAGTGACATATAGATCCTAACACCCAGTTTAAATGGTTTTATTTTACTAAAAGTTGGTGAATGTATTTATCTTACTGTAAATAACAAGTGAAAAAATTGTCAGCCTTATCAGTTGGACATTCCGGTTTTTATAGTGCTTTTTTTAATTCACTAACGCTCTAAAAATGAATATTTCAGCCGCAGTAAAGAATCAACGTTGGCGGATTTTGGTTCTTGACATCCTTTACGATCGGTTACGATGTCTAGAGTACGGAAACCTGTACGATTTCGTCAACTTAGTGAGTGTGATAGGGGCCGTATAGTGGGACTTTGGGAAGCTGGACTTTCTTTTCGGGCAATTGCAGTTAGAGTGCAAAGAAGTGTAGACACTGTGGTTAGGTGTTGTCAGGCATGGCTTCGAGAAGGCCGTACGCAAAGAGCAAGGGGCACTGGACGCCGCCGTAGAACAACAGATCGTGAAGATCGCCGCCTAAGATTATTGGCCTTAAGGGACCGTTTCTCCACTACCAGGTCCATTGCAAATGAATGGTTTGCAGAACACGGAAGACCTATTGGCATGCGAAGTGTTTACCGACGAATGAGAACTTTTGGCTTGTTTTCATACCGGCCACACTGGGTCCTCCCTTTAACTCGAGAACACCGACGTAATCGCCTTGAGTGGTGCAGACAACGGTCACTCTGGGATCAGGAATGGAACAGTATTGTCTTTAGTGACGAGTCTCGATTTTGTTTAGGCATGCACGATGGTCGTGCCAAGGTTAGAAGGCGACGTGGTGAAAGGAGGAATCCACAGTTTTTTGTTGAAAGATATGTCCATCAAACTGTTGGAGTTATGGTTTGGGGTGCTATAGCTTATGGTTCCAGGTCACCTTTAATCTTCATCAGAGGTAACATGAACGCGCAGCGTTATATCCACCAAGTTCTAGAACCCCATCTTTTACCCTATCTTGACACCCTGGCAGATCCAACTTTCCAACAAGATAATGCCCGACCACATGTTGCAAGAGTCACAATAGACTTCTTTCAACATAATGATGTCACATTGTTACCATGGCTACCAAGATCTCCCGACTTATCCCCAATTGAGCACGTGTGGGATATGATGGGTAGGAGATTGCTCAATTTGCAACGTCCTCCTCAGACTCTAGAAGCACTTCGAGAGGAGTTGGTGGTTGCCTGGAATAACCACAGGAGGACATTGACCACCTGATCAGAAGCATGCCTAGGCGCGTTGGAGAATGCGTAGCACATCAGGGTGCATCCACACATTATTAAAGGTCAAAGGGCTTTAAGCAGTGCAATCATTTTAACATTTTTATCATTTACTTATTATGCTTCATTAAGTACTTATACAAAATTTTATTAAAATAAAACCATTTAAACTGGGTGTTCGGATTTATATTTCACTTAGTATATATCCGAACAATAAAGTTTGGAAACGGAACAACTATACTGAGTGGCAAATTTTATATGTAGGTATATTGACACTTATTTTTTTTTAGGTACTGCAGCAGGTGTTCCAATATTCGCTTACTTCAAACTGAGCGATCTGACGATATTGCTGTTGACCTTTTTGAACAAAATATTGACGAATTTATTTTTTGGCTTTGCAAACACTGACGCACTGCTTTACACAGGTAAGATACACCGTCAAATAACTCAAATCATCATGCCTTGATCCAATTGATTTTGAGCCGGGTGTTAAATTGGAAATAAGAGGTACAAAATACCTTCAAGGCATGTAAAAATGTGCGCCTCAGCTATATATTTATACAAAACCAATCAAATACTTTGAAATGTGATCATAAACAACGAATTTATTACACAAATTATTCACGTGTTCATTATAAAATTGCTAGATGACTACAATTGTAGGACGCCTCCTTGATTTTCATAGCTTTTTTCTCTATTTTTGCATCAAATTGTCTATGTTTTTGATTCATATCATCCGTTTTATCAGCCCGACATTTCCTATAATCTTAAAAGAAAACATAACCTCACAATAAGAAAGGGCTGACGCTGACCGGAACAGGTGAAATCTAGAAATACCTCAGCCTTTCTGGGGGAGAGAAAAAACTATGAAAATCAAGGAGGCCATAAAGGCGTGCTACAATAGGAAACACTGACGATACGATACGATAGCATTGTTAAATATATTGCTTTAATGGGTGCAAACACGAGCCCCTTCCCACTTCAGTTGGCCCAACTACTGAAATCTTAGTTTTTTTCTTATCAAACACAAATAATAAAAATGTAGCAGGGTGTTATAGGTTTAAAATATTAACAATGAATATTTTCATAATACAGCAGACGCTCGATAACGTAAACACGGGATAATGACAACTTGCGCTAATGTAAACACAAACTTCGTTCTATAGGATCAAACGGAACGCGCGATAACGTAAACAATGTGTACGCTCGATAAGGTAAACAACTCTCGGCGCACGGAAACAGCGCGACGGTAAAATGCTGAAGCCTCGATGATTTATGTCGGGCGTCGGGGAGTCCCCGATTTATGATGAAGAGTGTAGGGGATTCACCTCTGCGATAAAATACGACAAACTCGGTCAGCCGTAGGATCGTATAGGATACGTTTATACGTACGTATGTATTTCATTTTTGAACTTAAGTGAATACATCGCACGCGTTAATATATTTTATGACTATGGCATCCTATAAAAGAAAGTGTTTAAAGTTGAGTGAGAAAGTGAAAATCATAGACGAAGTTGCACTAGGTGCGGGAGTGACACAGTTAGCAAAAAAATATGGAGTATCGAAAGCAACAATCTGTAAAATTAAGCGTATGAAAACTCAAATTTTACAAAGAACGTGCAATACATTTGGAGGTCCGGGAAAAAGAAAAACTTAAAAAAATGCGAAGGCGCCTAAAATGGAAAATTCCCTGTATAAGTGGTTTTTAAAACAACGGGAAAATCATGTCCCAGTTAGTGGCGAAGTACTTAAACAGAGAGCGAGACTGTTAAATGAAAAACTGAAAGAAACTGAAAATTTCGTAGCTAGTGACGGCTGGCTACAACGATTCAAAACAAGATATGGAATTCGACTGCTGTCTATATCTGGTGAAAAATTATCAGCACAACCACAATTAGTGCAACCATTCAAAGAAAAATTGATGAAAACAATTACCGAGCTAGATTTAAGAATGGAACAAATTTACAACGCAGATGAAAGTGGCCTTTATTTGAAAATGTTACCAGAGAAAACCTATGCTGCATCATTTGAAAAATCTGCCCCGGGAAGAAAGCCGGAGAAACAACGAATAACGTTTCTAGCCTGCACTTCACACAAAATAAAGCCACTGGTAATTGGGAAAGCAAAAAATCCGCGCTCATTTAAAAATGTTAATATCCCTGTTGATTATGACTGTTCAAAAACCGCTGGCATGACTAGCAGTTTATTCCTGAAATGGTTCCACAGGTGCTTTGTCCCTCAGGTATGACAATCAATTATCACAAATGCTCTATTCATAATTTGAAGATGTGTTTTCAATTTGTAGGTAAAAGGTTTCCTAAAACAACAGAAGCTTCCAATAAAAGCGTTGTTACTATTGGATAATGCACCGGGTCATCCTCCCGAGCAACAACTGAGGAGGAGGGATGGGTCAATGTTCGTCATGTACATGACGTAACACCGTTAATTCAACCGATGGACCAGAGTATAATAAGACTCACCAAACTATACTATAGGAAGTTTCTACTTTCGTCAGTCTTATCAAAGAATCCTGAAAACTTATCTGAGGCTTTAAAAAAAGTAACATTACGAGAAGCTGTTTTAGATTTACATATGGCCTGGAATGAACTTAACCAGTACACTATTCAAAAATGTTGGAACAATCTCTTTTGTACCAATAATGAAGATGATGAAGAAGACGATGTCCCCTTAAGCGTAATTAGAGAACGTTTGCGATCCAATAATGATAATGTTATTAGTGTGTCATTGGATATTGTTGATTTATTGAAAACAGTGAATCCCGACATTGTTTGTACTCCTGCTGATATGAATTTATGGAACGAAGATAAGCAGACGAATGATGCTGTTAAGGAGGAGGATATGGACAGTGAGGATGATGAGAACGATCCCATTGAAGTCAGAAGTGTAGTGACTGACGTGCAAGCTATACAAGTTTTTAACCAAGCTTTAGATTGGGCTGAAAGAAAAGAAGTTTCATACACGGATGTTTTAGTTCTTCGTAAATTACGGGCGCAAGCATTGGAAGACAATGCTAAGCGCACATTTACGCAGACAAGAATTGTTAATTATTTTTCTTCTAATTAAAAAATACTTATCGCTGTTAGAATATTTGTTTATTTTGTTATAAATAGTATGTATTAAACGTTTCTTTTAATAAATCAAATATTATATAAATCACGTTCGCTAATGTAAACATTTCGATAATGTGAACCACACTTGGATTAAATTAGTTTACGTTATCGATCGTCTGCTGTATATAGTAGACACCAACTTTATCACTTCCTAATCAAATTTGCAGCATAAAAATAACACATGTTGCAATTTCAGCATATCAACCTATTTTCATTTCAATGCAAAATAAGTCTATAACGGTGGCTGTGAAAAATAAAAGCCATGACAATTGTTTTTATTAATCACAGCTGACAGAATACGTTTAAAATAGTTTTGGGTAGTTAAGGTTTCCAAAATGGGTAGAGGAAAGGTTATTAGTGAGGAAATTCGGTTACTAATAATTAATTTTTTTAATTCTGGGAAATCAAACTCAGAAATTGCAACTTTGTTAGACTTATCGCGGTACAGTGTGAGAAATATTGTTAGAAGATATAACGTAACTGGTTCAGTTAATATTAAGCCACGATATGTGAAAAAAAGTAATATCACAAATGCCGACCGAAGAGCATTAAGAAGAATTATCGTGAAAAACAGGCGTGCCAACTATTTTCAATTAAGGGCTCCGTGGAGTGACGCTGTTGGAAGAAGAATTTCGAGGTCCACAACTCATAGAGAGGCCCACAAACTGGGATTTAGCACTTGCAAGGTAAGTTTCCTTATAAAAAAAGTGAAGTAAAAACCCTGAAGTTGGACAACTTGTTTATAGGCCAAAGAAAAGCCACTATTGACTCCACTGCAAAAGAAAAATCGGCTTAGATGGGCCAAAGATCATAGACAATGGACACCTCAACAATGATGTGCAATACAATGGAGTGATGAGGCCCGATTCGAAGGTTGTGTTGGTGACAGTCGCAGTAGAGTTATTCGCAAAAAAATTAAGCATTCCATGTTGACTGTCTGAAGAGAAAAGTGAAATTTCCAGCATCCATTATGGGCTGGGGCAGTATGTCATCAAAAGGAGTAGGAAAACTTTATTTTTATTGATGGAAATGTGGATACAAACAAATATTTGACAATTTTAGAAGAATCGCTTTTACCAGTGATGGAAGAATGTTTGACATCCGGCCAAGATTTTGTGTTTCAGTAAGATGCAGCGTGCCATACCTCAAAAAAGGCTATATAAAATGGATGGAAGAAAATAATGTACCACTTTTGAAATGGGTTTCTAGCAGTCCAGATCTGTCACCTATTGAAACTTTGTGGCACGAGATGAAAAAGGTTCTACGACAACATCCTGCTCGTACAATCACCGAACTGAGACAAGAGCTTCAAGAAATATGGGATTGTTTTACACCAAATTTTTGCCAAAACTTGGATAACACTATGTCCCAAAGAAATTCAGCCGTAATAAAAAATAAAGGTGAAGTTACCCAATGGTAATCTTTCAATTGTTGCGTTGTTAACTTCGCGCATTTATTCGCACATTGTTTATTTGTTCAGATGTTCTATTAGTTATAGGTCTATGTGATTTCAAATATGTATTTTTTACGACTAGAGTGTATCTAAAATGTCGTTGAGAAAATAAATTGTTTTAGAAGTAAATAGTTTCGTCATGTTTAGTTTATAGAAGCATATTTTGGTACAAATCTTGAAGTGGGCCAACTGAAGTGGGAAGTGGCTCGTAGTAAATTATGGAAACAGTACAAAGAACCTGTGACTTTAAATCGCTATGGACTGTTACACAATTTCGTTAGAAACCAATAAACAGTATTTAAGATAATAAAAATTGTACTAGTACAGTAATAGCTTGTATTTGTCTATTTCAGCAACAATAATCAGTATAGTAGTTGGTATCACACCTATAGGAATGCGATCCTTAGCAACCAAAATAGTATCAGAAAATGACCTAGGGAAAGCACAATCACTGTTTGGAATATGCGAAGCAATAGGAGTTGCTTTATCTTCACCTATTTACAATAAAGGGATTTTCAATAATACAGCTACCGATTTTCCCGCTGCGTTTTTCTTTTTTGGAATCCTGTTATATGGCATTTGCTGTGTCTTGTTTGTGTAAGTAGACAATCTATTTTGCTGATAAATGTTTTCCTTGGATTATGGATTATTGTGATGTGGTTATTATTTTATAGTTTTTGTGTATAGGAAGTCATCGATTGTCTATTATCTTGAGTTCCCCTGAATGTTTTTCAGATAGTGATGTGTAAACGTATGCGATTTTTTATTCTAGTTGGATGTACATAAGAGAAAAGGCCAAAAAGAAAAGAAAATCCGCCGCCGAAAAGGACAAGGAACTGCCTATGGACAGTTATATACAAACAACTCACATGTAAGCATTCGTGAATCGTGATACCATTACTGATAAGTTTTGTACATATTGTCATTTTTGAATAAATACCGTTTTATAATTTTCTCTTTTAGTTTTGTCTTACACAGGAAAAACCAAATTCGAAGGATTCATATTTTATATACTAAGTGACATATAAATGCGAACACCCAATTTGAATGGTTTTATTTTAATATAATTTTGTATAAGTACTTAATGAAGCATAATAAGTAAATGATAAAAATTTCAAAATGATTGCACTGCTTTAACGCCCTTTGACCTTTAATAATGTGTGGATGCACCCTGATGTGCTACGCATTCTCCAACGCGCCTAGGCATGCTTCTGATCAGGTACTCAATGTCCTCCTGTGGTATCTCATTCCAGGCAACCACCAACTCCTCTCGAAGTGCTTCTAAAGTCTGAGGAGGACGTTGCAAATTGAGCAATCTCTTACCCAACACGTCCCACACGTGCTCAATTGGGGATAAGTCGGGAGATCTTGGCGGCCATGGTAACAATGTGACATCATTATGTTGAAAGAAGTCTATTGTGACTCTTGCAACATGTGGTCGGGCATTATCTTGTTGGAAAGTTGGATCTGCCAGGGTGTCAAGATAGGGTAAAAGATGGGGTTCTAGAACTTCGTGGATATAACGCTGCGCGTTCATGTTACCTTTGATGAAGATTAAAGATGACCTGGAACTATAAGCTATAGCACCCCAAACCATAACTGTGTGATGAACATGTCTTTCAACAAAAAACTGTGGATTCCTCTTTTCACCACATCGCCTTCTAACCCTGACACGACCATCGTGCATGCCTAAACAAAATCGAGACTCGTCACTAAAGACAATACTGCTCCATTCCTGATCCCAGAGTGACCGTTGTCTGCACCACTCAAGGCGATTACGTCGGTGTTCTCGAGTTAAAGGGAGGACCCAGTGTGGCCGGTATGAAAACAAGCCAAAACTTCTCATTCGTCGGTGAACACTTCGCATGCCAATAGGTCTTCCGTGTTCTGCAAAGCATTCATTTGCAATGGAGCTGGTAGTGGAGAAACGGTCCCTTAAGGCCAATAATCTTAGGCGGCGATCTTCACGGTCTGTTGTTTTACGGCGGCGTCCAGTGCCCCTTGCTCTTTGCGTACGGCCTTCTCGAAGCCATGTCTGACAACACCTAACCACAGTGTCTACACTTCTTTGCACTCTAACTGCAATTGCCCGAAAAGAAAGTCCAGCTTCCCGAAGTCCCACTATACGGCCCCTATCAAACTCACTAAGTTGACGAAATCGTACAGGTCTCCGTACTCTAGGCATCGTTACCGATCGTAAAGGATGTCAAGAACCAAAATCCGCCAACGTTGATTCTTTAATGCGGCTGAAATATTCATTTTTAGAGCGTTAGTGAATTAAAAAAAAGCAGTATAAAAACCGGAATGTCCAACTGATAAGGCTGACATTTTTTTCACTTGTTATTTACAGGAAGATAAATGCATTCACCAACTTTTATTAAAATAAAACAATTTAAACTGGGTGTTCGGATTTATATGTCACTTAGTATATTTCTCTTCAGAATTTACCTTTTTTTGCACCTCCTTGTCTCTGCGGAAAAAGCAGGCGAACATGCGACGAAGCGGTGATACAGTCACCAGTCTGTCGTGTTGACCGGTGCGCGGTGAGATTGTTATAAAAACTGTCGTCCTAACTTTTACCCCGCCGTATCGGGATGCTTTTCGAAATGTTTCCGTGTATACTCGGTGTATCCTTCCGCGGTTTGTCAAAGTGAGTGATTTTCGGGGGCGTTTGTTCCGAGAGACTTTTTGACATGTTTTAGGGGACAGTTTGAGAAGGTGCTTTGGTCCTATTGGAGCATTTGAGTGTTTAGTGTGGATCGTACTGGTGAGTTTGGTGTTTGAAAGTAATGATTACAATAGTTCCTGGCATCATGAGTACAGTACTAGAACACATACAGTAATGGACAAAAGTATATAGACAAATGAATATTGTGCTGTATTTCTTTTTTAACTTGTTTTATTAATTCACCAACCTATTTACATAATTCGTTATAGCATAATACTCACTTATACATAAATAAATTCATTAGACTCGCTTCAATAAAAAAATAATTGAAAAAACTATATAGACAAAGCAAAACAATTATAGAAAAAAGAAGCAAAGTTCATTGAATTATAGAAAACCAACCATGTTTGTGTTAATATTTTGTAACACAACCATTATTATCAATCTCTAAAGCGGCAAAAGGTTCATCCTTGTTTGAATAGTTTTTATCTCGTCTTTGCTTATCTAAGTATTCCCATAGATTTTCAATGGGGTTTATACAGGGTGACTTTGAAGTTGAGTCATTAATTTTCAGATAATGATTGTAGAAGGAAGATAAACCAAAATATGGGCGTAAAAATAAAAAAAAAAAAATAAAAAAAAAATGTTACCTTGTTTTATAAAGTATCCTCCCGACAAGTATTTCAGTGCGGACCCGTATTTGATCGTCTTTGAGCACCGGCATGCCCTCCCCTGTGAGGTCTTAAGTCACCTGATTCACGAGCCATTTGTGCCAAAGGCACGAGGGGTTGGTTGCACTCGATTGGGAAACCGATTTTGTAAAGACTCCCCCCCCCGTAAATAAGAATCATGTCCACAAGTTCAGCATTTTCGTAAAGATGTGCCATTTATATTTCGTTTGAGCCACGCAACAAACACCACTATTCACTCACGCGTTACCGACTGAATCCAACTAAAAACATCGTGATGCGTTTCAAATTCTTTCGCTTTTTTGTTTCCGATGCGATGAACCGATGCGGATTATAATTATCCATTGTCGCCAAACATGAGCACATAATATTATTATTGAGACAGGGCGGTACTCAAACTTCTAAAGGGCTATAACTTTGTTACTTTAATTGTAGCAGAAAAATGTTAAAGGAAAAAAACATTTCTTTTGATCAAATCTACTCACTGTTAAAATAAATGACTCAACTTCGAAGTCACCCTGTATATATTCAGACTTGTATTGTGTTCATTGCAGATAATGTAAAAACAAGGAATTTAGTTTTTCTACTAATAACGCATTTGTTTATGGAGCAATGAAGTATCAATTCGTTTTCTAAATCTTTTAAGGTAAATTTTCATATTTGTCTATTACTGTATGTATCTACAGTCTGATGTTAAAATACTAACAAACTGCCGTCATAAGCCGAAAGGCTGAAAACCTCTTTAGCGCATATCCCAAATATTTCATTTCTTATTATGAAATAAAAGATTTGTATGTAACTTGTGAGAAAATATGTTTAAGGAAGCCTCTATTTGCTATTTTATAGAACGTCGAAGTTGAATCTTGGGTGGTAATGATAGTTAGTAAATAACGAAGTAATGACAACTATAATGTTGGGTACACCCGGCGACGCTATCGAAACCGACAGATCCTAGTTTGGTAAGCGTATTAATTTATAACCGAGGTCGCGACGTCAAAGGCCACTGGATACTAGGAATGATTGAAAAATCGGGAAGGAAAAATGTTAGGACGGTGGAGGTGTCGGAGAGGAATGCCGAACCGCTTATCCTCATAATCCAAGGATATGCCCGTCCTGGATTTGGATATCTTTGGAGTAGTCATGGTCGCGTTCGCGGAATTGATTTTTATCGTTTTTATTAGAATAAATTAAAGCTGAATATCACTTGGAGTTCCAAGTTTTATCTGGTTCTCAGTATATATACTAAGTGACATATAAATCCGAACACCCAGTTTAAATGGTTTTATTTTAATAAAAGTTGGTGAATGTATTTATCTTACTGTAAATAACAAGTGAAAAAATTTTCAGCCTTATCAGTTGGACATTCCGATTTTTATACTGTTTTTTTTTAATTCACTAACGCTCTAAAAATGAATATTTCAGCCGCAGTAAAGAATCAACGTTGGCGGATTTTGGTTCTTGACATCCTTTACGATCGGTTACGATGCCTAGAGTACGGAGACCTGTACGATTTCGTCAACTTAGTGAGTTTGATAGGAGCCGTATAGTGGGACTTCGGGAAGCTGGACTTTCTTTTCGGGCAATTGCAGTTAGAGTGCAAAGAAATGTAGACACTGTGGTTGGGTGTTGTCAGGCATGGCTTCGAGAAGGCCGTACGCAAAGAGCAAGGGGCACTGGACGCCGCCGTAGAACAACAGACCGTGAAGATCGCCGCCTAAGATTATTGGCCTTAAGGGACTGTTTCTCCACTACCAGGTCCATTGCAAATGAATGGTTTGCAGAACACGGAAGACCTATTGGCATGCGAAGTGTTTACCAACGAATGAGAAGTTTCGGCTTGTTTTCATAACGGCCACACTGGGTCCTCCCTTTAATTTGTTTAGGCATGCACGATAGTTGTGCCAGGGTTAGAAGGCGACGTGGTGAAAGGAGGAACGCACAGTTTTTTGTTGAAAGACATGTTCATCACACTGTTGGAGTTATGGTTTGGGGTGCTATAGCTTATGGTTCCAGGTCACCTTTAATCTTCATCAGAGGTAACATGAACGCGCAGCGTTATATCCACGAAGTTCTAGAACCCCATCTTTTACCCTATCTTGACTCCCTGGCAGATCCAACTTTCCAACAAGATAATGCCCGACCACATGTTGCAAGAGTCACAATAGACTTCTTTTAACATAATGATGTCACATTGTTACCATGGCCACCAAGATCTCCCGACTTATCCCCAATTGAGCACGTGTGGGATATGATGGGTAGGAGATTGCTCAATTTGCAACGTCCTCCTCAGACTCTAGAAGCACTTCGAGAGGAGTTGGTGGTTGCCTGGAATGAGATACCACAGGAGGACATTGACCACCTGATCAGAAGCATGCCTAGGCGCGTTGGAGAATGCGTAGCACATCAGGGTGCATCCACACATTATTAAAGGTCAAAGGGCTTTAAAGCAGTGCAACCATTTTGAAATTTTTATCATTTACTTATTATGCTTCGTTAAGTACTTATACAAAATTTTATTAAAATAAAACCATTTAAACTGGGTGTTCGGATTTATATGTCACTTAGTATACATGAAAAATATACATTACTTCACTGACATCATTCGTATCTACCACATAAGAAGGCAAGTGAGTGTATTTGACTTTTCCTTTAAAATGATGCCTACCAAGTAGCTCAAAATGCTGAATGCTTTCATGAACTATAAAAAAATCAAAATACACGAATTTCGTAGTCGTTCGTACCTCAATAGCTTTTCAGACACCACAAAGTATGTTTCAGCACCTATTTTAATTTTTCTAGCAAAAATAAAAGGTGCCGTATCGTCAGTCGTTTGTACAATTTTAGGATGCCTTTATGGCCTTCTTGATTTTCATAGTTTTCTACTATTCCGTGACAGCGCTCTATTTTGAGGTTATGTCACAATTATCTATTTGCTTTTATATCAGCCTGAAATTGCCTTCAATTCAAAAAGAAAACGGAACTTCACAATAGGAGAGCGCTGACGCTGACACGGAACAGGTGAAATCTAGAAATCCCCAGCCTACAATTTATTGTAGGACGCCTTTATGGCCTCCATGATTATGAAAATAGTATTTTCTTTCTTTCAGAAAGACTGGGGTATTTCTAGATTTCTACTGTTCCGTGTCAGTGTCAGCGCTCTCGTATTGTGAGGTTATGTTTTCTTTTTGAGTTGTAGGAAGTTTCAGGTTATATAATAGATGATATAAATCAGAAGCATGAACGATGTGATGCAAATGGATATTTGTAATATAACCTCAAAATAGGCGCAGTCACGGAACAGTTGAAAGCTATGAAAATCAAGAAGGCCATAAGTAATAAAGTAAGACTCTTATAAATACCTTGTAATAATATGGAGCACTTGCAATGCATATTTCCCAATTTTCCACGCAAATGACTTTGACAATATTTTTATCTACACAGGGTGGTTCATAACTTTGTGGTGACGTAAACATTCATGTTTTTTAAATCTACATTTTAGTGCAGATTCGGATAAGTTCTTTCAAATGAACCAATCCTAAATAATAATATAGGGTTTTATTATCAAATTGTTTAAATATTCGTCAATCTATATAAAACGCGCAACTGAATTTTTCGTAAGAAAAAATTTGTGACCACATATTTTCTCCCGAAATTTTCATTTAGGATGGTTGAATTGGACTGTCAGTAAAACGCATTTTGTATAAAACTGTTTTATTACATATATGCATGGCGTAAAAACATTTCTTAAGCTAAAATAAAAAATACTGAAAAATTCAATCCGCTTGATCACAGTAGTTGTACAGAGGTAAACAAATTTCAAAATCGGAATCACATCAGGCGTCTTTCTTTTTACTTTCATAGTTCTGAAACAGAAGGAATGAAATTGATTAACGAAATGAATAAGATTTTGAAAGCATATTACATCAAAAACAAAATATTTTTTAATATGAAAAATATGTTGGTCAAGGTCTTATGAATCACTAAAATGCATCAGTTAGAAGGAATTTAGAAGAGAGAAGATATAAGGAAGGATCATTTTAGTATAAAAATATAATAACCACTTAAAAATATAACTACCTCTCTAGCAACTTTTTCCAAATTTTTGGCAGTTGTCGGCCCTGTGGCATTTACCAAATCTCTTAGAATACCGTTCTCTTTTTGTAACAAAACATAAGGGTGATCATATTCCTCTACACGTCCAGAACTCATCACTAGTATTTTGTCAGAATCCATAACTGTATGTAATCTGTATGGAAAAACATATCCAATATTATTAATTATAAGATGACTCTCAAGCTTACAAAAATGCACCAAACATGTCAAACATTTTTCAAAAATATTAATTTGTACTATCCTGTGGGTTTTAACATCAATATATATTTTATAAATTCAGATCAAATTTGAGACACAAAACAGACACCAGCAACTTTTTAGGACTGACCGTTGATTATAAATTGAGTTTTAATACTCATGTGGACCAATTGCTTACTCAACTATATTATTACTATACGAGGGTGGTTTCAAAAATAGGCTTCACATATTGTTTTCAGGCACAATATGCGTTTTTGTTTAATTCTTATTCAAGTAACGTTAATTGATTAAAATAGCCAAAACGGTTTTTATTTTTTACGCGAAAACTTTGCATTGGACAGAAAAAAGTCAAGAGATCAATTTTATTGTGAAATAAATGAGGATTTCAAAAATGATTTTTACTTTCGGTAAAGCATTGACATACTATATTTTTTTGAAAAATCTCCAGTACCTATACGGACGCCACTGGTAAACATATTAGAAAATATTCTACATCAAAAAATGCTCAGTAGGTGCATGTCAAATTTCATGAAAATATCAGTATTAAAGTTATGATAAGAGAAGATCCAATTATTTCTTAAAATTTTAACACCCTGTAGCTCAAAAGTTAATAGGTTTAGAACATACAGCAGACGCTCGATAACGTAAACACGGGATAATGAAAACGTGCACTAATGTAAACACAAACTTCGTTCTGTAGGATCAAACGGAACGCGCGATAACGTAAACAATGTGTACGCTCGATAACGTAAACAACTCTCGGCGCACGGAAACAGCGCGACGGTAAAATCCTGAAACCTCGATGATTTATGTCGGGCGTCGGGGAGCCCTCGATTTATGATGTAGAGTGTAGGGGATTCACCTCTGCAATAAAATACGACAAACTCGGTCAGTCGTATGATCGTTTAGGATACGTTTATACGTACGTATGTATTTCATTTTTGAACTTAAGTGAATACATTGCACGCGTTAATATATTTTACGACTATGGCATCCACATCCTATAAAAGAAAGTGTTTAAAGTTGAGTGAGAAAGTGAAAATCATAGACGAAGTTGCACTAGGTGCGGGAGTGACACAGTTAGCAAAAAAATATGGAGTATCGAAAGCAACAATCTGTAAAATTAAGCGTATGAAAACTCAAATTTTACAAAGAACGTGCAATACATTTGGAGGTCCGGGAAAAAGAAAAACTTTAAAAAATGCGAAGGCACCTAAAATGGAAAATTCCCTGTAAAAGTGGTTTTTAAAACAACGGGAAAATCATGTCCCAGTTAGTGGCGAAGTACTTAAACAGAGAGCGAGACTGTTAAATGAAAAATTACCGAGCTAGATTTAAAAATGGAACAAATTTACAACGCAGATGAAAGTGGCTTTTATTGGAAAATGTTATCAGAGAAAACCTATGCTGCATTATTTGAAAAATCTGCCCCGGGAAGAAAGCCGGAGAAACAACGAATAACGTTTCTAGCCTGCACTAATGCTAATGGTTCACACAAAATAAAGCCACTGGTAATTGGGAAAGCAAAAAATCCGCGCTCATTTAAAAATGTTAATATCCCTGTTGATTATGACTGCTCAAAAACCGCTTGCATGACTAGCAGAATATTCCTGAAATGGTTCCACAGGTGCTTTGTCCCTCAGGTATGACAATCAATTATCACAAATGCTCTATTCATAATTTGAAGATGTGTTTTCAATTTGTAGGTAAAAGGTTTCCTAAAACAACAGAAGCTTCCGATAAAAGCGTTGTTACTATTGGATAATCCAGTCATCCTCCTGAGCAACAATTGAGGACGAGGGATGGGTCAATTTTCGTCATGTACATGCCGCCCAACGTAACACCGTTAATTCAACCGATGGACCAGAATATAATAAGACTCACCAAACTATACTATAGGAAGTTTCTACTTTCGTCTGTTTTATCAAAGAATCCTGAAAACTTATCTGAGGCTTTAAAAAAAGTGACATTACGAGAAGCTGTTTTAGATTTACATATGGCCTGGAATGAACTTAACCAGCAAACTATTCAAAAATGTTGGAACAATCTCTTGTGTACCAATAATGAAGATGATGAAGAAGATGATGTCCCCTTAAGCGTAATTAGAGAACGTTTGCGATCCAATAATGATAATGTTATTAGTGTGTCATTGGATGTTGTTGATTTATTGAAAACAGTGAATCCCAACATTGTTTGTACTCCTGCTGATATTAATTTATGGAACGAAGATAAGCAGACGAATGATGCTGATAAGGAGGAGGATATGGACAGTGAGGATGATGAGAACGATCCCATTGAAGTCAGAAGTGTAGTGACTGACGCGCAAGCTATACAAGTTTTTAACCAAGCTTTAGATAGGGCTGAAAGAAAAGAAGTTTCATACACGGATATTTTAGTTCTTCGTAAATTACGGGCGCAGGCATTGGAAGACAATGCTAAGCGCAAATTTACGCAGATAAAAATTGTTAATTATTTTTCTTCTAATTAAAAAAATACTTATCGCTGTTAGAATATTTGTTTATTTTGTTATAAATGGTATGTATTAAACGTTTCTTTTAATAAATCAAATATTATATAAATCACGTTCGCTAATGTAAACATTTCGATAATGTGAACCACACTTGGATTAAATTAGTTTACATTATCGAGTGTCTGCTGTATGATCATATAAGCTTTTCTTCCTAAAATGAGCTAAGGTATCATATCCTGTATTTTTTTAACTATCAATTGAATTACACCCTGTAGATAAAACTGTTTATCTATCTTAGGCTTAATAAGCATTTACGTCGCTTGGTATGTTCGACGTTTCGTAATGATATATGAAACTCTCGTTGCTCACCTGTGTGCTATCGTTAGGACTGAACAGTCGGCGAATTTTTCCCTAATGGCACGTTGAATTAAGGCATCCGTGTGAGGATCCACATTGGCTGTAGCCTCATCCAACACCAAAATTTTGTTGTTTCTGATCAAAGCTCTCGCCAAACATACCAGTTGCCTTTGACCAACGCTAAAGTTGGTACCTCCTAGAACAATAATTTGAGAAACTTTATAATCATTCTATTATAGAAAAATCATAATTATCGGACATTTGAAGGCATCATATACTAAGTGACATATAAATCTGAACACCCAGTTTAAATGGTTTTATTTTAATAAAAGTTGGTGAATGCTTATATCTTACTGTAAATAACAAGTGAAAAAATTTTCAGCCTTATCAGTTGGACATTCCGGTTTTTATACTGCTTTTTTTTTTAATTCACTAATGCTCTAAAAATGAATATTTCAGCCGCAGTAAAGAATCAAGGTTGGCGGATTTTGGTTCTTGACATCCTTTACGCTCGGTTACGATGCCTAGAGTACGGAGACCTGTACGATTCCGTCAACTTAGTGAGTTTGATAGGGGCCGTATAGTGGGACTTCGGGAAGCTGGACTTTCTTTTCGGGCAATTGCAATTAGAGTGCAAAGAAGTGTAGACACTGTGGTTAGGTGTTGTCAGGCATGGCTTCGAGAACGCCGTACGCAAAGAGCAAGGGGCACTGGACGCCGCCGTAGAACAACAGACCGTGAAGATCGCCGCCTAAGATTATTGGCCTTAAGGGACCGTTTCTCCACTACCAGGTCCATTGCAAATGAATGGTTTACAGAACACGGAAGACCTATTGGCATGCGAAGTGTTTACCGACGAATGAGAAGTTTTGGCTTGTTTTCATACCGGCCACACTGGGTGCTCCCTTTAACTCGAGAACACCGACCTAATCGCCTTGAGTAGTGCAGACAACGGTCACTCTGGGATCAGGAATGGAACAGTATTGCCTTTAGTGACGAGTCTCGATTTTGTTTAGGCATGCACGATGGTCGTGCCAGGGTTAGAAGGCGACGTGGTGAAAGGAGGAATCCACAGTTTTTTGTTGAAAGACATGTTCATCACTCTGTTGGAGTTATGGTTTGGGATGCTATAGCTTATGGTTCCAGGTCACCTTTAATCTTCATCAGAGGTAACATGAACGCGCAGCGTTATATCCACGAAGTTCTAGAACCCCATCTTTTACCCTATCTTGACACCCTGGCAGATCCAACTTTCCAACAAGATAATGCCCGACCACATGTTGCAAGAGTCACAATAGACTTCTTTCAACATAATGATGTCACATTGTTACCATGGCCACCAAGATCTCCCGACTTATCCCCAATTGAGCACGTGTGGGATATGATGGGTAGGATATTGCTCAATTTTCAACGTCCTCCTCAGACTCTAGAAGCACTTCGAGAGGAGTTGGTGGTTGCCTGGAATGAGATACCACAGGAGGACATTGACCACCTGATCAGAAGCATGCCTAGGCGCGTTGGAGAATGCGTAGCACATCAGGGTGCATCCACACATTATTAAAGCAGTGCAATCATTTTGAAATTTTTATCATTTACTTATTATGCTTCATTGAGGACTTATACAAAATTTTATTAAATTAAAACCATTTAAACTGGGTGTTCGGATTTATATGTCACTTAGTATATTTTGTTTTGCTGTAAAATATCAGACTAAACACTATACAACGTCTAGTCCAGTGGTTACCAAACTTTTTTTCTGATAGCCTACTAAAATTTTGCTGATTTCAACACCCCCCCCGCTATACATTTCTAGCATATTCCTAAAGCTTATCAAGAAGAGAAGGAATTAGAACTAATGGCGCAAATTTTTACAGTGCTAAAAGTAAAAAGAAAGATATTTTCTTATATCCTATTCATAAAAACAACATGATTACAAATGAGGAATCAAATAAACATTAATAACGTAAAACGTACCTTCTTCCACAAACATAGTTTAGTCAAATCAATCGCAAACTATGTACTAAATTCCTATTTAAAATAAGTACGAGATATTTCCTTATCTTTCTTCAAGAAATAACTTTTTTGCCACAAAAAACGCTCCAATAGCTATTTTCAACAACACAATGATAAACAAACCATGGGCGTAGTGAAGAAAAGCATTTACTTATTAAGTAAAAATTCTTTTAGTCAAATTTCTTCTGAAAGTAGTACAAACTAATCTGCTGTACCTATTAAAGTCTACTGTTAGCTTTAAATCCATAAATCTTCAAAACTACTGAACTGAAGCTCATGTATTTTACATCATTATAAAGGGAATTGAAAGACCTTCAAAATAAGGTATCACTCTTTCCATTTAAGATTTTAGAGTTGGTGTCACCCCCGCCCAGGGGGCTGCACGTGTTAACGTGATTTTTTGCCGCCTCGAAAACAAAATCGACGGGTCTGAGCGTTTTTCAAAAAAAACTGAGCTGCCAGTAAATGCGTCTGTTTCGTTTTCGATGCGCCACCCTGTATAAATCAACAATGCAAAAAATAGTATAATAAATCAGAATGTTAATGGAAGTGATGTGCTTGATGAATTAACAGCGAGTTATCAATATTTGGATTTAGTTTTGTAAAGAATAAGTGCAAATCTCCTGGGTCTATAACATTGAATCTTGTTATTTTTTTGTTACTGTTCGTGTAGGTACGAGGAGGAAAAAGCTGCTAAAAAATTTCTAACAATTTTCCAGATCACAAAATATTTTTTGGGTAACTCTGTCTGCTGTCAAAATAATTGATAGCCTTTTTTAAATTCCATCTTCAGCCCCTCACTAGTAGTAGGCCTGATTAGTTTGTCTTGTAATACCACATTTTCCGCTTCTATTTCACCAAAAAGATTTATGATCCATTATCCATCATTAGAATATCGTCAAATCTGCTTGAAAATAAAATTCTTAAAAAGCTGCGTAAGTGATAAAATTCCGAAAACAATTTTCACGTACCGGCTTAAATAACCATCCCAAAACAAAGTTCTCAATATTTTTAGTCCAACAAAAAGACAGCAACGTGCAGACCAGAAAATCAGTATGTCATTTTTAATCTTATTTATTGCCGATTTTCGGTTTCTAGCTCGCCTGTAAAATTTGTAAAATGTTAGTTACGCTGGTACGTGGGGAGACTGACGATATGTTAGAATATTCTCATCAAGGCATTCTGACTGTATAAGTTTTTAAATAAGACCGCATCGTGGTGGTGGATTTGCTATCACATGTACTAAATAGCCAGAATCGTCAGCCATCTAGCGGTCACGTGGTGACTGGATCATTTACCGCGTACTGAGATCTTTACGGTTACAAAAAATAGCAGCTATGTGGTCTCCGCAGTCTTATTTCCATAAACCTTACCGGGATAGAGGATAGTTGCGATGTTCTCGTTCTCAAGAAACGAAAGACCAAGCCTAGACCTTGCTGATGAGTAGCCAAGAAGCACGAAGCAGCGGTCCATGGTCAGTTGTCTTTTGATTTAAGTTAGGTTTGGAAACTTATACAGAATATCGTATACATGGTGTCCCAGAATATGTGAATCAAATTGCAATGGGAGATACCTTTGACAATGACCTCTCAATTGCGGTACAGACCTGACAAAAAAAAACGTGTAACCTTTGCGTTAAAACAAAAAATCAGTTTTTTTGAAAAAGTATGACTTTCGTCAAACTTTCGACGACAGGTGCCGCGTTTAGGGTTTATTTTCATTTTTTTCACTATTATTATTAGCGAATGATTGAAGCATTGGTGGTATAAAAAAAATGTATGGGACTTGCTTGGCAAACGTCTCCGAAAAATATCCCAGTTAATGAAGATTCGAATGGTACAAATCAGGTAATTTACCTCAACAGAGTAGGAGAATAAAATTCTTAGACCTAAACCCTAAACATTTCTTTTATCGGGGTTGCCTCAAAGATAAAATTTATTCGCGACCGAACACACCGATTGAATCCCTGGAAGAACTAAGAGAGCGTATTAACCAGGCTGCACAACAAATTTCTGTTATGAGCTTGCGGCGCCTAAAACAAAATTTTTTGAGAAGATGTGCATTGTGCATTCGTACTTGTGGCAGACACTTTGAACATCTTTTATGAGAATCGTAATTGGTTACTTCTTTATTGATGTTTTTGGTTGATTAAAGTTGAAAATTGAAAGTACTTTTCCGTGTTTTTTTTTAAGTTTGAAACACCAATAGTTTGAACATTCGATCAACGTGAAAAGCAATTATGATTTGAAAAGTGTAATTCTGAAATTCGACCCATTTCGCCTTTGCACTCTAAGAATTTTTATTCTTCTACTCTGTTGAGGTAAATTACCTGATTTGTACCATTTTCGAATCTTCATTAACTGGGCTATTTTTCGGAGAGGTTTGCCAAGCAAGTCTCATACATTTTTTTATACCACTGTTAGTCGAACTTCAAGAAACTTTTTGGTGCAGAAAAAAAATTCCAAAATAGCGCTGCGATTTCCAAATTACGTGACTTTTAGAATAAAACTGTTTGTAGTTTCATGCTTCAATCATTCGCTAATAATAATAGTGAAAAAAAAATAAAAATAAACCCTAAACTCGGCACCTGTCGTCGAAAGTTTGACGAAAGTCATACTTCTTCAAAATACTAATTTTTTGTTTTAACGCAAAGGTTACACGTTTTTTTTGTCAGGTCTTTACCGCAATTGAGAGGTCATTATCTAAGGTATCTCCCATTGCAATTTGATTCACATATTCTGGGACACCCTGTATACGTTCTTAAACTACTGACGACATTTTTGTTCCTTACTATCGATACGAGATAAATTTTCGCCAACGCCCACGTAGACCGCGTTTAGTCTCCCGTGGATCCCTAGGAATCTGAACCACTTTTGGGAACACTGGCCTAGACGAACCTGTACATAATGTGTGATATTATTGCTTACCTTCCGAGACATTGCTGTTCAAACCAGCCGACAGCTCAGATACGGTATCTTTCAAATCAACTTGTTCCAAGGCGTTCCATAGGACCTCATCGCTGTGTTCGTTGAATGGATCCAGGTTTTTACGCATCGGTCCTGAAAATTTTCTTTGTCATATTGCCGAGAAAAAAACAAGGCTTGGATTGTCCAAGCTGACTAGAGACACCAACTCAATAGAATTAGAGTCTACAATGTATTTAAGTAACAAGTTGTAAGAGCCCTTTATAGGAGTTTTTATAGGATTTGCGGTATAATTTTTCCATACTAGAATTCAAAAAATATAGTGAAATTATTTAAGGTCGAAGACTAACTAGTTGTTAGAATATTTATATAGTTTTAGTGACGAATATAATGCTTAAAGTATAATCATATATACCGTCAAATTTTAATCGCTCCACCTCATTATTTCGAAATCTGCGCGTTCTAAACAAAACGTTTTAAACGAAAGTTGCAGGGTTTCGAATGGTCAAAATGATGGTTACTTTGGCAATGACCTGGACTACGACCTTTAAGGCCATTTCAAGGTCAAGTGAATATTTTTAAATGATATCCTGGCTATTTATCAGGAATTGAAAAAAGGAACATGACCTTGACCTCGATTATGACACTGTTCATGACCTTGGCCATGGCTTTGACAATGACAATGTTATTGACCATGACTTTGACAATGGTCATGACCTTGACGATGATCATGACCTTGACCATGACGTCTAAAACAACTTGCTGTACGAGTACCAATAACGTTCTACAGAACAGGTGTGTGATTTGTGGGGATCACCCAAAGGTGACCTTGCTTATGACCTTACCTTAGAGGCCAGTCAAAACTTCCAAAGGAAACATCTCACTTTAATATACTGGAAATTTTACCCGACTTTGACCTTTACCTAAAATGACCTTGAGACGACCTTGACATTGAGATAAGATTTGTGCGTAAAAGTTCCCGCTTTTTTCAGTTCCAGTATAAAAATGAGAGGTTTGCTTTGGAAATTATGGATCGACTGAGCGAGTCATGTACAAGGTCATGGCAAAGCTTATGGTCAAGGCCATAGACATGTTCAAGGTCATCCCCTCAAATCTGATAACTGGGCTGTCTAACAATTTTGCTAGAGCAAAGTGTTTTCAACGTCTTGATTTGAAGATCGTAGTCAAGGTCATTGCCAAGGTCACCTTCATTTTGCTTCCTGGATGCTCTACAAATTTTTGCTTGAAATTTTTCCCTATCATAAACAGTTTCCAAAATATTTAAGTGAGAAGGCTAAAATGTAAGCTTTTAGATTGGATTCAAGAACAATTTAAATGAAATAGGCACTACCAATTATATGTTTCGCTTCTTCTACCACAATTTTCCTTGACAGGTCTGCGTTTTAATTAATTCGCATTTATTGATATTCAATTGCTCTTTTGCTCATATTGCAATTTAGAAATACAATTACCTGAAAATAGTATGGGCTCTTGAGGAATTATCGATATTTTGGATCTAACTTCGTCCAAAGGCAGCTGAGTAGTATCTACACCATCTATAACTATGGATCCCTCTAGAGGGTATAACTGGAACAAGGCAGAGATCGTTGATGATTTTCCGGCTCCAGTTCTTCCAACTATTCCAATTTTCTCTTTTGGTTGTACGACAAAATTCAAGTTCTTCAACACGTAGGGATCCGAGGGATTGTACCTTGGATGATAAAAAAATATGCATTAGTGGTAGTTGCTTCTTGGAATAGTCGATGTATACTAAGTGACATATAAATCCGAACACCCAGTTTAAATGGTTTTATTTTAATAAAAGTTGGTGAATGTATTTATCTTACTGTAAATAACAAGTGAAAAAATTTTCAGCCTTATCAATTGGACATTCCGGTTTTTATACTGCTTTTTTTTCATTCACTAACGCTCTAAAAATGAATATTTCAGCCGCAGTAAAGAATCAACGTTGGCGGATTTTGGTACTTGACATCCTTTACGATCGGTTACGATGCCTAGAGTACGGAGACCTGTACGATTTCGTCAACTTAGTGAGTTTGATAGGGGCCGTATAGTGGGACTTTCTTTTCGGGCAATTGCAGTTAGAGTGCAAAGAAGTGTAGACACTGTGGTTAGGTGTTGTCAAGCATGGCTTCGAGAAGGCCGTACGCAAAGAGCAAGGGGCACTGGACGCCGCCGTAGAACAACAGACCGTGAAGATCGCCGCCTAAGATTATTGGCCTTAAGGGACCGTTTCTCCACCACCAGGTCCATTGCAAACGAATGGTTTGCAGAACACGGAAGACCTATTGGCATGCGAAGTGTTTACCGACGAATGAGAAGTTTTGGCTTGTTTTCATACCGGCCACACTGGATCCTCCCTTTAACTCGAGAACACAGACGTAATCGCCTTGAGTGGTGCTGACAACGGTCACTCAAGATCTCCCGACTTATCCCCAATTGAGCACGTGTGGGATATGATGGGTAGGAGATTGCTCAATTTGCAACGTCCTCCTCAGACTCTAGAAGCACTTCGAGAGGAGTTGGTGGTTGCCTGGAATGAGATACCACAGGAGGACATTGACCACCTGATCAGAAGCACGCCTAGGCGCGTTGGAGAATGCGTAGCACATCAGGGTGCATCCACACATTATTAAAAGTCAAAGGGCTTTAAAGCAGTGCTATCATTTTGAAATTTTTATCATTTACTTATTATGCTTCATTAAGTACTTATACAAAATTTTATTAAAATAAAACCATTTAAACTGGGTGTTCGGATTTATAGGTCACTTAGTATATATTGGTTGTTTTTACGATATAATGCCTTAATATCACAATTTCTAGATTTCCATTATAAAATCTAAAAACTAAAAAAATTGGGAATTTCCATTCAAAAATCTAAAGGGTAACGCAATATCTTATTTTTGGAACACCCTGTATTGTACGACTATAGTTGAAAAGGCGCCACCCTAGATATCAAAATTGACGTGTTCGAGCGTTTTTCCCTATATATACCAGGAAAGTCACAAATAGGGGTGAGACCTTTTCGTTGAACCACCCTGTATGTGCTTTGATTCCAGCAGACAAACATGAGTGATTATGTAAGTTTTCCTTGGAGACATTTTGCAGGTTAGTAGTGAAAATACTGGTTTATTGATGATTCCGTGCTAAATGAGTTCGTAGTCTACAAATTATTTTTTTATAATTGTTGATGTGAAATATGTTACCTTAATTTGACATCCTTAAATTCAATCTTCCCGTGTTCAGGCCAATTTTTCGGGAGATTTGCTATTGACTGTCTCTCGGGTTCGCTTTCCAATTTGGTGTACTCCAAAAGCCTTTCAACCGAAGTCATTTGATTCTCCATTTCGCTCCACTGTCGCATACCCCATTGCAGGAAGCCCATCAGCGTCATGTACTGAGTGATAACAAGCCCTAGGTCCCCACCGTAAATTTCTGAAAATAGAGATATAATATGCGCTAGAGTTGCAAATAAAATTACTCACAAATCGTTCGGCACACAATATGCTTGGCAGTAACGGAACTGGACTATACTGCCGTGCTTAGGTAAAACTATTAACTATCGAGGCGGTGTTGCCAAGCTGCCATAAAATGTTTATAAAATGCTACTTTTATACTAAGTAGAATGGAGTTCAGCTCTTTTCACGGTTTTTGGGGATTACGTCAAAAAGTTTTGCGGAATGAATGCACATGTTGACTTCAGGCCAGCTGTCGAGATAACTGGCATCCATGTCAAATAGACAGGCAATTGTCCAAATAACTTTCGAATACATATTTGATTCTTTAGCTAGACATTGCAAGCGTCAATTAATAGGAGATTCGGTAGTAGATTTGGCAGCGTTGCTCCAAAGATACCTCTAGTAAATTCTAGAAATTATCTTAACCACATGACTTGATGTGCTCCATGTTTCATACCGCGATTTTTACAACATTTGTTTCTTATGCTAAAATTCAGAGTTTTTCATCAGCGCCCATGCGTTATGAGCTTATCTCGGGCCTAATGCTGACGATTTCATACAAAATTCGTACATGACCTATCAATGCATCATCTTAAATATGTTCAAGGTGGCCAGCCATGAATGCAAGGTACTGTATCTGGGAACCTATCCATCTTCGAGGCTTGCGGCAAAAAAATGTATTACTAAAACGACCGAGAGAAAAACCTGAAAAATGTTGTCAAGTTCCTGAAATGGCCACTAGGGGCGTAAATTCAATCTTCAATATAAAAAAGTGATGTTTCTGTCAATTCTGCTATATTAACCTAACATAATCTGAACCTTTTTTGTTTAAAAAACAAAAAATAAAGTGGTGGGGGTATTCAAAGACTCCCGTAAAGAACACCCTGTATCTTCGAAATGGCTGAGCCGATTTTATCAAACTTAGGCTAGTTAAAAAGAGCTATTCTTGGGCTACAAATATTTGAGGTTTTGTTAGTTTCACATCTGGCCGCTAGAGTGCTTTTTTCGGCAATTCCGACAAAAATGGTTGATTTTCACAAAAAAATTAAATGCATTCAGGTTCAAGATTGCAGTTACGCCCCCTAGCGACCAATTCAGAAACTTGAAAATATTTTTCCGGTTTTTCTCTTGGCGCGTTTAGTAATCACTTTCTTGTCGTAAGCCTCTGCGCTGGATAGGTTGCTAGATACATTACTTCGCATTCTTAGTTTTTCCACCACGAACAAATTTCTGAAAACTGTGACCCGCTCATGTTAGAACGTATGGACATATTTATCATACTTACGGTTATTGAAAATGAGGAGAATATAAACAGCAGCACCAACAAATAATGCACAGATTATATCCAGCCAAAGTCCAAAACATCTGCTGGAAGACAGGAACAGGAACCATGCTGAACTGTGCTTGTCTTGGAGATCATCAAATTCCTTTATCAACATGTCTTCTGCGTGAAACGCCCTAATCGTACTTATTCCGTAGAATGTCGTTGTCACATGACTGAACACAGGACTTTTAGCTAAAAAAAAAAAAAAAACAGAAATAGAATACGATAAATTAATGATACGAGATTAGGATTGGTTTAGATATAAAAACTATATAGAAGCTTCCATGTTTCGTTGTTACTGTATGGATTATATCATCATACACGTCCACTGAGTGATCATGTTCTTTCCGACAGGGGTGTTGTTGTACCATTTGCCCCATTTCCAAAAAGGACTAACAGTTAAGAAAAATCTCGGAATATTTACCGGACACAAATCCGGGTTAATTATGTTTTTAACCAGCCACTTGGATAAAGCACAAGGTTTATCACCTCCTTGCGTTGTTTTGCTAAATATTGGCTTCTATTCCACTCTGTTAGTTTTTCCCCGGCGTTATTAATTTTTTCTTTGAAATAGGAAGTTAAACATTTTACACCCTTTCGTCCTCATCATCCTAATTCCAAGGACAAAACAAAAAATAACTGTTTTCTTTATAAGCCATAAGGCGTTTTTTCATCACAGTTCTGTATCATGGCTTTGGACTCATCGTATTTGAGTAATATAGCGCTTTGCTTTCTTTTCTGGCGGTCTGTTTGTAACTTCTTTCTTTTGGCATTTTTTGCATCGCGGGCTGTTTTAAATCCAGGGTCAGTGAGAGGATTAAATTTAATGTTTTATTCGTCCTGATATTTTTTCATCAATAGTTTTCACAGTATAATCTTTATACGATCTTGTATTGTTTTCGTCTTTGATAAAATCCATAAACTGTCACCATATATGTATACTGATGGTTTAGTATTGTATTTTTAGATTTAATTTTGATATACTTTTCTTGAATTAAACTCAAAGAATCATTTTCGGAACGTGAAATGACAACGATTTTCAAAATTCGACAAGAGTCGATTTTTTTCACAGGAAAATATTAGATGCCCGAATGCTATTTGACAAAACTATTTCGTGAGTAACAGATCTATTAAAGTATTTTTCGTTCCCCATTACGAACTTCTCTAATAGAAAAAAAAATAAAATACATCTCTTGCATTTTTTTGCAACGTTATTCCACATTGTCTTTCCAACTAGTTCTTCGTAATTTTCACCGTTTTCTTTCTTCATATCCTACGCCCAATCTTTCAGGATTAGGTTTAGTTGTTCTAAACTTGTAGTTTCCAAGAGCTCGTATTTGTTTGCCTTGCAGAATTCCGTAAACTGATTCCATATTAACGTATGGGTTTTAACGGTACTGTTCGGTACACTTTTATCAATCGCCAGATCATTATTAGTCAAAGAATCATTTCCAAAGCGACTCATTTTTATTACGTAAGCTGACTAGCACTGTTTAAAAACAATATTACAAAATTTATTGAAAGTAAAATCAGAAAAATTGTTTAGCGTCCTAAGAGACCATAATTACTTGTTATCAAAGGTATTGTAATTTTTGGTGACAACAAGTTTTACCGCGGGTAAATTCGAAAAAATTGCTGACAGGTGCTGTCATACACTTTTAATACAGGGTGACTTTGAAGTTGAGTCATTAATTTTCAGATAATGATTGTAGAAGGAAGATAAACCAAAATATGTGTGTAAAAATAAAAAAAAATTAAAAAAAAAATTTACCTTGTTTTATAAAGTATCCTCCCGACAAGTATTTCAGTGCGGACCTGTATTTGATCGTGAGGTCTTGGAGCACCGGCATGCCGTCCATATGTGAGGTCTTAAGTCAAATGATTCACGAACCCGTTGTACTACATTAACAAAGGCACGAGGGGTTGGTTGCACTCGATTGGGCAACCGATCCGCATAAACATGTGCCATTTTTTATTTCGTTTGAGCCACGCAACAGACACCACTATCCACTACCGACTAACACTGACTGTATACAACTGAATGAAATAATTGTAAAAACATCGTTCCAAATTCTTTCGCTTTTTTGTTTCCGATGTGATGAACCGATAAGGCGAATTATATCCGTTGTCGCCAAACACGAGCACATAATATTATTATTGAGACAGGGCGGTACTCAAACTTCCAAAGGGCTATAACTTTGTTACTTTAATTTTACCAGAAAAATGGTAAAGGAAAAAAACATTTCTTTTGATCAGATCTACTCACTGTTAAAATAAATGACTGAACTTCGAAGTCACCCTGTATCTAGAAACCATTTGTAATTCAAAATAGCGCGTTTGTGATTGGTAGAAATTAAGACGAGGGAAATAGTCGCTGTAATTTTGCGATAATTCTACACCTCATGGCATTTTTCATACACAAGGGAAATATTTACCGTAATATCTGCGTCGATATTTTTTGCTAGAATGTATAAATTAAAAAGTACAGTTAGGCATACTTACTAATAGCTTCTATTCTCTTGACACTCCTACTAGTCTTTATGTAGATGATTCTCAAAAAATATATCAGTGTTGCTAGTATACCAGACGGAATCAGTAACCAAGGATAAACGATGCTTGTCAGTATGATTACTCCAATGAAAACAAATGCAATCTGTAAATGAAAGGTATACTCAGTGACAATAGTAGTGTTATCAGAAAAAATAATTTTTCAACAATTTTTTTTTGCAACATAATGACTATATTTAAAGCATGGTTTGGCAACGATTTCGACGTTCTTTCTTTGTTTTTGTTTACCTTTGTTAAAATGTTTTTCTGAAGAAAGCCGTTTCTGAAAACTGAGTAAGTACAGATGCTTTTAAATCTCTCGAAGACATCCAAATTATCAATATGTTAGCGATTTTGACAGTGGTAGAATTATTGCCTGTCGAGATATTGGTTTGTCCTATCGCGAAATTGGCCGCCGTGTTAATTGTACTGGAATGACGGTAATGCGTGTGTGTCGTGTGTGGATAGAAGAAGGTAGAGGAACACCAAGAAGGCCAATTGGGAGAAGGTAAACCTGTTACTATGCGTACAATCTGTCGCCGTATTCGAGCCTTTGGACACGGTTAGTGCTTCCTCTGACTGCGGACCACTGTCGTCATCGAATTTGTGTCGGATATGATGTGAAAGAGACTGTCCACTTTCCATCATTCTCCACAAAATCTGTCACAGCTAATACATCGACATCGAACATCTCGTGTTGTCGATACCTAGACGTATATAGGAGTGTATTCAGCTGCGAGGTCGCCCAACACATTATTAACTTTTTGTTCTTGTTACTCGTACTACTACTAAAATTTCGTGAGAATATTATCGTTTCATTCTTAATGTAAGACTACTTCATTGCCAAAAAAGCAAGTTGAAGTAATTATTCATTATTCAAATGTCACTGAGTGTATAATATACAAGTTACTACAAAATATATGGAAACTTCTCGATTCACGTTGAACATGAAAATAACGTCGCAGATTCTAATAAAAATGTCCATCGGATGGAAATTCAGACATCTAAAGGATGCCACTGGAGATTCAATTGCTTAAATAACTTGGTAATATCGGAAATTCATCGTAGGAAAGAAAAAAATTCGTCCCCAGTTCTCGTGTCAACAAAGCATCGGCAGCGATACAGCTATCGAAAATCATTCTGCTCGTCTTAGGGGCAAACATACGGGGAAATATACAGGGAGTTCCAAATTCGACCGTCACCATTGAGATCTCGGAAAGTGTAAGGGAAGTCGCTTGAATGGGTTAAAGTATGTAGGTTATCGACAAAATACCACTTAGAAAGTTTCGAAATTGAAAGTACTTCCTGAGAGAGACCGAACGAAAAATAATTTTTCAAAAATCGTTTTAATCTTTTCCTGCGTCTAATTGTAACAGAATTTTATGATAAATTGCACACTAACATTGCTACTTTTCATCCTTTACAAGATGGCATACATTATCGAGCAAAAGTAGAGAAATAAACCATATTACGAGTACAAATAAAAATCCAGAAAGATTTACTCTAACCCAAAACTGTACACTAAAGTTTTTTTATGTGTGACTACCTCAAGATAATGAAATGCTTATCTTTGTATACATTCCTTTTTTTTCAATATAATATGGTCGGTTCTTTGTTCAACGAGGAAAAGTAGAGAAACATTTTGTAAATAATTAGTTTATATTTAGGCGTTGATTAGAATAGGTGTTATTTTTGGGTGTATTTGGTAAAGTGGCCAGACGAATTACATTGAATTTGCAAATAAAAAAATTGATTATTTTAAATTATCGATCAGGCATTAAACAAGCAACCATAGCCAAACAGCTGAATTTAATCCGATTGGTAATTTGCAAAACTATTAAGCTGTTCCGCCTCAGAAAATAGTTGATAAGCCCTAGTACTGGCAGACCGCGAAAAACCACACTTAGGATTGATAGGAAAATTAAAACACTTGCTCTTAAAAATCTATTTACTACTGCTGTCGGCATAAAAGTTCAACTTGAAAAAGTAAATATTGGTGTCCACACTGTTCGAAGACGTTTAATTTACCAGCAAGGAGACCATCTAAAAAACCCTTTATTTCCAAGAAAAATGGAACCGCCCATCTTCAATTTGCTTACGATCATTTGAACTTGTCAAAAACAAGTATGAGGTCCTTCATATTCGACAATTGCTTTGTATATTATGTTTCTCTATCTTTGCTCGCTGTAGTTTCTAATAAAAATTGTTAGCATAGTTTTACTAAGGCAGACATTTTATTTTCATGTTGGCTTTTAGTTACAATAAGTTATAATCAAACATAAGTGTTTAGTTTACTTTAATAGTTTAATAAAATCTTTAAAAAAATCAAATTTTTCTCCACTTTTGCTCGGTACTGTAGTTAGAATTCAAATATGGCGTTTCGTCTCTCGTCCTCCAGCATTAAATTTATATTTTCTGTTATAGACGCAATATTATCTGAGCTTACGCTGAATACTTAGCATTGAGGAAAAAATCTAAACATTTGATAGGCAAAGACTTTCAAAGTCATACAGGGTGGCGCATCGAAAACGAAACAGACGCATTTACTGGCAGCTCAGTTTTTTTTTTGAAAAACGCTCAGACCAGACGATTTTGTTTTCGAGGGGGACACAAGTTTGGCAAAAAATCACGTTAGCACGTGCAGCCTCCTAAGCGGGGGTGACACCACCCCCAAAATCTTAAATGGAAAGGGGGGGGGGTCGAGTGATACCTTATTTTAAAGGTCTTTCAATGCCCTTTATAATGATATAAAATTAATGTACTTCAGTTCAGTAGTTTTGAAGATTTATTGATTTAAAGCTTAAATAAAAGTAATGCATCATCATTAGTGGCCCTAAAACCCCCACTTCTATTGCTTCGTTCCTTATAGGATTTTCAAAGGTTGCGTTTTTTATTGGCGACTGACCCAGTTTCCCGAAATTTAGCTACAAGTTCTAGAACATATTTTCGATGCTGATATTTCTGCTGTTCTATTAGCGCACTGATTATTTCCGAAAAATATTTCGATAATTTCAACTCTTTCTGCTTTGGAATATACCATGGTTAATTTATGTAATAAAGCGTTACAAGCTATTTTAGCAACAAAGTTTTTTCAAATTAGTCGCAAATTATCTACTAAATTCCTATTTAAAATAAGTACGAGATATTTCCTTATCTTTCTTCAAGAAGTAACTTAATTTGCCACAAAAAAACGCTCCAATAGCTATTTTCAACAACAAAATGATAAATAAACCATGGGCGTAGTGAAGAAAAGCATTTACTTATTAAGTAAATTCTTTTAGTCAAATTTCTTCTGAAAGAAGTACAAAGTAATCAAAGTAATATTAAAGTCTACTTTAAGCATTAAATCAATAAATCTTCAAAACTTCTGAACTGAAGCTCATGTATTTTACATCATTATAAAGGGAATTGAAAGACCTTTAAAATAAGGTATCACTCTACCCCCCTTTTCATTTAAGATTTTAGGGTTGGTGTCACCTCCGCCCAGGGGGCTGCACGTGTTAACGTGATTTTTTGCGAAACTTGTGTCCCCCTCGAAAACAATCGACGGCTCTGAGAGTTTTTCCAAAAAAGACTGAGCTGTCAGTAAATTCGTCTGTTTCGTTTTTGATGCGCCACCCTGTATAACGAATGTAGAAAAATAAATTCAAGTTGATTCAAAGAAAATCTGGAATTTTACAACAACTTGTAAAAATTCAGATACAATCATCCCCCGGAAAATAAGATGCAGTAACACAAAAGTTCTTTTTGATACGGAACTTTCTGAGATCCCAAGGATCAACAATGAAAACATCAAATAAATAATGATTTAAAAAACTAAAAAATACGTTTTTACAGCCAACCGAACTAAAAAGTAGAAAACAGTTTTTAATTACAAAGAGTTTATATTACAGTAACAGATGGTCAAACAATCAATTATAATTAATGAAATTTGTTTTTAAAGTATTATTTATTTTTCATTTTTTAGTTCGATTTATCAATTAGTTTTTTGTGGACATGTAGTATTGAAATGTCTTACAAATCATTTCGTAATCTAATCATTTCATTTAAAGCTTCACTGTTGCATGGAGTTTTTCCTGTTAACTTGGAGCAGTGAAGTTCTTCAATCCTAATATCGTCTAAATATCTTACACGACTAAGTGCTACATAAGCTTGTCTATCAGCAAACAGTCGTGAGCCTAGATAATCTTGTGGACGGTCGGATCCCAACTCAGAATTAATGGCAACATTCGCAATGAACAAGGTGAGAATGCACTGCCTTGAAAAAGTATCTGCCTTTGTTGTGCTGTGCCAAGTGCCTGAACCAACAAAGAGTATATCCGAAATTGTACGCATGCGCAGATCGCGCGCTACCTGTATCTCTCTTACTCCCCCACAGAGGATCTATAATTGAAATTATCAATCCTGGCGGTCTTAATTAGGATAATGCACAACTATTATTAAATTACAGCATTGTCATCGGTCCTTGATGCGTGTGTGATAGTTTCAAGTTTGTCAAATTTCTGGAAATTGGTGAAAATGATGCTCAAATATTCCATTACATATATACATACATACATACATAGATGCAGGCCAAGCTTATAAAAGTGTGTTAAAAACGAACCTGAGTGGACAGACAAACATACAATCGGTCAGAAGACATTCACGACAATGAGTGACATGGTATTTCGTGAAGTAAAGCAGACGCTCGATAACGTAAACACGGGATAATGAAAACTTGCGCTAATGTAAACACAAACTTCGTTCTATAGGATCAAACGGAACGCGCGATAACGTAAACAATGTGTACGCTCGATAACGTAAACAACTCTCGGCGCACGGAAACAGCGCGACGGTAAAATGCTGAAGCATCGACGATTTATGTCGGGCGAGTCCCCGATTTATGATGTAGAGTGTAGGGGATTCACCTCTGCGATAAAATACGACAAATTCGGTCAGTCGTATGATCGTTTAGGATAAGTTTATACGTACGTATGTATTTCATTTTTGAACTTAAGTGAATACATTGCACGCGTTAATATATTTTACGACTATGGCATCCACATCCTATAAAAGAAAGTGTTTAAAGTTGAGTCAGAAAGTGAAAATCATAGACGAAGTTGCACTAGGTGCGGGAGTGACACAGTTAGCAAAAAAATATGGAGTATCGAAAGCAACAGTCTGTAAAATTAAGCGTATGAAAACTCAAATTTTACAAAGAACCTGCAATACATTTGGAGATCCGGGAAAAAGAAAAACTTTAAAAAATGCGAAGGCACCTAAAATGGAAAATTACCTGTATAAGTGGTTTTTAAAACAACGGGAAAATCATGTCCCAGTTAGTGGCGAAGTACTTAAACAGAGAGCGAGACTGTTAAATGAAAAACTGAAAGAAACTGAAAATTTCGTAGCTAGTGATGGCTGGCTACAACGATTCAAAACAAGATATGGAATTCGACTGCTGTCTATATCTGGTGAAAAATTATCAGCACAACGACAATTAGTACAACCATTCAAAGAAAAATTGATGAAAACAATTACCGAGCTAGATTTAAGAATGGAACAAATTTACAACGCAGATAAAAGTGGCCTTTATTGAAAAATGTTACCAGAGAAAACCTATGCTGCATCATTTGAAAAATCTGTCCCGGGAAGAAAGCCGGAGAAACAACGAATAACGTTTCTAGCCTGCACTAATGCTAATGGTTCACACAAAATAAAGCCACTGGTAATTGGGAAAGCAAAAAATCCGCGCTCATTTAAAAATGTTAATATCCCTGTTGATTATGACTGTTCAAAAACCGCTTGGATGACTAGCAGTATATTCCTGAAATGGTTCCACAGGTGCTTTGTCCCTCAGGTATGACAATCAATTATCACAAATGCTCTATTCATAATTTGAAGATGTGTTTTCAATTTGTAGGTAAAAGGTTTCCTAAAACAACAGAAGCTTCCAATAAAAGCGTTGTTACTATTGGATAATGCACCAAGTCATCCTCCCGAGCAACAACTGAGGAGCAGGGATGGGTCAATTTTCGTCATGTACATGCCACCCAACGTAACACTGTTAATTCAACCGATGGACCAGAATATAATAAGACTCACCAAACTATACTATAGGAAGTTTCTACTTTCGTCTGTCTTATCAAAGAATCCTGAAAACTTATCTGAGGCTTTAAAAAAAGTGACATTACGAGAAGCTGTTTTAGATTTACATATGGCCTGGAATGAACTTAACCAGCAAACTATTCAAAAATGTTGGAACAATCTCTTTTGTACCAATAAAGAAGATGATGAAGAAGACGATGTCCCCTTAAGCGTAATTAGAGAACGTTTGAGATCCAATAATGATAATGTTATTAGTGTGTCATTGGATGTTGTTGATTTATTGAAAACAGTGAATCCCAACATTGTTTGTACTCCTGCTGATATTAATTTATGGAACGAAGATAAGCAGACGAATGATGCTGATAAGGAGGAGGATATGGACAGTGAGGATGATGAGAACGATCCGATTGAAGTCAGAAGTGTAGTGACTGACGCGCAAGCTATACAAGTTTTTAACCAAGCTTTAGATTGGGCTGAAAGAAAAGAAGTTTCATACTCGGATATTTTAGTTCTTCGTAAATTACGGGCGCAGGCATTGGAAGACAATGCTAAGCGCAAATTTACGCAGACAAAAATTGTTAATTATTTTTCTTCTAATTAAAAAAATACTTATCGCTGTTAGAATATTTGTTTATTTTGTTATAAATAGTATGTATTAAACGTTTCTTTTAATAAATCGAATATTATATAAATCACGTTCGCTAATGTAAACATTTCGATAACGTGAACCACACTTGGATTAAATTTGTTTACATTATCGGGCGTCTGCTGTACTTACCTCGACTACATCTAAGATCACTGACGGTAAGTACTCGTCGACGGTTCCCAAATCTTTCGAGAACCTGTTAAGTATACGTCCTGAAGGATTTTTATTATAAAAGTCCATGGTAGCCTTAACAATCTTCGAGAATATGAAGTTGTGAAGGTTTTGCGAGGCTACGGCGAACACCAGCATGAAATGGACGGTTTTCGTTATGGCTACTATGATGTTGCCCAGAGTTAGGCCCGAATAGACGTAGATAATGTTGTCTCTCGATAAAGTTTCATTTGTCGACGTTTGATTCTCTTTGATTTTGTTCCAGTATTCTTCCTCAAGATTAACCCTGGTGAAAGATAAAAGTAGCAGTTTTAGTTGGGTACCCTTAGACGTAAAAAATATTAGTTATTTCTCTTTTCAAATCAACCTTACTATTCGTGCATTATTTACTGGGAAAAGACACATATACCAACTAAATCTCTACGTAACTATCTTAGGAAACTACGAGCCCCTTCCCACTTCAGTTGGCCCAACTAGTTTCAACAAGACGACGATGAATATTAGAAAAGAATCGACTATATATATACTTCGAAGTTGAGTCATTTATTTTAACAGTGAGTAGATCTGATTAAAAGAAATGTTTTTTTCCTTTACCATTTTTCTGGTAAAATTAAAGTAACAAAGTTATAGCCCTTTGGAAGTTTGAGTACCGCCCTGTCTCAATAATAATATTATGTGCTCGTGTTTGGCGACAACGGATATAATTCGCCTTACCGGTTCATCGCATCGGAAACAAAAAAGCGAAAGAATTTGGAACGATGTTTTTACAATTATTTCATTCAGTTGTATACAGTCAGTGTCAGTCGGTAGTGAATAGTGGTGTCTGTTGCGTGGCTCAAAGGAAATAAAAAATGGCACATGTTTATGCGGATCGGTTTCCCAATTGAGTGCAACCAACACCTCGTGCCTTTGTTAATGTAGTACAACGGGCTCGTGAATCGGGTGACTTAAGACCTCACATATGGACGTCATGCCGGTGCTCCAAGACCTCACGATCAAATACAGGTCCGCACTGAAATACTTGTCGGGAGGATACTTTATAAAACAAGGTAAATTTTTTTTTTATTTGTTTTTTATTTTTACAAACATATTTTGGTTTATATTCCTTCTACAATCATTATCTGAAAATTAATGACTCAACTTCATAGTCAACCTGTATATATATATATATACATATATATATATACATATATATATATACATATATATAAAGCACGATCGGGATATCTCTTGTGATAAATCCGTCTGGCTTGCTCACCATTACCGTTGGCAAGGCCATATACGAGCCCGTTCCCACTTCAGCTCAAATTCACTGTTGGTGCAACAAGCCACTAGATCGTAATCAAATAAACATAATTGAACAATCTCATATTACGAGCCCCTTCCCACTTCAGTTGGCCCAACTATTGAAATCTTAGTTGTTTTCTTATCAAACACAAATAATAAAAATGTAGCAGGGTGTTATAGGTTAAAAATATTAACAATGAATATTTTTATAATATATAGTAGAAAACACCAACTTTATCACTCCCTAATCAAATTTGCAGCATAAAAATAACACCTGTTGCAATTACAGCATATCAACCTATTTCCATTTCAATGCAAAATAAGTCTATAACGCATAGGTGGCTGTGAAAAATAAAAGCCATGACAATTGTTTTTATTAACCACAGCTGTCAGAATACGATTAAAATAGTTTTGGGTAGTTAAGGTTTTCAAAATGGGTAGAGGCAAGGTTATTAGTGAGAAAATTCGGTTACTGATAACACTGGACAACAAATTGTAGTTTTTTAATTGTATCTTGTGGAAAAAGTGCACTTCTTTGTTAATTTTGGGGCGCTGAATCCAAAAATGACAATGAAATAAAAAAATTAGTTGCGGTTTAGGAAAAAAAACTTTTTATTTTTAAGGATATATCAAAAAAAGTAACAAGATTCATATACTTATAAGAATCACTATATGCGCTGTCTTTTTGCTGTTCTTTTATGGATCGTTTCTGGAGCATCTCTACCAAGAGTCCAACAGTAGTCTGCAAGCATGGAAGGATTCCACTTTCCCTGGTACCTTTTTTCCATTGTTGAAATATCCTGATGAAAACGTTCGCCGTGCTCATCACTTACGGCTCCGCAATTGTCAGGAAAAAAGTCCAGGTGTGAGTGTAGGAAATGTATCTTAAGAGACATATTACAGCTCATCTATTGATACGATGACAGGATATTTTTGACAAGGGTTTTATAGTTGTCAGCTTTTCTATTGCCCAAGAAATTAGTGACCACGGAAATCATTCCAAGCAGTTTTTTCAATACCTGTTAAAGTGTTTTCAAACTGTGTATCTTTCAAAATATTTCGAATCTGTGGCCCAACAAAAATACCTTCTTTAACCTTTGCCTCACTTAGTCTTGGAAATTTCTGTCACAGGTATTGAAAAGCTGACCCATCTCTATCTAATGCCTTGACAAAGTTTTTCATTAGGCCCAACTTGATATGCAGTGGTGGTAATAAAATTTTTTTCGAATCTACTAATGGCATATGCTGTACATTCACACAGAAAACAGCAAAACCTTGTGTAGCCTAGCTGCAGCCCAAGTAAAAGTGCAACAACTTTCAAATCGCCACAAATATGCCATTGGTGCTCATCGTATTTTATGCATGTCAATAGGTACTTCATATTGTCATATGATTCTTTCATGTGAACTGCATACCCTACAGGAAGAGATGGTAAAATATTTCCAATATGCAATAACACGGCCTTTAAACTCAATGTTGAACTGTCTATAAACAATCTCCATTCTTCTGGGTTATAGTTTATATTTAAAGCCGCCAGTAAGCCGTTAATGTTACTGCAGAAAACCAAGTTATTCTCCATATTGAAAAATGGTTCTAAGTCTTTGTGGCGTTTACGAAAAACACATACCGAAACATTGTCTTCTAACAAGTTCCACTGCTGCAGTCTTGATCCAAGTAACTCTGCCTTACATTTTGGAAGTTCTAAATCTCTTACAAGATCATTTAATTCTGACTGTGTTATTTTGTGCGGTTGGTGGCATGACGTGCTCGGTATAAAATCAGGATCTCTTGACGTTGATGGCTTATCTTCTTCCTGACGAATCACTCGATCGCCATGATCTGATTCGTTTTCTGATTCGCAAGTGTAGGATTCTGGGGGTTTTGGAATAGGATTTTCGTCACTGTGAGGCACAGGTCTCATCGCAGATGGTATGTTTGGGTAGTTAATAACCGATTTTTTTTTCTTGGACATACCTGTGGCTTGTCCAACACAAGGTACCATGCAAAAGTAACAACCATTAATATGATTTGTAGGCTCTCTCCAAACCATTGGGACAGCAAAGCGCATAGACCGTCTTTTGCCATTTAACCAGCTCCTCAGACTTGAAGCACATGTATTACAGCAGATGTGGGGTGCCCACTGTTTGTATTGATCACCTAGTTTACAACCGAAATAAAGCTGATATGCCTTTGTTATTAGTGGAGTAATAGACCGTCTCTGAGACGCAAAAGTCACATCACCACACACGTAACAAAACTGATCTGGATTATTTACACACTTTCGAGACATCTTGCATGAAAGCTGTCAGCCAACTGAGGAAAAAATGGCTAATATAAAACAATATAATGTACACGTATGTATAACGTAACACAATCATGCCGATTACATCATCTTTCCTTGCCGAATGTAAAATTGTAGCACGTGCATTCTTGTGAATTACAATATATTAACACTGTCACAGCAGGAACACATATAATTACCGTATCTCTAAAACTTGAACTAATCTTGAAAAAATAAGTTTCATTCCGGTTTTAGCACATTAAAAATAGTAATATTTATGAGAAAAAAAGTAATATCACAAATGCCGACCGAAGAGCATTAAGAAGAATAATCGTGAAAAACAGGCGTGTCAATTATTTACAATTAAGTGCTCTGTGGAGTGACGCTGTTGGAAGGAGAATTTCGAGGTCCACAACTCATAGAGTGGCCCACAAACTGGGATATAACACTTGCAAGGTAAGTTTTCTTATAAAAAAGTGAAGTAAAAACCCTAAAGTTGCACAACTTGTTTATAGGCCAAAGAAAAGCCACTATTGACTCCACTGCAAAAGAAAAATCGGCTTAGATGGGCTAAAGAACATAGACAATGGACACCTCAACAATGGTGTGCAATACAATGGACTGATGAGGCCCGATTCGAAGTTTGTGTTGGTGACAGTCGCAGTAGAGTTATTCGCAAAAAAAATGAAGCATTCCATGTTGACTGAGGATAAAAGTGAAATTTCCAGCATCCATTATGGTCTGGGGCAGTATGTCATCAAAGGGAGTAGGAAAACTACATTTTATCGATGGAAATGTGGATACAAACAAATATTTGCCAATTTTAGAAGAATCGCTTTTACCAGTGATGGAAGAATGTTTGACATCCGGCCAAGATTTTGTGTTTCAGCAAGATGGTGCAGCGTGCCATACCTCAAAAAAGGCTATAAAATGGATGGAAGAAAATAATGTACCACTTTAGAAATGGGTTTCTAGCAGTCCAGATCTGTCACCCACTGAAACTTTGTGGCACGAGATGAAAAATATTCTACGACAACATCCTGCTCGTACAATCACCGAACTGAGATAAAAGCTTCAAGAAATATGGGATTGTTTTACACCAAATTTTTGCCAAAACTTAGTTAATACTATGCCCCAAAAAATTTCAGCTGTAATAAAAAATAAAGGTGATGTTACCTAATGGTAATCTTTCAATTTTATTCGCACATTGTTTATTTGTTCAGAATGTTCTATTAGTTATAGGTCTAAGTGATTTTAAATATGTATTTTTTTATACTGGAGTGTATCTAAAATGTTTTTGAGAATAGTTTCGTCATGTTTAGTTTATAGAGGCATATTTTGGTACAAATCTTGAAGTGGGCCAACTGAAGTGGGGAGGGGCTCGTAGTTACCTTAAGTTTGGAGAGATTTGCAAAAATCCAAGCAAGACACAAGAAGTGTGCAACGTCGACAAGAGTTTGTTACGAACTTGGACAATCTGTTTGATATTGCGCATGCCGATGACCTTCAAGTGATGAAAATAATTGAAAGGCGTGTTTCAGTCAAAGATCGACTAATTGACTACAAGCCCTGACATTAAAATGTTTTGTTTTGTGAGAGGTGGAAAAGTGTGGCTCTTGAGACAATACAGATTTATACTGAAAAGCTATCATGCTTGAATATTCGAGAGACTAATAAACTGCTAGAATTTTATCGACAGGAATTGACCAAAGAAGTTGCTAGATACGACTATCGAGAATTGAAAGAACTTGAAATAATATGCCTTGTGAGCTACTGAGCTCACGGGACTCCAAACTGTGAACATCTTCTGAACAACAACCAACATAACATTGACCGAAGCTCCTTGACACATCGCTGATCTTCTGACAGCTCTGAGTTTTTTCCTTCTACCGACTTTGCCCTAGAATCTACCCAATTTCAACGACACTGTATACTGGTTTCGTCTTTTTCCGTACATTACGTGTACTTACCAGTAGCTCAAATAGTATTCTCCACCATTGGCAAAAACTTGTGCGCCAATGAAAAGTATGCACATAATTACCAAATGAACAGTACCACCTCCTGCTTTGAAGTATTTCCAGTAAGTACTTGGTTTCACATTTCCACTCTCTTGTCCTTCCTTGTCCAGGTATTGCTCTTCAAATACTTCTTCTAAAGCTATTTCTGAATTTTGCCTTGATTTTACCTAAAAATAGTCGAAGTATGTTGAATGCACAAAAGGTGAAGTTAAAAAAATCGTAACTGCTGTTTCTTTTTATTAAAGGTTTCATACAAGGCGATTCTAGAGAAGCGTAACATAGTTATGCTAATATAGATCATGAGCTTTTATGTGCTAAATTGAAGTTTTTTGGTTTTTCAGACATATCTCTAATGTTTCTTATAACATATCCTTCAAATCGTAAACAAGTAGTAGAGATAGACAATACTATATTCAGTCCGATTGATATAACCTCAGGTGTCCCTCAGGGTTCAGTTTTAGGGCCTCTGTTGTACTCGATTTATACTAACCGATGATATAAGAGCTTTAATAGTAACACTTTACATACTTCAATCAATGAGCTTAATGATGGCTTGGAGCCAATAGTAGGATACTCAAATAGTAACAATCTTAAGCTAGATAAGGATAAGTGCTCAGTGATGCATTTTTTGTCCTGCTGTCAAACGTAACACTTTATTGAATTCTCTTGATGTAGCTGCGAGATTGTTGCTGAAATTGTTTTTAAACAACAGTGAAGGGGACACATAGTCGACGAATAAAAAACGGGACTGATGAGGTTCGATTGGGACGGAATTACTTTATTATTAAATGACAAATCATTTTGAAAGGTTCTTTTTTAATTAAACGTTGATTGATTTTAGAAACAATTTCAGCAACAATCTCGCCGACTTAGTAAGTAAATATTTTTCTCCTAATTGTAATTTGTTGCTATTGTCAATAATTGTTTCCAGCTCCAGATGATGAAGACATAGATCTTCGAAAGTTTAAGAGTTTAAGTTATAAGAGTGTACTTTTGCAATAGTTTGCCATCTACCCAAATAAATTAAAGGATATCTTCTCCTAACAGTTAAGGCAATTAACTATGAATACTATATACAGGGTGTCCGCAAAGTTGGGGTTTTCCTTTACACGACGTGTGATGTCTTAAGGGAACTGAGATAAAGGGCTCTGCAACATCAAAAATATCTGAATATCGCCCTGTAGCCGCGACATCACCGACTGGTACAAGGTCACTGGTTCAACCCGACGACAGAACTGGGTCGGGGTCAATGTGTCTGCAACCTTCAACCGACGGTTACGGTCACGCGTGTAGAGGTAATCGCGTAGACGAGAATCCCTCAACAAGCACTAGAGATGTGGCTAGAGAAGTGAAAGTATCAAAAAAATAAAGTGTGGCAAACGCTGCGTGAAGAGGGGCTGTATCCGTTTCACGTCCAACGTGTACAAGCCCTTCAACCTGACGATTTTCCAGTAAGAGTGGGGTTTTGTGAGTGGTTGTTGCATCAAAATGACAATAATCCGGACTTTTTGAAGTGCATATTGGTGACAGACGAATCTACGTTCACGCGTAATGGGGTGAATAACTTTCGCAACACTCATGTTTGGTCAGTAGAAAATCCGCACGCTGTCCGTCGGGCACATTTTCAACAAACATTTTCGGTGAATGTTTGGGCTGGCATGGTGAACGGTATGCACATTGGACCATTTATTCTCCCAAATCGATTGGACGGGATGCAATACCTAGACTTTTTGCGCAACATTTTGCCTTCCTTGTTAGAAGATGTGCCATTAAGTGTAAGACAATCAACGTGGTTTCTGCGTCTGCTCGGTAGCGCATCAGCTGATTTCATTTTCTGTTGGAGCGGTATGATTTCGGGCAGAGACGTACTTAGCCCTTCTCGTCAACTGGAGAGTGAGTACTTTTTCCTTTATTTTTTTTTTACTTGGTCGCCCTCGTTTCACTACACATTACCTTTGCTATTTCAAGGGTAGTTGTTTCTGAAAAGGAAAACCCCAACTTTGCGGACACCCTGTATATATATATATGTATTTATATACATTATTCCCCTTTACACGTGATGTGTATGAATTACAATTCTGCAAGTAACCGGGTTGATATATTTAACTGCGGAATTGCAGACATAAAAAATACCATTAAGTAACCAGCATGTATCTGTTCACTTTATAGTCTATTACTTATTATTGTCTTTTATATCTATGTTATCTTCTGTGTTTCCTCACCGTGTAATTGGTATTTACTGTAGGGTGTTGTAATGAATAAAATACAATAAAAAATAAAATAAACAAAATTTGTCGGATCAGTTGTGAAACACCTTGTATATTCGGTCGGTCACTGATAACTATACCAGGTGTGTATCTAAATTATTTATAAATATACCGTAATAAACACGTTTTTTGTAATTGTATATTTGGAAAGACCTTTCCAGATTGAGATAGGATTTTGATCTGCCAGTTTGCGTAGTTTTTCAGTGCATTTTGGAAAGAGGATAGAAAAGTACATAAACTTTGTCAGGATTCTCAAAAGTTGTAAATAGAAAATCCCGTATATTTTTATACCATCAGATCCAAAGGTTCTTGTGACCAGATTTCATACTGCTTTACTAGAACGCTTATCTGATTATACATAAGAAAATATGTGTTCCATTGAAAAACAAACATGTACCTCGGAATTGTGCAACATCCTGTATATCTCCACATAATTAAAAAATACACACTTATAAGGTGTCAGTCTTGCATGCGCAAATCATTTTCGATCATCTTTCACAGTTTTTCCAGCAAACTACTTACCATTTTCTTTGGACATCCTGTATATATTGTATGTGCTTAAGTGATTTTTATTAAATATGTCAAGTCTACAATAAATCTGAGTTAGTTTCCGTAAAATAGTGCAAATATATACAGGGTGACTTTTAAGTTGAGTCATTAATTTTCAGATAATGATTGTAGAAGGAAGATGAACCAAAATATGTGTGTAAAAATGTTACCTTGTTTTATAAATTTTCCTCCCGACAAGTATTTCAGTGCGGACCTGTATTTGATCGTGCGGTCTTGGAGCACCGGCATGCCCTCCCCTGTGAGGTCTTAAGTCACCTGATTCACGAGCCCTTTGTACTACATTAACAAAGGCACGAGTGGTTGGTTGCACTCGATTGGGAAACCGATTCGCACAAATCCGTGATGCCGCGGCAGCATTTTGTAAAGACTCCCCCCCCCGTAAATAAGAATCATGTCCACAAGTTCAGCATTTTCTTAAACATGTGCCATTTTTTATTTCGTTTGAGCCACGCAACAAACAGCACTATTCACTCACGCGTTACCGACTGACGAAAAACATCGTGATGAACGTTTCAAATTCTTTCGCTTTTTTGTTTCCGATGCGATGAACCGATAAGGCGGATTATATCCGTTGTTGCCAAACACGAGCACATAATATTATTGAGACAGGGCGGTACTCAAACTTCCAAAGGGCTATAACTTTGTTACTTTAATTTTACCAGAAAAATGTTAAAGGAAAAAAACATTTCTTTTGATCAGATCTACTCACTGTTAAAATAAATGACTCAACTTCGAAGTCACCCTGTATATATATAGAGAAGATGATCATGCGGAGAAAGGTCCACAGTAGCCAATGGGTGCTTAGGCCTTAGGCCTTCGTGGTAGTTGAAGTATATAAAAGAAAACAAATCGTTCTTACACATACCTTCTTCTTTTGTTCTTCAGCCTCTTCAGCATTATGCTCTTCTAGCAACTTCGTGAAATTCAAGCCACTGCTCTTCAACTCTGCGTATTTCCCTTGCATCAGAATTTCACCGTCGTTCAATACGACTATCTTGTCCGCATTGTGTAGGTACTGCAACTGATGCGTTACCAAAATGCGGATTTTGTCTTTGAGAAATCTTCGAATGCACTTTTCGTACAGATGTTTTCCAACGTTAGCGTCCACAGCTGACAGAGGGTCGTCAAGCAGATAGATGTCTGCTTCTTTGTACAGGCAACGGGCAAGGTTTATTCTCGCTTTTTGGCCGCCGCTCAAGGACTTGCCTTTTTCACCTACGAATCAGATACGAATTAGGGACCGATCAAAGGTCATGTGTTACTAGTAGGAACTTCGGTTTCGGATATACAACTACGAATGGCGAGGTACTGTAACTCGGAACCTATCCGTCGCAGAGGCTTGCGCCAAAAAAAGTTCCGTCTAAAACGGCCAAGAAGGCTTAAATGCAATCTTGAATATCAAAAAGTCATGTTTATTAACCTAACAAAAAATACCTGCTCTTCAAAGTCGAGGATAATGTGAACTCTTTGTGGTCAACAATTTTTGCTGTATCTCTAGGAATAAAGTGGTGGGGGTTTTCCGTAAAAGCACCCTGTTTCTTCGAGACAGCTGAGCCGATGACTTTAACAAATTTGGGCTAGTTGTATGGAGCTAATTTTGGGCTACGAACGTTATAATATATACAGGGTGTCCCAGAAGTCGACTTCAAGCCGAAACTGGGTGATAGGCAAAGTCATAACAGCTATTAAAAAATATTTAAAAAATTTTTATGTGTGTGTTTTGAAAATTATAGGTCTTTGAAAAAGATATAGAAATTTTACACCCTACGGCAGTCTGTCAACTCCTGTTACTACAAATCTTAACTTTTTTTGGATTTTATTTTTACAATGTAATGATGAATAATGCATCTTCAAACTGGTGTCTCAACCTTACTGCCAACTTTTCTCGTTCAGGAAAAATTGCCACTTATTTCCCAACCAAGTATTCCAAAGTAAAACTAACTGGCTGTACTGGAAAAAAATGTACTACGAGAGTTTGGCAAGTAACCTTAAAAGTTGGTGCATTTAATAACGATTCCAAAATGGTATAACACTTAGAAGATTACTCGTTAACTTATGCACAATTTAAAAAAGATCGGGTTATTAAACGAGCGAATCCACGGTTATTAACAAACTCAGCTGCTTCCAATAGTCTTTGCCGTAGCTCAGCTACATTTTGAATCGGCTTGAAATACACTTTTTCTTTTACAGTTCCCCAGTAAAAAAATCTAAAGGATTCAAATCAGGTGATCGGGCTGGCCACGGTATTGTACCAGACCGCCTTATCCATCTGCCTGGAAAGTTTTGATCGAGATACTCTCTCACTGAGAGTGCATAGTGCGCTGGGCAGCCATCATGCTGAAACCACATGTCCCTGTCAATACTCAGTGGCACGTCCACCAATAAATTTTGTACATGATTTTTCAAAAAATCCAAATAAACTTCAGCAGTCAAAGTCTCTGGGAACTCAAACGGGCAAATTATTTTACCATTTCAAATTCCTGTCCAATGGTTTATCTTGAAGCGATGTTGAGATTTATCTTCTCTCATCAAATGTGGGTTTGCTACGTGCCACTCGTGTAAGTTATGCAGGTTCATGTACCCATCTTTCTTAAATGTGGTCTTATCTGACCATAAATTTTTTTCAAAGAACCGTGGATCTTCCCTGTGTCTTTCTAACATTGTGCGACAAAAAGCAACTCGGGGCTCATAATCCCGGGGCAGAAGAGCTTGAACACGCTATACGTGGTATGGATGGAGCACGTTTTTTGCAAGATTCTATGGGCTGTACTTTTGGGCGCACCTGTGTTTAGTTCTATTGCACGCACTGAAGTACTCGGGTCTTCTTCGACAGCTCCTAGCACCACGTCTTCGTAAGGAAGGAAAGATCTTCCCTCACCGTGTGATTGGTTTGGTAGTTGGCCCTCTGAGAACAGTAAGCGGTGCACATTTGTGAACACTCGATGATCTGGATGACGAGCTGCATTCGGGTACCTCTCACAGTAAAGTCTCGTTGCAGCACTAGCGTTGTATCTGCATTCCCCATAAATGAGGTGCATGTTAGCATATTCTTGTACGGTGTACACGGTCATAGCGGCACTGCACAATCACACTATCAAAGATAGTCTAAGGAAAGCAAATGTTGTTTTGAAGAGCAATTAAACAGTCCAAATCCAAATCACAAGCGATCAACAGTCCAGTTCACGAATCCAAAATTAGTAACAGTACGAAATCAACAAGCACGAACATGTAAAGATGCGCAGTAAACGAAGGAGTACTGATCGGTATCAAAGTGTGCAATAGCAAGTCAGTGATGTGCTTCATCCATACCACATACAGCGTGTTCAACCTCTCCTGCCCCGGGATTATGAGCCCCGAGTTGCTTTTTGTCGCACAATGTTAGAAAGACTCAGGGAAGATCCACGGTTCTTTGAAAAAATTTCATGGTCGGATGAGACCACATTTAAGAAAGATGGGTACATGAACCTGCATAACTTACACGAGTGGCACGTAGCAAACCCACATTTGATGAGAGAAGATAAATCTCAATATCGCTTCAAGATAAACCATTGGACAGGAATTTTAAATGGTAAAATAATCGGTCCGTTTGAGTTCCCAGAGACTTTGACTGCTGAGGTTTATTTAGGTTCTTTGCAAAATCATTTAGAAAATTTATTGGAGGACGTGCCACTGAGTATTTACAGGGACATGTGGTTTCAGCATGATGGCTGCCCAGCGCACTATGCACTCTCAGTGAGAGAGTATCTCGATCAAAACTTTCCAGCCAGGTGGATAGGGCGGTCTGGTACAATACCATGGCCAGCTCGGTCACCAGATTTGAATTCGTTAGATTTTTTTACTGGGGAACTGTAGAAGAAAAAGTGTATTTCAAGCCGATTCAAAATGTAGCTGAGCTACGGCAAAGACTATTGGAAGCAGTTGAGTTTGTTAATAACCGTGGATTCGCTCGTTTAATAACCCGATCTTTTTTAAGATGTCGAGCGTGTATTGCGGTTGAAGGAAAACAGTTTGAGCATTTGCTGTAAAGGTAAATCATCAGCAGCATTTTGACGCCCACTGTTGTGCAAACAGTTATCCTTAAGGGTCCTTGTGCGTTTTCATAATCGCTGTTTAATTAGGAAATTTTGAAATATTTTCATCAGTTTTTCTTCAAATAAAAAGTGTGCATAAGTTAACGAGTAATCTTCTAAGTATTATACCATTTTGGAATCCTTATTAAATGCGCCAACTTTTAAGGTTACTTGCCAAACTCTCGTAGTACATTTTTTTCCAGCACAGCCAGTTAAAGTTGAGCAAAGTTTTACTTTGGAATACTTGGTTGGGAACTAAGTGGCAATTTTTCCTGAACGAGAAAAGTTGGCAGTAAGATTGAGACACCAGTTTGAAGATGCATTATTCATCATTACATTGTAAAAATAAAATCCAAAAAAAGTTAATATTTGTAGTAACAGGAGGATATTTTTTTCAAAGACCTATAGTTTTCAAAACACATGCATAAAATTTTTTTAAATATTTTTCTGATAGCTATTATGACTTTGCCTATCACCCGGTTTCGGCTTGACGTCGACTTTTGGGACACCCTGTATATATATATATATATATATATATGTATATATATATATATAATATAATATTTGAGGTTTTGTTAGTTTCACATGTGTCAAACCAATTAAATGCATTGATATGACTTTTTTTATGAAAAAGTAGCTAAATGATGTCTAAATAAGCTTCCGAAAACCATATCTCGATATCTGGGAGCTTTCCTAATGTCTGGAAAGAAGCAATAATTCTTCCTCTAGCCAAATTAAAAAATCCCATAACTCTTGATCGTTTCAGCATACTGTGTTTCTTTTCAAATATATTAGAAAAAGCTGTTTATCTCCAACGAATTGAATATTTAGAGATGAACAATTTACTTCCTGTTCATCAGTCTGGATTTCGTGCTGGACGCAGTACAACTTCTTCACTTCTCCATTTGACAGACAATATCTTAAATAATATGGATAAACATATTAATACAGTTTTAGTTATGTCCGACTTCTCTAAGGCGTTCGACACTGTTAACCATAAAATTTTGTTGAGTAAGTTAAGTATATTGGACAGTCTGACATTCCGCTTAAATTTTTTGAAAATTACTTAACTAATCGTAAACAAAAGGTGAAGATAGTTAGAGGCGTCTCATCTTCTGTTGTCGTTTCTTCATGTGTCCCTCAGGGCTCTGTCTTAGGTCCTTTACTGTATTTGATGTATACTTTTGATTTACATTCATGTATTCAGCATTGTGCTATACAAACTTACGCGGATGATACGCAGCTTTCTTTTCGGTTTGACTTCTCTCATCTGGATGAAGTGTCATATAAGATCTTACCAACATCACTGATTTTTGTAAAAGACACATGTTGAAGATTAATCCGAATAAGAGTACTTGCATACTTTTTTATCCTAAACATTTGCATAATAAAGTAAGGGACAGAATTACATTGAGCGTCAACAACGAGCACATTCCTATTGTGTGTTGTGTATCGAAGTCCACCTACATCAAATTAAGACTGCTATATGCTAATAGATTCATTTTGAACTTCAAAACGCGTTAGAAGCTACAGTATATTCAGATAAGAGATCGACCGGATGTAAACAAAAGGTTCGGGTGATTTTCACGCTAACGCCGCCGTCTCGACGTAAAACAGGAGCCCTCATTGGTCAATTCGCAATTAAATGCCTATGCCGAGCGGCAGAGCAGTCGTATCAAGGCAGAGTCACATTCAAATTCAGACGTGTTACGTATGTAGTGTGCATCATTGCAATTTGATATTTCTTTGGACGTTTTCGTTTGTTATCTTATTAAGTTGTTGAGTTTGTCGTTGTTATTGTTATACCTTGTTATTGATTGTTATTGTTATCAACTGCTTGCGCAAAATGCCCAGTAGTACAGATACTGCCGATGAAGTTGTAAACTCCTGTAGTCCACCTAGGAAACGCTCTAAAAAAAGACACCTGAGTGCAGAAATGAAAGAGGTCATTTTGAATATATATAAGATCGGGCGCGAGGAGAACGAGGCATCAACCATCAAAGAAATTGTTGTGAAGGTTTCTCACAAAGTTGGGGTGTGTCGCGCATCAGTGTTTAATGTGTTAAGACAATACAAAAAAAATCACACCTTTTCTGAGCCAATGACCAGTAAACATCGCAAAAGTATTGTTAAATCATTGGATGAAGCTGATAAGCATGCGATTAGGAGGAAAGTGCATGAATTCTTCTTTAGGAATGAAATACCTACTATAGATAAAGTACTGCAGGAGGTAAATGGAGATACATATACAACGTTGCCAAATTTCAAACGATCAACTTTCCATGCGTTACTGAAGCATTTAAATTTCAAATGGAAAAAACGGGGTCGTAATAGTTTACTACTGGATAGAGAAGAAATTGTGCTATGGAGGAGGGATTATTTAACAAAAATTGGGAAATATAGAAATCAAAACAGGAAGATTTATTACCTTGATGAAACGTGGGTAAACGCAGGACACACTACAACTAAAGTATGGGTTGATGATTCTGTAACTTCATCCAGGAGGGCCTTTCTAGATGGACTGTCCACCGGATTAAAAAATCCAGCAGGTAAATACGAGTAATAGACAACAATCGGATGTTTTTCAAACCTTGGGAACAAGGTTCTAAACATTAATTCCAGGGGGCAGATAAAACATATTACAAGTAACAAAACTTTTATAACTTTCGATAAAATGCGTGGATGTTTTATTGTCATTTTCATTTGTTAGAACTTTTTTAAGCTATGTTTTTATGTGTTTTCGATATTTCAATAGTTTTTTAATATAATCTTAAAAAATGTCGAATATTATAAACTTAAAAAAAGTGTTACTAAGTTTCATATTGTGTACCGTTCCTAATATTTCTAATCATTTTAATTCATACTTTAAGCTTTATAAAGTTATAATTTGTTAATATTAATATTTGCGCGTATTTCAGGTTCCTGATCATTCATTTTTTAAAGGTTTATAACTTTAATTTAAATTGTGAAGCGCTGAATAATCATACGACGTTCAATATATAGCAATCTGATACTCATGTCTCAATGTTTTTTCTCTGAATGTGATGAAAACATTTGAAAAAGGTTCGCTTATTGAAATAAATCTACACCAGTTAGTACTTCGATTTCCAGGTAAAGGGAAAAGGCTCATTATCTGCCATATTGGCAGTGAGGATGGATTTGTTGTTGACGGTCTGTGGTGCTTTGAGTCTAAGAAAACTGGAGATTACCACTTAGAGGAAAACGCAGTAATTGTGTTGGATAATGCGCCTTATCATTCTCGAAGAATGGAGAAGGTCCCAACAACGGCTTCAAGGAAAGTTGATGTTCAAAATTGGCTCCGCTCGAAAAATATCAACTTTGAAGAAGCAATGCTGAAAGTACAATTATTAAGAATTGTCAAGGATCACAAGGTGGAATATCAAAAATACGCCATTGACGAAATGGCAGCAAGTCAAAATAAAACTGTGCCCCGTTTACCTCCATACCATTGCGAGCTCAATCCCATTGAGCTCATATGGGCAGAGGTTAAAAATTATATAGCTAAGCACAATACAGCTTTTAAATTTTGTGACCTCAAAGGACTTTTCAAAGAAGCACTAGAATTAATAACAGCGCAAAAATGGGAAAACGGTATTAAGCACGTGAAAGACAAAGTTGAAAAGAGAATGTGGGAACTGGACAATACTTTAGAGGAACAAGTCGAGCCATTCATTATTGACGTTGGTGCTTCAGGCAGTAGCGATGATGAAAGCTCATCAAGCTCATCTTTCCAATAAAAGATGTCGTTCATCAAATTCGGTAAGTTATAAGTAATTATAAAGCTACTGTATTTTTTAATTAATTATTGACATTTTTGAACCCATTTTGGCAAAACCTATTCAAGAATCTACTTTCTGACAATGTTCAACCATGCACATTTTTTTACGTTTTGAACGTTTTAATTTGGTTACATATTTACCTAGAAATCAAAAAATATACTAATCAATATTCTAAAAGCAATTTTAAGAGATATACGATTATTTTTAATTTAGGCTAATTTAAACGCCATTTTGAGATTATATTCGACTGTATTTCACCAAACATCAGGCGGCATCCGAAGCTGGAAATCGAAGCGAAAATTTTGAAACCCTTATGTATATTTACATCATTATATATTTCTTACCCCACCCCCACATGATCCTATATCCATCACCAATCGTATACACATCGAATTGTGCTAATTTACTACAAAGTTACGCAAAGCAGCATCTACTATCTAAAATATGTACTGCGTGACTCTTAATACGTCCCTGCCGAATGTTACAGCGTTCGATGATCACGTGGCCTTGTTTATGTCCGGTCTATCTCTTATCTGAATATACCGTAGTAGAAAGTTTGATAATGTCCAGCCTCAACCACGCTTTAACTTTATACTATCCTTGTTTTGACTCGATGAATCGGTGAAGGATCCAAAGAATACAAAATAACTGTTGTAGATTTGTGTATGGTCTTCGAAAATATAGTCACGTCTTCTCTAAGAACAAGGAGTTGAAATGGCTGAAAATGGATCAACAATTTGAATATAGTCTCAAGATATTTGTGCATAAGATATTGTGTACTAAAAAGCCCATCTACCTCCATAGTAAATTTGTAACTAGAGGAATCATTAATCTTAGAGATCTGAGCCGTAATAATAATCTGACAATGCCTTTGCACTACACCGCATTGTTTCAAAAACGTTTCACTTTCAATGCTGTGAGGTTATACAACTCAAAACCGACCCTGCCTGGAGAAGCACGACCTGTCAATCACCTCGTATACTATCAATTTAACTGCTATAGGTATTAGTACAAAACATATAATCTTAGATATTACCTACAAGAGTTCTATCTCCGTAAGGAAACAGCTCGAAGTCCGACTTCAACGCGCATACTTCCACTATCCTCTTGTAGCGATCTTCATGGTACGGAGATCCAAACAGAATATTATTCCTGACTGTATCGCAAAACAACCATGGTTCTTGGGAGCAAAAGGAAATCTCTCCGACTACGTCTATCCGTCCCGATTTCCGAGGTAACTCGTTCAACAACAAGCTCAGTATGCTGCTTTTTCCACTTCCTACTGGACCCACTATCGCTACCAATTGTCCTGGTGATACCTCGAGGCTGATGTTGTTCAACGTGTCTTCGGTAGAATCACCCACCCAAGTGGCGTATACTTTTTCAAGCACGATCTTCGGAGGTTCGTCATCTCTTTTTATCACATTCATCTTAGTGTTGGTCACACCGTTAGCAACTTTATCTTTCTTTCCTTTCTCGCTCATCTCTAAAGGATCTTCTTCTACGTTTTCTTCGAGACTAAGGATTTCTTGCACCCTGTTTATCGAGACGTGGACTTCGGCGATGCTGGACATACTAAGTGAGAATAGTATCGTTATGACGGTTCTCAAGGCGTTGTAAATGACGGTGATTGCGAAGACTTTCTCGGCGGTGATGTAGTTGCCTTGGAAGACGTAGGCTAAGATCGTGATGAAGATGGCCGTACGGGAGACGAACGACTCGAACGAGTAGAGGAAGGATAACAAGCAAGAGTGCGAACGGATGACTTTCATTTCTTGCCTGGAAATAAAATTTATTTGTTAGTTACCGAAGTATGCATAATGAGTGACAAAACAGGTAAATACCTACGTATACTAAGTGATATATAAATCCGAACACCCAGTTTAAATGGTTTTATTTTAATTAAATTTTGTATAAGTACTTAATGAAGCATAATAAGTAAATGATACAAATTTCAAAATGATTGCACTGCTTTAAAGCCCTTTGACCTTTAATAAACTGTGGATGCACCCTGATATGCTACGCATCCTCCAATGCGCCTAGGCATGCTTCTGATCAGGTGGTCAATGTCCTCCTGTGGTATCTCATTGCAGGCAACCACCAACTCCTCTCGAAGTGCTTCTAGAGTCTGAGGAGGACGTTGCAAATTGAGCAATCTCCTACCCATCATATCCCACACGTGCTCAATTGGGGATAAGTCGGGAGATCTTGGTGGCCATGGTAACAATGTGACATCATTAAAAGAAGTCTATTGTGACTCTTGCAACATGTTGAAAAGTTGGATCCGCCAGGGTGTCAAGATAGGGTAAAAGATGGGGTTCTAGAACTTCGTGGATATAACGCTGCGCGTTCATGTTACCTCTGATGAAGATTGAAGGTGACCTGGAACCATAAGCTATAGCACCCCAAACCATAACTACAACAGTGTGATGAACATATCTTTCAACAAAAAACTGTGGATTCCTCCTTTCACCACGTCGCCTTCTAACCCTGGCACGACCATCGTGCATGCCTAAACAAAATCGAGACTCGTCACTAAAGGCAATAGTGTTCCATTCCTGATCCGAGAGTGACCGTTGTCTGCACCACTCAAGGCGATTACGTCGGTGTTCTCGAGTTAAAGGGAGGACCCAGTGTGGCCGGTATGAAAACAAGCCAAAACTTCTCATTCATCGGTAAACACTTCGCATGCCAATAGGTCTTCCGTGTTCTGCAAACCATTCATTTGCAATGGACCTGGTAGTGGAGAAACGGTCCCTTAAGGCCAATAATCTTAAGCGGCGACCTTCACGGTCTGTTGTTCTACGGCGGCGTCCAGTGCCCCTTGCTCTTTGCGTACGGCCTTCTCGAAGCCATGCCTGACAACACCTAACCACAGTGTCTACACTTCTTTGCACTCTAACTGCAATTGCCCGAAAAGAAGGTCCCACTATACGGCCCCTATCAAACTCATTAAGTTGACGAAATCGTACAGGTCTCCGTACTCTGGGCATCGTAACCGATCGTAAAGGATGTCAAGAACCAAAATCCGCCAACGTTGATTCTTTACTGCGGCTGAAATATTCATTTTTAGAGCATTAGTGAATTAAAAAAAGCAGTATAAAAACCGGAATGTCCAACTGATAAGGCTGAACATTTTTTCACTTGTTATTTACAGTGAGATAAATACATTCACCAACTTTAATTAAAATAAAACCATTTAAACTGGGTGTTCGGATTTATATGTCACTTAGTATAATAATGTGTTGAGGATCCACGATTTCTTATACACTCATTGACACGCCTGAGCATCGTGCTGATAAGGTGGTCGACATCCTGTTGGGTATCTCATTTCAGGCTACTGCAAAGTCGTGAGTACAAGCTGATGAAGTCTGGAGGGCGATGCAAATTCAAGAGCCTGCGACATATCGTATCCCATACATGTTCAATTGGAGATAGGTCAGGCGATCGTGCTGGCCAAGGTAAACGGTTGATGCGATGTTGATCCATGAAGGTTGTGAGGTATTTGTTTCTCCAGATTGTATTGTTGAGACATCCTGCTGCTCCGTTCGCCATGTTCACTTGTTTTTGTACTTCTTCAATTTTCCATAGCTTGACAGTTTGATTCCCAAGTATTCCGTTTCCATCACTTGTTCTATTATTTTTTTATTTACGACCAGTTTACATCGTCTCGGTTCCGCTGATATCACTATCGATTAAGTTTTCTCTGTTGAAATCACCATGTTGTGTATGAGCGGCGTATCTTCGAATTCTTTAATTAATCCTTGTAGGTCATCTTCATTTTCGGCTATTATTATGGCGTCGTCGGCGTAGCATATTATCTGCATTTCCTTTTTTCCCATCCTATATCCTCTTCTTTTTTTAACTTTCTTTATGATTTTATCCATTATCAGATTAAATATTAGTGGGCTCAGCGAATCTCCTTTTCTAATGCCAGTTTCATACTTGACAGGTTGCGAGACTTTCCCTTTACGTCATCACATCACCATAGCTATGTTATCTTTATATACAGGGTGTCCGCAAAGTTGGAGTTTTCCTTTACACGACGTGTAGATCTTGAAAACATGAGCAATTTTTCTTAGTACCATATACACCAATGTCTTAAGGGAACCGAGATAAAGGGCTCTGCAACATCAAAAATATCTGAATACCGTCCTGCAGCCGCGACATTCCCGACTGGTACTAGGACACTAGCTCAACCCGACGACAGAACTGGGTCGGGGTCAGTGTGTCAGGTCAGTATGCAACCTTCAACCGACGCCGACGGTTACGGTCACGCGTCTAGAGGTAATCGCGTAGACGAGAGTCCCTCAACAAGCAATAGAGACGTGGCTAGAGAAGTGCAAGTATCAAAAACTAAAGTGTGGCAAACGCTGCGTGAAGAAGGGCTGTATCCGTTTCACGTCCAACGTGTACAAGCCCTTCAACCTGACGATTTTCCAGCAAGAGTGCGGTTTTGTGAGTGGTTGTTGCATCAACATGACAATAATCCGGACTTTTTGAAGTGCATATTGGTGACAGACGAATCTACGTTCACGCGTAATGGGGTGAATAACTTTCGCAACACTCATGTTTGGTCAGTAGAAAATCCGCACGCTGTCCGTCGGGCACATTTTCAACAAACATTTTCGGTGAATGTTTCGGCTGGCATGGTGAACGGTATGCTCATTGGACCATTTATTCTCCCAAATCGATTGGACGGGTTGCAATACGTAGACTTTTTACGCAACATTTTGCCTTCCTTGTTTGCATGCGTCTGCTCGGTAGCGCATCAGCTGATTTCATTTTCTGTTGGAGCGGAATGATTGCGGGCAGAGACGTACTTAGCCCTTCTCGTCAACTGGAGAGTGAGTACTTTTTCCTTTATTTTTTTTTACTTGGTCGCCCTCGTTTCACTACACATTACCTTTGTTATTTCAAGGGTAGTTGTTTCTGAAAAGGAAAACCCCAACTTTGCGGACACCCTGTATATTCTCAATAGTTTTTACTAAACCCAGTGGTATTCCCCTATCGATATGTAAAAAATTCTTAAATTCGAATAAAGATAAGTAGGTGTTTACCTTTTTTTGTCACTCGTTATATAATCAAATATATGATTATATCTCTATATCTGATAGAGTGTACCTATAAATGACGATATTAGTATACCATTGCTTTTAATGTTTTTGATTTTGTCTTCTTCACCTTATTTTATAATCAACCCTCGTACTAAATTCGTACAATCCTTTTTGAAATACTGATTTGTTTTTTATATTGTTTATACAATTTTTTGAATGAAAGTCTAAACATGCTCTAGTAGAATAACTACTCAATTCAACAAAATTTTCTGAATGATTTGGTAGATTATGTTTTTTTTTAACTTGAATATGAAACTTAACAGCAAGTAGATTATGAATTTTTTGATATTCAACCATTGTAGTTCTGCCAGCATAAAATGTGTTCTAATATACAGGGTGTAAACGTTATGGTAGTCAATTAAGTGCCTTATATGGACCAGAATCACCACAATCTTACTAATTTTTATAATCTAATCTAAAACGTTTTTATATTAGGTAATTAACAAATTAATTGAATTAAGTTTATCTAAGTTCAGCCAAAATTTGTAGTCAGCAATTTTAAAACACACATGACAACAGCGCGTAGGCCTTTTATCACTCTTATCGAACCGGCAATCGATCGCAAACGGTAACAGTGGTTAATCGGGCATCGGGCGTGTTGTTTTGTTTTTGTTCGCGTACGTCGTCGTGTTTATTTACAATGTTCTCGAATTCATGTACAAAGAGTGCAGGCCTTGTTCCAGAAGACTATCCTCGCAGACTAACGTTCTGTCAGTAGTTTTTGCACAAATACATTGAAAATCCGGATTTTTTTAAAAACATTCTAGCGACGGACGAATGTACTTTTACGCGAGACGGGATATTAAATTTCCATAATACTCACACGTGGATCCAAGAAAATCCCCATACCATTCGTGAAGGTCATTTCCAACAACGCCAACGTTTTAAAATAAATATTTGGGCGGCTATTCTTGACGATCAGGTAATTGGCCCTTTCGAGTTACCCCCAAAGTTGTCAGGAGAAGGATACCTTAGCTTTCTAGCCAATAAACTACCAGAACTTTTGGAACAGACCTTAGAGAACATGCCATTACAACGGAGTCATAATTTGTGGTTTCTTCATGACAGGGCACCACCACACATTTTGAGAGGCGTCATTCACTATTTGAATGAACATTATCCAAATCGCTGGATCGGTCGAAATGCTCCTGATCCTCGAAAATGGCCAGCAAGATCTGCTGACCTCAATCCGATGGATTTCTGGTATTGGGGAGAGCTTTAAGGGATGGTTAATGGGGCTGGTCCAATAATAACTGAAGCACAACTTGCGGCTGAAATAATAAATGGACAACTTCGAGGACCTAGAGTAAGAAGAAACTGGGTTCGTAGTAATGAAGCTTGTGTGGAAAGTGGAGGACGACATTTTGAACACCTTTAAATACAAAAAAGGTGCAGAGTGGGTTTTAAAAAGAAAAACAATGTATATATCAAAATTGTGTTCCCTATTTATAAGTGGATTTTTTAATACGTTCAATAAACTTTCACACACCAGGTGAAGCGCTGAGGCATTTAGTGGTAATTCCGTTTTTTTTAATTGTTTGATTTTACGAGTACATGATCAAATAATGAAATAACACCTAAGAGCCTAAAATTACAAGCTCCATCTTTATTTACTCTGTGTTCTGTCGTATTTTGCGTCTGGCATTGCGGCGTTGTCAGATTTTATTTCACTTTAAAGTCGCTTTTCTCTAAAAAAATGCCGTTTTGACCCCCATGTTATATGAAGCTTTTTGCTTATTTTAATCCCCTCTATCACCCATTTAAATAATGACTATCGTTTACACCATGTATTTATTTTCATTTAAGATGGTTCTCATAACTTTATTATGTAATATTTGTAAATTTGAAAATACAGTTTCATTTGCAGTGTACAAAACAGTCTTTCAAAATAACAAATAAGGAAGACTTATAGTCTCATTTGGTTGGTTTTTCGGTATTTAGGCCGTCGCAAAACATTTCTACTTGACGTTTCGCCAACACGAGTGGAGATGTTCACAGTTTGGAATCCTGTTAGCTACTGACAGCTCCGCGGTCTTAGCTCGTATTTATAGGTGGCTCGGGTGGTGGGGAGAGCTCTTCAGGAATCCTCGGCCTGGCGTCGCGCTCAGGATGACTCGGCTGTTGTTTTGCCTTTTGGATGACGCAATTTTAGTGTTTCTTAATACTGGTAGCCAGGTTTTGTGTACTTTCAGTGATTCCTCTGTTTTGTTAACGTTGCCCGTGTTTTTGCATCTCTATAGTCTCCCTGTATAATCTAGCATGGTATCCTGGTGTGTTGGCAATGAACAAACTGTGAACATCTTCTGAAAATGCCAACCGGTCCTGACAAGTAAACATATTTTACGACGGCCAAAAACCAACCAAATAACATTGGATGATGTCCGCGGAAGCCTTTCACGTTTCAAGAATGATAGTGCAGTACACATTCTTTTTTAAAATAAAAATAAATAGTGTAGTCATAGTGGACAAGAATCTTGAGAAACTTAAAATACCAAACGTCGGACTCATTCGGAGTGCATTAATCTATGTATTTGATTTACCTTCTTGCAAAAGCAACAACATCTGCGAACGGTTTTTCCCAACAATACATCTTGATAACCTGCATTCCAGATAATATCTCGTTCATCAAACGCACTCGTTCATCGGTTCTTAAGGCAGTTTTTAGTCTTAACACAGAGTTCCTCTTGGCAAGATAGACTGCAAATGAAAATAGGCATTAGTTGAATATCAAAGTGCTTAGGCTTAGGCGATCATGCGATTGGAGGGGGGAGGGCCCAGGAGAAGAATAAAAAGCCTTGTATTGCAATGCAGAGAGGCTCTGGATTATCTAGCAGCGGCATCTGGTATCCTTAGTGTGGGTATCGGGACACGATGAGATAAAGGGCAACACTCAGAAATGGAGAAGTATCTCCAGACATCTCCGTCAGGCACTCATTGTGGGGCACAGCTTATTTCTGGATAGAGCCACGAAATGGTCAGGCACGAATCCAGGGGGGGGGGGGTCATGGGGGTTATTTGTAGCAATTTATTCGATGTTCTTCGTTTGTTTCCAGTGGTGAGTCAGCAGCTTTTTCGTCGATTATTTTTTTCCTCTTCTGACAATTGGAAAACCAGGATTTTCCCATGTCAACTCTTCCCATTTATTCTTAGCCTTCAGAACAAAATTATCGTATGTGCTTTCGCTCCTCTAATCTTTTAATTTTTTTAATGCTTCTCAAATGCACCTTTGAGCCATTATCAAGTCTATTTCTTTCTTTTGCATTTGAACTTGCACGGTACATGACGCTCAATTCTGAATGCCACCATAACAAATTGAAAAAAGGTCCAGTTCATGGAGGAGAGATCTTGCGTTCATTATATATTCGCCAGAAGCTCCCACTCTTCATCTTCTATGCAATTGATAATACATTTAAAAAACTTCTTCCACGATATTATCATGATGCAAATATACTAAGTGACATATAAATCCGAACACCCAGTTTAAATGGTTTTATTTTAATAAAACTTGGTGAATGTATTTATCTTACTGTAAATAACAAGTGAAAACATTTTCAGCCTTATCAGTTGGACATTCCGGTTTTTATACTGCTTTTTTTTAATTCACTAACGCTCTAAAAATGAATATTTCAGTCGCAGTAAAGAATCAACGTTGGCGGATTTTGGTTCTTGACATCCTTTACGATCGGTTACGATGCCTAGAGTACGGAGACCTGTACCATTTCGTCAACTTAGTGAGTTTGATAGGGGCCGTATATTGGGACTTCGGGAAGCTGGACTTTCTTTTCGGGCAATTGCAGTTAGAGTGCAAAGAAGTGTAGACACTGTGGTTAGGTGTTGTCAGGCATGGCTTCGAGAAGGCCGTACGCAAAGAGCAAGGGGCACTGGACGCCGCTGTAGAACAACAGACCGTGAAGATCGCCGCCTAAGATTATTGGCCTTAAGGGACCGTTTCTCCACTACCAGGTCCATTGCAAATGAATGGTTTGCAGAACACGGAAGACCTATTGGCATGCGAAGTGTTTACCGACGAATGAGAAGTTTTGGCTTGTTTTCATACCGGCCACACTGGGTCCTCCCTTTAACTCGAGAACACCGACGTAATCGCCTTGAGTGGTGCAGACAACGGTCACTCTGGGATCAGGAATGGAACAGTATTGTCTTTAGTGACGAGTCTCGATTTTGTTTAGGCATGCACGATGGTCGTGCCAGGGTTAGAAGGCGACGTGGTGAAAGGAGGAATCCACAGTTTTTTGTTGACATGTTCATCACACTGTTGGAGTTATGGGTTGGGGTGCTATAGCTTATGGTTCCAGGTCACCTTTAATCTTCATCAGAGGTAACATGAACGCGCAGCGTTATATCCATGAAGTTCTAGAACCCCATCTTTTACCCTATCTTGACACCCTGGCAGATCCAACTTTCCAAGATAATGCCCGACCACATGTTGCAAGAGTCACAATAGACTTCTTTCAACATAATAATGATGTCACATTGTTACCATGGCCACCAAGATCTCCCAACTTATCCCCAATTGAGCACGTGTGGGATATGATGGATACGAGATTGCTCAATTTGCGACGTCCTCCTCAGACTCTAGAAGCACTTCGAGAGGAGTTGGTGGTTGCCTCGAATGAGATACCACAGGAGGACATTGACCACCTGATCAGAAGCATGCCTAGGCGCGTTGGAGAATGCGTAGCACATCAGGGTACATCCACACATTATTAAAGGTCAAAGAGCTTTGAAGCAGTGCAATCATTTTGAAATTTTTATCATTTACTTATTATGTTTCATTAAGTACTTATACAAAATTTTATTAAAATAAAACCATTTAAACTGGGTGTTCGGATTTATATGTCCCTTAGTATATATCATTGTAAGCACAAAATAGAAAAAATAACTCCTCCACTCCTCAGAAATGAAATAGTCATTTTTTATAAAAGTTCTTAAGAAATGAAAGGGATTTTTTTTATTCAAACTGAATGCTAACGTGCTGTTTCATAAGCATTTCGCAGATGGTCATTAAAAGAATATAACAACCCTCTGATTTCTTGTTATCAATTTTACATTCAGACGCGCTGAACAATATAGACACTAGAGCTGATTTTTGCTGGGGAGCCCTGTGACCACCCTTCTTTGGTGGGCCCAGGCGGCAATGTCCATTTTTCCATTACTTAAATCCGCCACTGTGACGGACAAAACCACAAAAAAGTTGTTGTACTGGATTCAAAGGAGATGGTAAGTATTAATATTGATCGATTCGCAGGAAGACAAAAAAAAATAATTTTCTTATTTAACAATAAGCTGTTAATTTTTAAATTAGGTTTAATATTTTAATCATTTTCAGGCTGCACCCTAAAGGTACAAGGGTAGAGTTGTTATCCGCACTGGCACTAACTATACTAAGGTACATCACTACGGAGCTGGGACTCAAGGCTGTACTCAACTTTGCTAGAAGGGCGGGGCTTGAGGTTTAGGAAATGTAGGGGTGCATAAGGGCCCCGTGTAAATGGCTCCTCACGTTGGCCGGTATGGCTATAATTTCATAATTCACATTTCCTTTATTGTTGAATTTAGGTGAGACTAATGTGATTTTATAGGGCAAAATTACTACGATTTTACTACAAGATGACCTAAATAGTTATTTATACTAACTGACATATAAATCCGAACACCCAGTTTAAATGGTTTTATTTTAATAAAAGTTGGTGAATGTATTTATCTTACTGTAAATAACAAGTGAAAAAATTTTCAGCCTTATCAGTTGGACATTCCGGTTTTTATACTGCTTTTTTTTAATTCACTAACGCTCTAAAAATGAATATTTCAGCCGCAGTAAAGAATCAACGTTGGCGGATTTTGGTTCTTGACATCCATTACGATCGGTTACGATGCCTAGAGTACGGAGACCTGTACGATTTCGTCAACTAAGTGAGTTTGATAGGGGCCGTATAGTTGGACTTCGGGAAGCTGGACTTTCTTTTCGGGCAATTGCAGTTAGAGTGCAAAGAAGTGTAGACACTGTGGTTAGGTGTTGTCAGGCATGGCTTCGAGAAGGCCGTACGCAAAGAGCAAGGGGCACTGGACGCCGCCGTAGAACAACAGACCGTGAAGATCGCCGCCTAAGATTATTGGCCTTAAGGGACCGTTTCTCCACTACCAGGTCCACTGCAAATGAATGGTTTGCAGAACACGGAAGACCTATTAGCATGCGAAGTGTTTACCGACGAATGAGAAGTTTTGGCTTGTTTTCATACCGGCCACACTGGGTCCTCCCTTTAACTCGAGAATACCGACGTAATCGCCTTGAGTGGTGCAGACAACGGTCACTCTGGGATCAGGAATGGAACAGTATTGTCTTTAGTGACGAGTCTCGATTTTGCTTAGGCATGCACGATGGTCGTGCCAGGGTTAGAAGGCGACGTGGTGAAAGGAGGAATCCACAGTTTTTTGTTGAAAGACATGTTCATCACACTGTTGGAGTTATGGTTTGGGGTGCTATAGCTTATGGTTCCAGGTCACCTTTAATCTTCATCAGAGGTAACATGAACGCGCAGCGTTATATCCACGAAGTTCTAGAACCCCATCTTTTACCCTATCTTGACACCCTGGCAGATCCAACTTTCCAACAAGATAATGCCCGACCACATGTTGCAAGAGTCACAATAGACTTCTTTCAACATTATTATGTCACATTGTTACCATGGCCACCAAGATCTCCCGACTTATCCCCAATTGAGCACGTGTGGGATATGATGGGTAGGAGATTGCTCAATTTGGAACGTCCTCCTCAGACTCTAGAAGCACTTCGAGAGGAGTTGGTGGTTGCCTGGAATGAGATACCACAGGAGGACATTGACCACCCGATCAGAAGCATGCCTAGGCGCGTTGAAGAATGCGTAGCACATCAGGGTGCATCCACACATTATTAAAGGTCAAAGGGCTTTAAAGCAGTGCAATCATTTTGAAATTTTTATCATTTACTTATTATGCTTCATTAAGTACTTATACAAAATTTTATTAAAATAAAACCATTTAAACTGTGTGTTCGGATTTATAAGTCACTTAGTATATATCCTTCGACCTATTAGTAATAAATGCCTCATCGACCATATTGCCTTCTAAAGTACTTTGGTTTTATTCCCCACTTTGGGAAAAGTGCAAACGCTTGTCACCTTTGTTAGACCTTTTTAAACTTTTTTGTGATGGAATTGACGTAATTATAATTTAAAATGTTTCTTGAAGGATCCCATGCGGCTAAAATAAAACATAAACTCACTTTGCAACGGCACTATAGCAACTAAAAAGGCAATTCCGATGAGTGCGGCAACTTGCATTTCTCGATAAAGCATGTACGTCCCAACTGCAACCTGTATGGGTCCCACCCAGCTGTAGTGGGCCAAGATGAACGTTTGGTCGAATTTACTCAAGTCGTTCGATAACAGGTTTACCATATGGCCAACGGTGGTTTTTCCGAGAGAAGATCTACTTAACCGCAAGATTTTTCTGAAAAAGAAAACGAGCAATTAACAAACGATACACTTGAATCATATTTTTCTCAGAACCAACGAATTTAAGGTCTGTAAAGCTCTAGTCAAAAAAATTCAGGGCTGGTAAAAAACCACCAAACCACCAAAATGTTTTGTTTTTCCAAACTGGCTTAAAAAGTTGGAAATAAAATTATAGGCTGTTAGTTGAAACGATCATTACACATCATTTTACCGCGTTTTCCACCAAAAATGTTCGGTTTTTTCACGTTTATGTTACGAGATAATCCACGAAAAAATAACCAGGATCATGTGAAGTTAGCCCAGAATTAACCGGCTTTAACAAAATGAGCGCACCTGGATTTTCCATCCATTTGAGACATTTTTGTGAAAGCTGAAACCAGTAAGTGAAAGATCAGGCTTATTACCCAAAATCTCAATTCCTAACCTATAATCTTGGTTTTGGATTTTTATCCTTCCGGACACATGGTTTTAATGTTCAAACCTAGTCTCAGTCGCCGATTGTCCATCATCAAATGTATATGTGTAAGCAGTTAAATACAGGGTGGCCCAACGAAAAGCTCGCACCTCTCTTTGTGACCAAAAATGTTCGGTTTTTTCACGTTTATGTTACGAGATAATCCACGAAAAAATAACCAGGATCATGTGAAGTTAGCCCAGAATTAACCGGCCTTAACAAAATGAGCGCACCTGGATTTTCCATCCATTTGAGACATTTTTGTGAAAGCTGAAACCAGTAATTTAAAGATCAGGCTTATTACCCAAAATCTCAATTCCTAACCTATAATTTTAGTTTTGGATTTTATCCTTCCGGACACATGGTTTCAATATTCAAAACTAGTCTCAGTCGCCGAGTGTCCATCATCAAATGTATATGTGTAAGCAGTTAAATACAGGGTGGCCCAACGAAAAGCTCGCACCTCTCTTTGTGACTTTCCTGGTATATTTTGGGAACAACCCTCGGTCACGTCAATTTTTATTTCTAGGGACGTCTTTTCATTCATTACCGTACAATACAGGATGATCCAAAAATAAGATATTGTCTTACACTTTAGATTTTTAAACGGAAATCCACATTTTTTCAATCTTTAGATTTTCGCAGAACATTTTGGCAACTTTTTTATAATCAAGTTTATCTATCTTCAATCGTTGTGAAGCTATAGTCAACGCCAAACAAAGTGGCGTGCACGTCATCAAGGTGGGTGTGTTGAAAAATTTACATTGTTGCCAAACTTTTTGTAAAATAATAAAATTTATTATTTACATATCTAGGTTTATAAGCAATATTAACCTCAAATGAGAACAAAAATAATAGTATAATAAAATTATAGATCTGTACTTGCATAATCATTAAGTATGACAATTATTGATCAGATGACACTATGAAACTACCATATTTAATTGATAGCTTAAAGGTACTGAATAAAAATCCAAATGGGGTCCTCCAAATTTTATGCATGGTATTTATTTTACAGAATTCATACAGAAAGATGCATTCTAAAATTAGGTAAGCTACTGGTGTAAGCTTTTTCTGTACAATAAAGTTAGTCGGAGTTTCTTTCTTCAGCGCTGTCTGAATCTGAATCTTCATCACTCTCAAAGTTGATTATTAAAGGTTCGATGTCTGGTCGATCAAAAATTCGTTCTTTCATACCATTTAAAAATTTCTTGCTCAGTATGTCGAACACTATTTTTCCACATGTCTGGGGTAACCGTTTGTAGAGCCTCGTTCCACATATCCAAACAGTCTTTTTCACTGTTACCATCTCTACCAATATGTCTGTTATAGTAACCTTTTGCTATGCCCCAAATTAACTCAATAGGGTTAAATATACAATGGTAAGGAGGCAGACAAAGAACTTTGTGCCCATGTTGTTCCGCCAATTCATCAATCACGTATATTTTAGGTGGTTTGTTTCTAAAAAAGCAGTTATTTTAAGAATAGGAATAAACAAAAGAAATATAAACTGTCGGCCAAAATATATATAATTAAGAAGCATTATGTACCGAGCACCAATACTCAATAGCTCTGTTTTAAACATTGTGTTTAAAAATGGTATGTTTTGATTTGTCAACTAGTCTTGGATATTTTTTTTTGTCCATGCATTGTTGGGCACTTTGTTCAATATCATGCTGTGATAAGGGGCGTTATCCAGTATAATCATAGATGGACTCTCCAATTTTTCTAATAACTGATGTTGAAACCATTTCAAAAAATTGTCCTGGTTCATCTCTCCATGGTAATCGCTCAATTTTGTTTTCGAAGAAAATATCGCTTCACTACCCTCAATAAACCCATTTTCATTTCCAGCATGTAATATAATGTATCTAAAATATATTAGTTTTAAATTTTATAGTGCAAATTGTGTAAAAGTACAAACCTTTTACCATCTGTTTTAATAGCTTTCACGCTTTTTTGGTTTCCATTTTGCCAAGAGCGACCTATGGTCCCATTTTGAAATATCCAAGTTTCATCGAGGAACACAAACTGGTATAAGGCCTCAACCTTGGCTTGATTGTATTGCCTTAGAAATTCCACCCTTTTCAAAGCTATACTTGGTAGTTCCATGAGCCCTCGTCGCGGATTGTCCTTAAGCCACTTAAATCCAAGATCTCTAAGCAACCGCCTTAAAGACGTGGCACTACCATCAAATAATGCCCTATCTCTTAATCGAGACCATAAAGTTTGTATCGTAACTTGTTCTTCTGAAACCATGTGTAATATGACATTATAATTTAGTTAACAAATTAATGCAAATTTCTGATAAGTTATTATAATAAGATCATACTTTTGTGATACATATTATAGATCACTTCTCGAATGGCACTTGTATCCAATGTCGCTGTGTTGGTTACACGTTTAATATAACTCCGCTTTTTCTTGGGCGATTCTAAATTTGCATCACTTTTCACACCCTCGGAAATACGACTAACTGTCCTTAAACTAATTTTTAAAGCAGCAGCAACACGCTACAAAAAATAAAATAAAATTTCACTATTATTAATATACATTACATATAATTATTAGTAACCTACCTCTTGAACAGCATTTAAAGGCAACAAAGGCCCGTTGTTGTCCCTTTCTTGCTCAAAGTAGTGCATTAACGAGGCCACGAGTTCCTTACACCGACTATTTAACTGTTTGGGCATCTTTATATACCAAAATTGCCTTTATCTACTCGTAAAATGAATAATTTTGTTTTGAAACAAACAGTTGTTGATTTACAGTATGCGGGGCCAAAGGATTTATAAAGATTTGAAATGCCACAAATTGATTCAGTGTCAAAATTAATACAAATGTCAGTTCCCAGTTTAAATAAGTTTCAAGGTGACAATGTGTCAACGCTGCGAAATCGGTTTAGTGCGTTTACATGTCGATAAGTGATTGGAGCGTTTGCAAAACATTTTATTTCGCATAATGCGTCTAAATTTATCAGAAAGCAACTTATGTGATATTTTAATAACAATGTTTATATGACTATTAACCATAATAAGAGAGTAATGACCATTTTACAATTTATATATCACATTAATATGAAACTGCAATAGAGCAATTGTTTGTGATAGAAACCTAGGCATTAGGTCGGGGAATTTTTATCGTGATGACGTGCACGCCACTTTGTTTGGCGTTGACTATATGTGTTCTGTGATCAAGGTAGTTATTTAAAAATTCAGTCATTCGGACAGAAATATAGGCAGAAACCTTCTCGCACGCTCCTTTAACGCTGTGAGTAAATTTGATAAAAATACGTTTTGACGGACAAAGAGAAAATAGGTTTCATTTGAATGAAAGGAGATGTTGAGTAGTAACCATCATAGTTACCCAACTGTAAGAATGTTCATATCTCGGTCTCTTCATCTATCAGCTCATAAACATATAAGCTTCTGACACTTTTGATTTGTAACTTAGCCTGATGGTATTGTGAGTGTTTCCCAAACATGGGTCAAGAATTCAATAGGCGACTATTAGGACTATTTTGAATCTATTGTATTTTATTCTCTCGACTCACATATCGCCGCTTAAGTTTTAACATCGCGTAACTGAATCGTTCGATAGATCTACCGTTTTTTCGTTCTGTCAGTTTTCAGTTACGCTGTGTTAGAACTATTAACTCACTTAGTTCGCCAGAGCTGGACTAGTCATAAACGCGATATATTGCTAATTCTTTTACACCTTTGTATAGTAATAATATTTTTGGAAATTGGAAAGTACCGCGACAGTGTTAGCTGTTCCATCTGCTTCAATGCAATGCGCAATGCGATTGTTTCATGTTTGATTTTAATATCAACCGTTTTTAAGGAAAAAATATTATGAACGGGGGAACCGGTATTCGGAAAAAGTTCCATAATTTAGAAAAGTGTATCAAAATAATAAAGCTGTTTTCTTCCTAAACCCCAGAACGGTTCATTAATTGTATAAAAAATTGAATGGTGTAGATATGTATAAGGAGATTCTCAGTTAGTATTTAGAGCTATTGTAATCATCTAAGCACATTGACTTGTAGAAGTAGTTTTTCATATTTTAAAATCTGCAATAAAATAACGTTCGTAACCTAAGAACATTCAGGTGAAGGGTGAAGCTGATACAGAGACCTTCTAACACCTAAAAATTTGGGCTCTTATAGGATTATTTAGGGATGTTTTCAAGTGTGATATTCTGAACAGATAGCGGCTGGAGAGTATTAGGTGTGCAAATAAGCTCTATGCGTTTTTAAAAATCCTTTCTTTTTTAAAAAAATAGGGTTACTTTTTTGATGTTATAAGGTCATCCGCCATTTTCCATAGTTTAATTTCATCTTCATCAGGTAATAATCACAAGCCGCAAAGCGTGGCGAGTACGCTAGCTATAGCAAAATTCCCATTTCAGTTCCTCCATGGTTTTAAGTACTTAGGAGCTTTTATGAGGTCTAGCGTTGTCGTGGTGGAGAATGACTGGTCTACGTCCATATCCAGAATACGGCCGCTTTTCTTGAAATTTTTCCGCCAAACATTTTAATTGGAAGGAGTATTACTTATCCGTAACAGTCGCTTCCCGTTTAACTAGCTCGTAAAAGACATACCCTATTCATCCTGAAACGTTGTGGCTAGGTATAGATGGCATTCAATTCATTTGTCATTTAGGATTTTTAAAATATATCCATTTATGATGACCAGCCTATAATTTCCATAGATAAGTCTTGCTTTTATGCCTTGAAACCAGCGAGAGCTACGTACCCATATCCACCTCTCACGTTGTTTTTTGGTTAGATAGTGAGCTACCCATTTCCCTTCTTTTAAAATGTT